AGTATAAAATCATGATCTTCTTGTCCACATTGATCTTCTCGAAAAAGGTCGACCTTTCGCTCGTCCATACATTTTTAGCATTTGCTACAATGCCGTCTTTTGATAGCATCAAAATTCCTCAATATCAGCTTTTCCCTCTGTACGAAGGGTTCGAGCCTGACGAAGATTTACTTAAAGCTCTTATCGGCGCTCAGAAATACGGCTTTGAGAGCACACCTGCAAGCAAGCTTGTCAAGAAAGAAGCCGAAACTGAATGGGATGTTCACAGTCGAAGACAGCAGGCTTACATTAACCAAAATGAATGTGCTGTTAAAACAGCCCTTAAAGATCTTTTGCAGCAATGGCCAACAGACAAGCCTATTGCATGCAGGGATAAACATTGCCGAATATACATTGACATAGACACTGCCACCGTTCAAGCTCAAGCAAAATATTCGTCTTGGTATAAAAACAGCAAATTCAAGGAATACATCTTGCTCCTAGAATCAGCTCTCAAGAAGTCAAACTCAATCGACTGCATCATCACTCAGCGATGGTCAGATTATGCAAGACCCACCAGTAATTATAATCCGAACTTAGCTTATATTGCCCTCACGAATCTTCTCCGTAATGAACCTCCAACTCTTATTGGTGAAAATTTATTGTTTCAGTTTGATACACTTCTGGTTAAGATATCAAAATCATTGGGCAATGATGAGAATCATATGAAAGAGCTCTTGGTGGAACTTTCTCGACAAACTTCCGGAACCTTTGAGAATCAATACAGCCATCACTTACAACAAAGTCTGGATGCTTTGCACGAGATACCATGTTTTAAACTAAATTCCGCGGTGTCAGCTCACGATTTCCTAGACTGTTTGGAAAAAAGTCAGGAACTGGTAGACAGCATGTACCTCAGAATTAAGGAGCATTTGTTAAGTTCCATAAACGTGTTCGGAGCTACAGAGAACACGACGATGCTTCCGCGCCTTTCTAAAACCACAATTCTCGCTCTTATTGCAACTTCGCATCCTATAAAGCTTTCGCAACAGTGGAAGCAGGCAATTGTACATTTTGGCCTGGCTGTAACCACCTTGCAACGTCTGAAGCGTCTGGTGGCTTGTTGTAGCAATAAAGCAGAGCTTCTTATGGAACTTTCAAATCCGGGACATCAAGGGTGGGACCCGTTGTTGCATCCGGACTGGCTACTACTTGAATTGGAGAACGGAATTTTGATTCGCAGAGATCAGGCTGACATCAGTAGTGAAATGATTGACCCATCATCAGGTGCGAACTCTGTCATGCAATTGAACATGGGACTTGGAAAATCTTCAGTCATTGTTCCACTTGTGGCATCGGCTCTGGCAGACAAGACAAAATTATGTCGCGTCGTAGTTCTCAGAGCGCTGTCTAGACAGATGAGGGAACTGTTAGTAAGAAAGCTCGGTAATATGATCAATCGCCCTGTACTTTATGTACCAATCTCACGTGCGCTACAAATGAATGCTGAAGGCGCAAAGCAGCTCCGAGAGATTTACGAGAATTGCATGGCTTCCGGTGGTGTACTTCTAGTACAGCCAGAGCATTTACTGTCTTTTGAGTTAATGGGTCTTGAGATGGTACTTTCTGGGGATCAGGAAGCAAAGGTTGTTGGTAAGGTAATCAACGACACCCAAGACTGGCTACTCGAAAATAGTCGGGATATCCTAGATGAGAGTGACGAGATATTGGATGTGCGATTTGAATTGATTTACACTCTTGGCAGACAAATGCCTGTCGACTTTGCTCCTAACCGCTGGATGCTAATTCAACGAATATTGTCGATATTGACTTCTTGTATCAAGAAGCTCGACCGAAAATACAAAGATGATTTCGAAATAGAGAATTTGCCGGATAGTAATGGTACATTTGCGAGATTTCGGATCCTACAGCCCGCACTCGGTGATGTACTTCTTAAAAGGGTTGTAAAATCTATCTTCGATGAGGGACTTCCTGGATTATCTTTCTTCCAATTTACCAAGAGCAATCGAAAACTCTTATACCAATTCATCACAGATTCAAAGATAAATGAAGAAGCGATTCAGCATTCGATATTCGATGCTGACTCCACTAAAATGGGTCTTCTACTCCTTCGAGGTCTCTTCGCACATGGAGTTCTACACTTCGCCTTTTCACATAAGAGGTTTCGGGTTGATTTCGGGTTAGATTTGAAACGATCATCACTAGCAGTCCCCTACCATGGAAAAGATGTGCCTGCAGCCGCAGCAGAGTTTAGCCATCCAGAAATGACTATTGTATTAACTTGCCTTTCCTACTATTACGAAGGGCTATCCAAGAGCCAAGCAATACATTGTTTCAATGAGCTTTTGAAATCGGACAACAGTCAAGGAGAATACGAGAAGTGGACCAGAGATTGCTCCAAAATTGAAACTGAATTCAAGCAATTAAGTGGCGTCAATCTCGATAACCTACATCAATGGTCTGAACATGTATACGCAAATTTAAGGCGTTCCAAAGAAATGATAGATTTCTATCTAAATCACCTCGTTTTCCCAAAGGAGATGAAGGAATTTCCCAAGAAACTTTCTTCATCAGGTTGGGATATTGCTCGGATCAAAAACCACCCGCTCACTGGCTTCAGCGGAACCAACGACAGCAAGTATGTCCTCCCGCTCTCAATACAGCAACGAGATTTAGAAGAACAACTTTCAACAAATGCAGAAGTACTCGCATGTTTATTGCAGTCGGAAAACAAATTCGATTCCACGACGAAGAGTGAAGATTTAAATGCCGAAATCCTCCTAAACCTTGCCGTAACATCGAAACCTACAATCAGGGTAATTCTTGATGTTGGGGCTCAAGTTTTGGAGCTAAAAAATGAAGAGGTTGCTAGTAGATGGTTAGCAAAACTTCCCGTTACTGAGGTACTAGCGGCGGTATTTTTTGATTCTTCAGATGAGCTTTGCGTGCTGAACCGTGATGGATTGACCGAACCCCTCACTATCTCACCATTTGCTAAGCAGATGGATCGATGTGTGATTTATCTCGATGAATCTCACACACGTGGAACAGACTTGAAACTCCCAGTCGACTATCGTGCTATTGTTACGCTTGGACCAGATCTGAACAAAGATCGTCTCGCACAAGGTAAGAAGTATCTGATTATACAGTCAAGAGCATAACTGACACCTATATGATAGCATGTATGCGTATGAGAAAACTGGGAAAGGGCCAGTCAGTATTATTTTGTGCGCCGAAAGACATCCAACGAAAAATAATACACTTCACGAATATGTTCCAGTCTGACCAAATCGAAGTCAAGCATGTTCTTTTATGGTGTATAAGAAATACATTGGACCAAGTTCGAAAGTCTGTTGTGCCTTGGGCAATTCAAGGAAAGCGTCATTATGAGCGACTTGAGGCTCTCAGCGCAAATCTTGGTAATGTTCCTGTGTCTGTTCAAGAAGACGAAGCACAGAGCCTGGAAGAGAGATACGGATTCGGCAAAGAAAAAGCTGACGGGCGTTGGCTGGCCGACACAGCTCCTAACACAGACATGGAATACTCTGCCGAAATCATCGCTATTAGAAAAAAATGTGCCCAGTTTGGTTTCACAACTTTCTCAGGTGCCAGTTTACACGAAGAACAAGAGCGTGAATTGCAACCAGAGAAAGAATTGGAGATACAGCATGAGCATGCCCCGAGTGTACCAGCTTTGAAACATAAATTGCATGTCGATGTCAGAAATTTGGCCACGACCGGTGTTATGGTCCACAGCGCTCCGAGTGCATTTTTGCCTGCTTTTGATGTTTTCAAGAATACATCGGCAAAAGGATTATTCGATATATCCATGTGGCCCAGAGATCTTTGGGTCACTCGTGACTTTGCGCAAACTGTGGTCACGCATGGCTTTGGTGAGATTGATACATTTTTACGTCCAGTTAACTGGGTTGTTACATCTGAGGGCATAAATGGTTTGTCACTTTGTGTAATCTTTAGTCCTTTCGAAGTTCAAGAATTACGTTCTGCCATTCAAAACAATGAGAAAGTCGTTCTGAGCATCTATTCCCCACGCTTGAGCCTCTCTTCAAGGTCATTCGAAAGCCTTGATGTTCACAAAATTCCAACAGCTTCAAAGCTACCATCGATTCATCCACGGATTATCATGCTTTTAAACCTTTTTGCTGGACAATTGTACCTCCGAAGCCACCATGAATACATTCACGTTTGCCAATTCCTCGGACTTTGTTATTATCCGCCTCAGGATGACGTCGAGATAGGTTGTGATAATTTCGTTCCTTTATCAAGTCGTGCATCGTTTGATCCCATCATGAAGGAGGTTTGCCCTTTCGAGAAGAGTCCGGTCAATTTTCTCCAAAGAGTATTTTCGTTGAGAAGAAAGGGGCAGAGTTTCGAGGATACACATATGGGCAGGATTCTGAACGGGGAGTTATTGAGTAGGAAGGATTTTGACGAAGATTGAGAGCGGAAATGACGGAGATATCGAAAGTGGTGAGCTCATTGAAGGAAAGCAATGGGACCAGCAGAATTGAAGGATTTAACAAGATTGATGAGCGCCTGAGTGATGAAGACTTGTGCAGTAAGATTCATTGCTTTTGAAGCACTTTCAACTTCACACAGCGATTTGTATTTGTATAAAATTAAGATTTCCTTGTCGAGAGACCAATTATCTGCCTATCCGATTGTTGCGTAGACGATGATGTAAACTGAGTTAATTATAAGATCATCGAGGTTTAGAAGCTCACTAACTCAAAAAGCCAATGGCCAATCAAACTCAGGAATAATGCTGCTTTCCTTGATATTGAAATTGCCGTACCGGACAGCTTCTATGCAAATATCTGCTGAGTGGGGCTCAGGAGTGAATGTGCGGGTTCTTATTGGTCAATAGAACTTGCACTTACATTCCTATCATTATCGCGTTCCGTACCACAATTAACACTGTTAAAGAATCATTAAATCTTACATCCTTTATTCTAAAATAAGGAGACGCATACAGTACAATGACATCGATATTGAAATGGGTAAGAGCAGCGACGAGAAGATCGCCATCCCCGCCATTGCGGTTCCCCACGACGGGGTATGAATTAATCAGCGATGCTCAAGCACTTGACGAGGAGCAACTTGAGGGATTCAAAAGGGGACTATATTGTCCTGTGAATATTGGAGATATATTTATGTCCAAGTACCAAGTCGTTGGGAAGCTTGGCTATGGAGTGACGTCTACTGTCTGGTTGGCGCGTAATCTACAGTGTGTTTTCATATCACATGTATATCCACATACTAACGGCCCAGAGCTCATGAACACGTTTCCCTGACAGTCTATACTCGTGATGAAAATCCACAGGAAGAATTCGAAATTTATAGAGGTCTGAAGAAAGGCAACAATTCTCATCCCGGGTTTCCACATATTAGGACAGCTCTTGAGATATCCACGATACCCCGTGTAGGCGGTGATCATACTTGTCCTGTTCAAAAACCAATGTGGGAAAGCTTTAGAGAACTTAAATATCGTCTTCCAAATCATTGTTTTACGGAGAAAATATTGAAGGGTGCATTGAAACAGTTGTTTTTAGCTTTGGATTATTTGCATACGGAATGTCAACTTGTTCATACCAGTACAAAACACTTATCTCCTCATTTCATCTGGCTTAGAAGGACCTAAAATTCTAATAAAACTTCACAGACATCAAAGCAGACAACATCCTATCTGAAATCGAGGATAAATCTATTCTTGATGCCTTTACAGAAGCGGAAATGAAGAATCCTTCGCCTCGCAAACTCGTCAACGATGTCACTGTGTATGCTTCAAGGAGGTTCGATGTCCCAAGAATCTTTGGTGATTCAGTTTTGAGTGACTTCGGCTCAGCAGCTCGAGGTGATTTGAAAAGGAATCATGGTGCTGGACCTCAAATTTACAGGGTTGGTATGAATCGCATCTGATTGCATCTCATTAATTCGCCTTTTTATGAGCTTGAAAGCTACTTTCGGATTTAAAAAGTGTACTTATTTCTTAATAGGCACCCGAAGTTATGATAAAAGCTGCTTGGAGTTATCCTATCGATATATGGAATGTGGGTGCAATGATTTGGGATTTATTCGAGGGCAAACATATGTTTTATGCTCAAGATTCTGATGGAAAGGGCTATGCTACTCGTGCTCATCTAGCAGAGGTTATTGGGATGTTGGGTCCTCCTCCCTTGGAATTTTTAGAAAGGGGTATACGAACTCCTGAATTCTTTGACAAACAAGGTGCGAAATTCCAAGCAAAGTGTATTCAAATCTGAAACTAAATTTGTGATGATATAGGTCAGTGGATAGCTGAGATGCCTATTGCAAAAGATATGGAATTAGAGAAATCAGAACTGCGTCTTCAGGGTAGGAATAAGGAGATGTTTTTAAATATGATGCGTGGTATGCTTCAGTGGCGACCGGAAGATAGGAAGTCTGCTAGGCAATTGGCTGACGATCCTTGGATTAATGAGATACACATTACATAAAATTGTAAGAACGAGGCCTTCAAGTATCATTTGATTGTCATTTAATTATCGCTTTCTAACGAAAAATCTATCTTCCTGTCTTTCATAGGAAGAAAGTTCGAAAATCCATCTCGCTGCCTCATCTAAAGTATCAAATTTACAAAAGTTCAGAATGTTCAAAGAATCTTTCAAGAATATAGTCGGGCTCAGGATTTTATGTTGTATAATTAGGTAATTCATATACTCAACACTAGAGTTTCAAATGTTCACTGTTCTTACAGCCTGGTAAAGCCCTCTGACTTGTTGAGCTTGCCAGGTTGAGTACATAGATATGTCATTAATGCCTCCCCACAGCTTTATACTCATGCCAGGGCTTTTGCCATAACTCGAAGCCCTTTCGAATTTAACTTGGGCATTGTGACTTGGTAGTCGTACATGAAAGCCACGTCACTATCGTCTGTCTCAAACAGCTTCATATCAAACCTGGTGACCAGAGCAGCTGTGACAAGGTATAGTTCTGCGCGAGCAAGTTCGATGCCTATGCAGATACGACCACCTTTGCCGAATGCCATTTGATACTTGCGACGTTCGCGGCCCTCATCACCCAGCCAGCGCTCCGGATTAAACACAAAAGGATTTGGGAAAACGGTCTCGGTTGTGTGGGCGCTCAAAGTTGTTATACTAATAGGTGTGCCTGCAGGAATCTTGTAAGATTTGCCTTTGCTTATCGTCGATTTCACATATTTGGAAGGAGTATACATCAATTGCTCATTTGCGATACGAGCCGTTCTAGCTGTGACACCGAAAGATAGACGATTTCCTTCTTCAATAACCGCTGATAGATATGGGAGGTGCTCAAGTGTTGCCCAGGAAGTTGGAGTTGGAGCCGTATCAAGTTCAGTCCGAAGCTTCGTGATTCTGGTTGGATTTTTGAGCAGATGATAAAAGATTATTTTGAGCGTTTGAGCAGGTGATTCTGTACCGGCTAAGACTGAGAGTGATCCCTCCTGTTGAAGACGAAGCAAAGTCTTTTCTGATGGCGGTAAAATATTACTGTCAAGTACTGAGGCGAACACAGACTCTTTCTCCGTTGGACCCAAAACTTTCTCACTGCTGACCCCAGATGACTTCGCGCTCATAATACTGGTCAACTCATTGCGGACTCTCTTTTATTTCAGGTCAGTAATGGTAGCTTGCGTACAAACACCTCTAGGAACTTACATCAAAAAGTGCATGCATATCTAATAAACCCGGTGGCATGATTGGTTTGCTTATTGATAATGGGAGGGATTCTAAAAAATCCGGAATCCAAGGTAGATGCTTATTTATATTGATTCCCATCAGAAGCTGATAGCTATTATGGCGAAGCACAGCAGCTTGGGCCTCATCTGATAGAACATCAACTTGATGGGCGAATAAAAAGTTCGTGACGACACTGTTAAAGATTAGCCCCATGACACATGAATTTCAATCAAACTGTACTCATTGGAGAAAGCAAAGAATAGATCTGATAAATTAGCGGGCGTTTCTTCTTTGAAATGCTTTTCAATCATTTGACAAAGTTGTTCCATCTTCTCGTTGATCAACGGTTCAAGGTGTAGAACATTTCGTTTGCTGAAAAAGGGGCTCAATGCAGCGCGTCGCTTTCGGTGAAGGTCGTAACGAGCTGTCGTTCCCACACCTCCTGGAATTCTAAGGGTTCGTAGTTGATATTCATACTTGTCTCTGGGTGAGGCTGATGGAGCGTAAATGGTATCTAGAAAGCCAGCATCCTGTATATGAAGTTCATCTGGAGTGATTCGAATGATAGGTCCTTTTGTAATTTCGAGGTCAGTAGTGGTCGATATACGGTTCTTCTATCTTACCATATTGCTTATGGAGTTCTTGTATCTTAGAGACGTATTGTCCTGGCTGAATAACATCAAAGTAGAATTCATACCACCAGGTAAGTGCTGCAAGTTTGGGTCCTGGAATATGAGCTAGGGAATGAAAATAAAGACGACGAGTGGCTTCGGCTATGATCAAAATCAATGACAAAATCAATGTTCTACTTAAAAGCTGAGCCAAAGCCATTTCAATTTATTCGAGCTGGAAAGCTGCCAATGGTAAAGCTTGGGGTAAATTCTTAATAGGGATATAAAGGGCGAAAGAAATAAGCAGAACTCATAGCAAAACGCCCGGGTTTTAAGAAATTTCGATTTTCGTTGATTGTCAGCAATCATCATGCACCGAAAATTCACCAACAGTTGGAAGCTAACATTTGGTGAAGTCATTATTACCCTACTAAAAACTCAGCGGCCTCATGGACAAATGAAGCCATTCCCGGTCGGAGAACGTTATAAATTGGTTGATGGAGAACCAGATCCATCGTCTCACGTGTGTTGATCTAATTACATCACTACTGGCCGTCTTATCTTATTACAATCAGGGTGAAAAAGAAAAGATTTGAGTGGCTCAATTGTGCCTGAGAAGAGTAAAAGGATACCGACTTTTCTTTCTAGAGGTGGTGTAGAACAAATTCGGGAATGGGGATAGGTACTCTTCACATGTTTCAATATGTTTGATCCATATACAGGCTATGGAATGTATAGTCTCTGGAGATTCTGGACTTCTTTTATGAGGAGCAGCGACGAAAGCTTCAGAAGACAATCTTCCTGCTCCAGGTGTGATCAGATCTAGATGAGTGCTTCTTATTCGATTCCGACTGATGAGTGAGGCTTCTTAAAGTATTTGAGAACTATCTCGAGTAGTCATTTTGAGCTTCTCTTCAAAAAAGTTAAAAATTGTAAAATTAGAAGTTTTTATAGATTATTGTTAGAAAAAAGTGTAGTAATAAGTTTTTGATGATTAATTTTTATAAAAAAAAAGTTATAGGGATAAATTTTTATTAAAAAATATAGTAAGTTTTTATCTAAAAAACTTAATATAGATAAATTTCCTTTCAAGTAATTCTCCCCAAAAACGAAATAACCCAATCCAAGTTTCCTTTCCTTTCTATCTACATATAAAAATTCCCCCTAACATATATACATACCCAGATATCTATCCACATACCATCTCACAAGATACCCAAGAAAAATTATACAAAACCCAACACATCACGACTTGAAATTTCACCACGGGATAAGTCATTTATTCAACTGCCGATATACCTACATCTACATCTACATCTACATCCTCCATCGCCTGTCGCACAGTCATCTGACAACTCATGAGGTCTCGAACACAAACACATGATACTATTTGACTCAGTTGGAGCATCAAATGACGCGATCGTATCAATCATTTTTAAGCAATCCTAGTATCTATGAATGTCGCAGTATCGAAAAAAGAACACAAAGTCGAGTTGTGAATATGGGATGTGAAATAAAATGGAATGAAACAAAAGCAGTCGCGATATGTAAAAAGAAAAATTTGCTCATTGTACTCTGTATGCCCAAGCAACTGCAATGTTGTGTTTGAGGGTTGTACGGCCATGCTAATAAATATGTACAAATGAAGGATCCTTCTTCATTCAGTCAATTGATTCATATCCAAAAGACAGGAATGAATTGAATCGAATCGAATAAAATTATGTATGGAATTCGAGCTCTTCCGTGAACATATCAAAATAAAGCGTGCGTGGTATCTCTAGCTGGAAAACATTGTAAATGCCAAAATATCCCAAGATTCCCACCAAAGACCCAAAAGAGATATCACCAAAACCCCATAATTAATCTCTAACTGCCGTGTGCCATGTATCGTAACAGATGCTTCGTCATCTATGCCTTATATTCGACTGCCATGCTTCAATCTTCTGTGTCACATTGAGCGTCACATGTAAGACTGCATTTGGCTTCGCATTCGATCTCTCTATTAGGTGTTGTTGCTGGCGAGCCATCAAATTGCAAGAAGAGCGAAATGACCGCCAACGACTGGACGAGCGATGAAGGGGCCAGACCACCAGCTGTGATTGTGTTAGTACATTCTGCATGATAGAAGTAGTGAGTATGAATGTGATAACTTACTCTGACGTTTGAGTGTTGTAAAGATCGGTGAAGGCGCGGTCAGTTGGAGTGACACCAATCCATGTTGCAAGCTTGGAGATGAACATGGACTTTGTGGACGGAGATGCGATTGCTGCTGCCCACATTTCCCAATCGGCTGTTTGAAAACATTGTTAGTAGCTGCAGCGTAGAAGATATGCATGAAACTTACATTTGGTGCAAACATTTCTGGAGTCAAGTTGAACACCATACACATTAGCAATTGTTGGGTAGTATTCGCTTTGCATATCGTAAATTCGTTTTGGAACGAAATTGAGCTTCAAAAGTGTATCCGCGTAAAGGTTATACAAAAGACCATGTCCAGTATTATCTTGATAGGCCAATTTGGTATGTTCTGGAACAGATGCAGTTGCTGGGACAATGGCAAGTTTCTCCCATTGTGTAAGGTAATCGTGTGCAATATTTGTATAGTTCAATGCATCGGCGGAATTTCCGGTGATATTTGCAATCACTGACATTGCTTCGATTGCGATAATACCCTTGAGAGCAAGATTGGTTTGATTTGCGAGGGTGCCTTGGAAATCATCGGTGGAGAGTTGATTTGCTGGAATCAAAGCTTCAGCAACCAGGAAAGTAGTCCATTGTTTGAGCAATGGGTAATGTTGAGACAGATATGCGGTGTCAGAAGCATGTTGAGAGTAGGCGAGAGTCATGATGATCATATTTCCACATTCCTCAAGGGGCATAGGTTCTATTCATAATTAGTATGTAAATATTGTTGATCAAGGGAAGAACTTGCCTCCATCACCAGTTGGATGTCCGATCGCACGAGGATAGTTGGCACCTAAATCATGGAGAGAATATTCCTGAGGAAAGTGGCCGGCTTCTTGGTTCTCATAAAGAGGATCAAGCATGTACTTCAACAATGCAGGGTTGGAATAGAGAAAGATAGGCATAGCTGGGAACATGACATCAACAGTCTGAGTATTACCATCGGAACTAATTTCTTTGAGAAAGTAGTATGGCTTATCCGGAGTTCCGCAAAGTTGAACAGCTCCGAATGCTTGACGAGCTGAAAGGGAAGTGATAGTCAAGTAATCTTGACCACCGGCTACAAGAGAGTCGACAGCAATTTTATGGTCCCAGACACCCCATTTCATGGACCAATCGTTGTAAAAATCGGTGACCTAAAGCAATCAGCATGGAATCGAAAGCGGAAGATAATCCACAAACCAAAGAGATATCGGAATCCCAGTAACTAGCCCACAAAGAAGGAACAGGTCTTAATCCACCTTCTCCGAGGAAAATGATTGCGTTTTCTTGAGCATGAACAATGGTGTAAAGTGTTTCAACCGGAGTACTTCCGACATTTCCGAGATTGTTAGCAAATCCAAATACTGGCCAAGCATCTTCGATAGCTCTGTAGACTGTGTCCTGAGTGTTTGGAAGAGAACCATTGTTGAGGAAATTTCCGCGAACGACGGAATCTTGTCCCGATTGGTATGTCATTCCATTGACGGCTTTGGTAGACCACAGCCAGTAACCCCAATGAGCTTGATCATCTGCATAATCCGCATTGAATTCGCTTTGATCCTGTCTCCAACTTCGATGAGAGCCAATGCCATCGTTTACGGTATAACTAAATAGAAGTCAGAATGATTGTTCGCAAGAATTCTGAAATTAGGACAACTCACTTCCATTGTACTGTATCCGATTTGTGGATGGAAGTCCATTCTGAATTGTATGTTAGCATAGCTCCTTCAATCTAGACGAGAACAAACTTACCTGCAGATGTGTCACAGTACAACTCAACAGCATGAGTAGCACTGTCCAATGATTTTACAGATACATAAAGATATGTACCAATAACCGATTGTCGTCGAATATCATCTGGCGTAAGCGGGGATAAAAATGTAATATTCATTGATACTTTTCCAGCGACAGTCATCAAGAATGTTGATCTAGTTGAAGTATACTCCATATGATCTTGAGTAACACTTGGTGGAACAATGCCATTGACACCTGCAGCACCCATCCAGGTGTAAGATGTGCCGTCCCTAGGTACAATTTAGCAAATGTAATTGGGGAAGACCTGGGATCGATAATCATGATAGTCCAAGAGTACTTACACTTTGATGAGACCAGCCCAAGCTGTGACAGAACCGGCTCCTCCAGCAACTGAACCATCAGGTTGAGGTCCGCTATCCACTTTGTTAGAGTATACATCATGTAGCAAAGAACTTTGACTTACGCCCAGAAACGACTAAATGATTGTTAGCTTTGGGTTCTGATACAGAAACGAGGAAGAAAACTTACGGCCAATACCCCGGGAGGATACCTCCACTAGCACCAGTACTTCCTGCCTCCAACCATGTATTCATGTATGGTGATTTGACTACTTCAAATTAGATTTATCCTCGAATCGAGAGATTGTTAAAAATACCGGCCAAAGGAATCGCAGGAGGTCTAACTGGACTAAATGTAGAACCAGAGACGAAACTAACGACAGTGCCTAGCACTCCCGCTAAAAGGGAAGTCTTCATGATAGTAAATACCAAAGAAGGATCGAATGATTATTACTGATTAAAGGTATTGCAATGTAGGAAGAGGTATCAAGAAGGAATTATGATCATGGATTAGGAAGAAGGAAAGGAGTCGTTGAATTTGTGGTTTTGAAGAAGACGTGGAGGGGACTTGGAGCTCTTTTGTAGAACTGAAAAGTAAGCTAGTAGGGCCTCAAAGGAGGGGTAGTAACGGGTCACTGTTAATAATTTCAAATGGGGTAGCAAGTGATGTGAAATATATGCTCGAACAAGGGGTAAATGTTGCCCGAATGATGCCCTCAGGAGAGGGGTATTTATTTCAAAAATGGGACGATATGATATGAACCTATAGATACTCAAGATGCCAAGAACGAGCATGCGCTCATGAATAGTTTGAGTGAAATTCATTTCGCTTGATACTTAGCTCACGTCATAAGGGTAAGTGAATGCGTAGGGTCAAAAGGCCCGAAGTTCATAGAAGCACTTCTGTGTGGAAGCTTAACCTTGGCTTACCATCACAAGGAAATAGAATTGATCCCAAAATGGCATTTGATGCAAACCATTTTGATATCAATGATCATCCTGCGCCCCGTATCCCTAGTGAAATCTGATCGCATCCCAGCGCAATGCGAGTGAAAAGCATGCGAGGCATGTCCTTGACCCTGTAGTACGCTACAACGTTGGCTAGTAAAAAGGCCTGTAGCAAGGATTAGTAGTTTGCGAACAACAAAAGATCATAGGCCAAACAACATCAGAAACAATCAATAGCTTTCCAGATTTATTAATCATCTCAATTTCCAATGTTAGACAATTTAAGTCAACAACCAATACATTTAAAAAAAAACTCAAAAACTAAGGCTTCCCATAAAATTGACATGAGTTGCAATACAATCGCCCTTTGTCTAACGAATCTCGGGATCATTAGAACGTGACTTTCATGAGTTGAGAAATTTTGCTCGGAAAACTAAAAACGTGCCGAAGTAGATGTGGAACAATCAATTTAATGATTCAATAAGTCTATCATTTACAAAGGAAATGATCTACGATATTGCTAGGATCTCTATCAAGTGCCTTCCTTCGCCGAGTCATCTTGGTATAGGAGGTACTGCGAGAGAAATAGATACATATTCCAAGACTAAAATTCGGGATTCGGAAGATCTACCGATCCTTGGATTCACTACCCGCTACTTGCGGGGTGTGGGGCAAAAGCTGGGGTTGAGTCGCGTTGAAGGAATGACAATATCCGCGTGAGGTTACTTGTGTATGTATGTACTCGGAGACAAAATACATTTTGGTCGCTTGACCGAAGCATGTGCGAAATGACCGATCAAGATCATTCACTGTCGTACATCGTCAACCTCATCCAACGACATCTCGAAAAAGAAAAGATGGAAGTAACTTTTTGGCATTATTTCGATGTTGTTGTTGATTGAAAAGTAAGATCTTACAAAGCCTTGAGTCCTTTGAAGTACAACACATCAACACCGAGTTATATTAGCTCTGTAATAGGAGGGATGCAAGTATGAATGAAGATCAAGTCATTTCCGAGTAGCCAACCATTGTTGAAAGTAAAGCCCAGTGAAGTGGTCACTCATACACCACACCAGGTACGAGAATGAATATTCAGCCTGAAATCAAAAATTTAAATGATGTGCAGGTACTGCTGGCAAAGATCGTGTTTGTGAAAGTCGATTGGATGACTGAGAGTGGGAAAACGCGACCAGGATGACACGAAAATGATGATCAATGACAGGATATGAGATAATGAACATTGCATCACGCAATGCTAAGAATTTTCGGATAGTATAGAGCCCAAATTCAACAATATGTTGAGGATTTGTCGAACTCTGCGAACATGCATCCGTAGAGATGAAGATTTAAGCAGACAGAAGGCTTGCTTAGTAATGCATGATTACATAATACGACGAGTAACGCATGCGCCACTACATCAAAGCAAATGCAAAGCAACCTTAGAAATCCTCATATTCTGCATTCCACCTGGGCATGCTTTTGCTGAGCTATTAAGAGGCGCATCAAAATAGCCTTCTCTTGCTGCGAAGTACCTGACTACTTATTGGACGTTGAGCTGCTTATCTATCTCAATTAACGACTCCGCCACTCTTCTTAATTCGGTTCCGCATCTCGAGGTGAAGGGTTAAGTCAACTCACGGACACACTCATCTTTTGTCGATCAAATTATTGATTCATGATATTTGTTTGCTACCTGACTCTTGCGATAGGAAGTTTTGCCTCATCTGTCAAGCTTGAGTGATAGCTAATCCTGTCAAATCATTTGTAGATGAAGTTGTAATCACAAAGCCTCACCAAATGAATATCGAATTATCTACAGACTCTCTTCAAGATCTATGGCCAAATTACCGAATTCGACATGTCAAAATATACGCAGGTCATAGAGTTATGGAAAAGTGGAAATTCGGGACTCGATCGACAGGAGATGTAATGATATGCATCAACATCTAGAACAATGTTTGAGAGTTAGCTAGCTCGATGATCATTGCGCATCATAGACTACATTTGGATCCCACTAATAGGAATGAAAAAACGGTAGAACCTTGAGGATAGCGAACTCGAAGACACACATAATACCTAGCATCCGGAATTGCTTGTACTCTTAGCAATTCTTAAACTACATTGTTTGTCAAGTACGCACGAGACTGAGGTACTACAGGGACTCCAATCATCTTCTATGCTCTTTCTGTGCAAGAATAGATACTAAAATCTTTCGCTCAGGGTGTCAATGATTGTGAATATGGATGCAAGCTTGTGTAAACATGATTCGCGAGCTGTATGGAAGCCTGCAAAGATTCAAGCTACTTGTGGGAGAGTGTGAGAATCGGAACATCCCTTGGTCACATGAATGTGGATGGGGAGCGAGTTTTGTGTTTCTGGGTTTGATTGTTCTCTGAATGAGTATCACGCAATCAACGAAGCGATTGGAGCAAAGCTTACTGGACAATCATAGATGGCTATTGAGGAATGGTTCGCCTCTTGATCGAGGGGTGACTCTGAAATGAAAATGAGTATAGGATGCCTCAAGCGGATGGAATTTCTGACAAATGTAGCTCAGAATATTTTCTGAAAGAACCACAGTGTTATTCAATTTACACGGCAAGAAGTGGTTTGTCCCATCACCTCCAGAAAATCATAGAGCCATAAAGTTCACCCTACATGTTTCCAACTCTATCTTTGTATTTCATCATTCCATCTTACATTTCCCATGAGTCAAATTTTCCTTATTACCAGAGTTTACAAAACCATCATCGATATAACAAGTATCTCCTATGCAAGCGCCTTCTTTCATACTCATCCATTCCTTCGACTGACCCAAGCACAGCCGAATTTCTCTCTCCATTCAGATTTCACCCCCAAATTCACTCAAACACACTTCACATCCTCACCACATTCTTATCTCCATTCATCCTTATCTTCATCCACTCATACGCAATGGATTCTGCACTGGAAAGTTTTGTTGCATGTCTCAAAATTATAGATCTCGGAATACCTTCAAATTCCATCTTCTACACTCAGAATAAAAGCTTCATTTTTTCCTTCCCAGATTCCCATCCATGAGGAGACCAACTTTGAAGTCCTTGAGCAGTACAAAGATAAAGTTTGATGGGATCGATGTCGTCTGATCTCACGTCTTTCATATTCACTTGCTATCGGTAGGTATCTACTATCTTCTATCTCCTATCTGTTGTATCGAAAAGTTTTGTTGCATATCTACAAAATATAGATCTCGCGATAATCGAGTTTTTGAGGCTTTCAGCGCAAATAAAAGCTTCATTTTTGATCCTCCGAGTCTGGATTGATGAGGAGATCAACTTTGAAGTTCGTTGAAGCCGTCGATATAGAATTGCTTGACTACATCTCCATCTTCATTCCTCAAGACTCACAACTCACAACTCACTCCGCACAACCAGAATTCACTTCGCCTAACGTCGCTCCCTCACCGCTCAAGCTCGTCCTGATTCCTTCTCGAGAAGTTTTGTTGCATATCTACAAAAGTCAGATCTCACGATAGTTTCCAAAAGAAGCCTTTCCACCAAACTGAAAAGCTTCAATTTCTCTTCTCATGAATCTGGGTTCAAGAGGATATCAAGTTTCAAACCCGTAGCTCTCAATCGTCAAATATCATAAGCCAGAGGTTACCTCATCGCCGATTACCCATTGCTTAGTAATGAGCTTCACCTTGTCCGTATCTGAGTACCTAACATCTCAGCATTCACTTATCTTCTAGCCAATAGATTCTCATTCATCCTTACAGAAAAGTTTTGTTGCACATCTACAAAAATTAGATCTCACGATAGTTATCAAAAAAGGTATTTCCACCAAAATGAAAAGCTTCAATTCCAATCCCAATGAAAACAGGCTCAAGAGGAGAGCAATTTTCGAATCCATCCCTTACCTACCTCTCAATTGCCAAATTCCCAGAAGCAAGAGGTCATCTCGTCGTCCCCCACCACTTACTTATTATTATTATTCTTCTTCAGCAGCAAGCTTAACTTCCCATCCTCAATATTCACTTAACATCCTCCAGCCAATAGATTACCATTCATCCTTTTACGAGAAAGTTTTGCTGCACATCTACAACAATGCGCATCTTGCGATAGTTCCCCCAGACCAGCTTTCTACCAAAATGAAAAGCTTCATGTTCTTAAGATTTGATTTGGGTCGTCGGCATTGGATTGATTCCCTTGGTATGGGGAGATCAGGATTGAGTTGGTGTTGTTGGCCATTGTTTGGGATTTTGGTAGAGGTAGACAGGTTGGTAGATATGGTTGGTAGTATTCACTTGAAACTTCACTTCGTTTTAGGCTTCACTTTATTCCGACCGACACTTACCCCTCGATTCTCAAGATGGGGTTTGTTGCATATCGTATTCTCACCTTTGGAGGAAGAAAGTGGTGATACTTTCTTATTCCATTAAAACGATATGTACAGAGATGTCTTCTGGAAAATCTTCATATTGGAATGATGAAGAGGATAAAGCTTTCATCGGGCAAGAGGATAGGATTGCTCGCATTTATCGCCGTCTCCACTCTCATCCCATGTTCTAGTGGTGACATAGACGTCGAAATTCGCTCTGTTATAGATTATTACATTCAGACTATCGAGCTTTTCAGATTTCCTCAAGGAATGGGGAATATTGTGTCGCACGTCTAGGTATGTAGCTTACCTTTTGATTTCCGGGGAAAAGAAAATCCTTCAAGTCTATAGAAGGTTTATCACGACCCATGACCTCATGTCCAAGATTCTTAGAGGTAAAAGACGAAGAGAACAAACAGTAAGGAAACGAAGAGCTTGAACATTTGCATAGATAGGAACCCATCATAGAAAAATCGCATAACGGGTTTAATTCAGAGAAAGGATATGTGAGTTGAACAAAATGTCTGTCTAGGTACTTTATTGAAATAACAATTCGATAGTAATCTATGTCATCTTATCCCAAGTTTTCGCTCCAAACTCCTTGCTTAACCACTACCAAAAAATAAAAATCTAAGCACTGTGCGTCTGACTTTGAGAGCTGACATGTATGTGAAAAAAACTAACATATTCCAGGTTCCGCAATGCGATAAGAGTTTATCCACCCCTCGTTTCTCTTTCAGAAAGATCGAACGCGTTCAATAATGGACGTTTTGATGTATATCTGATGCGACGCGATTCCAAATAAACAATATATAGCATCAAGTGATGAATATAGATCGGAAAAGCAATCTGAGTATCTCCATACCTTGATAGTCGGCCAGGAATGATGCAATAGAGATGTTGGTAATCGTGTAAGGCTCAGTTATGATAAACCCACGCAGTCTTTGATACTCATTATCTAGTTTTCCTTTCTTGAAAGCACAGGAAGACTTCACAAGCTTCTATTCTGAGCTGCCAGTCGGTGTGTATCGGAGTGAAGATTTGTAGCTTGGTGTCAGAGTATGCGGTAAACTGGACTGGACTGGTAGAATGGATAGAAACTATGAGTGTTTGAAATGGATTCAAAAGTTTGAAACATTGGAAAATTTAAATCAGCACCAGGACCTGAAACCTCTGGTTTTTGAACTGCAAATCGAACTCTTGGAAACCCAATTAAATATTTCCGTCTTTGGATAACCACTCAGGAGAATTTTCGAGTAGGTAATTGTGGTTGAAGATTTTCGGTATGATATCCACACATAGAAGTCGTTTTTAGTTTACTTCACTCAAAATAATGTCGTACCCGAAGCATGGAAGGCTTGAACACATCAAAAGACTGTAAAATCTCATAATTCTCAATCCCTGGTAACTAGTAGTACGATCCCGGATACCCATCCGTTGTTCCATAATCCGAATTCTGATGATCTGGTGTTTCCGGAGAGAACGAAATATTCGGGGGACTATCCAAGTTTGACATCCCATCATGCCCAAAATTTTGATGAAAAGCAGGAGAGCCATTGAAATCAAATGATTGAGAACTTGTGGTCTGCGTTGAAACTAGACCGAAATATGATTGACTCTGTAAATCGATCATGCCTGAATTTGGATTCAAGTTGGAAGACTGGTTCCAGCTCCCTGTCTCTATTTGCAGACTATTCATATAATCGTAGAATGGGATTTGGTCTGGTGTGTTTCCCGGAACTTGTGGTACAGGTGGTAATTCCAATTCATTTGGGTCCATTGCTTGCTCGCCGTATGATCCAGTCACAGAGGTAGGCATTGTAGTGCCCAAGACTCCTTGGTAAAGAGGCTTGGACCTGAATGGATCCGAGTTGGTGATATCAAATGTGGGCATATAGCTCATATTCTCTTCTGGTGAATTTTGCTCAAATACTCGATGATGTGCTTCATCCGATACTGTGCTCGAGAAACTTTCAGAGGAAGGAATGGAAGAAAGTCGAGCCGCCGAGGTTTCTTGATCTGCATAGAAAGATGCAGGGGCGTCATCGGGTACAGATAATCTATCTGGGGACGGAAGTAGTACCATCTTATGCTTTCTTTGGAAAGTGACACATTAGTAGCTTTCATACAAAAGTGATGGAGAACCTACCCTTCAAAGGTATAGATACATTCCACTGGCGGATATCTCCTCGAACAATGCCTACACGGTTGTTCCCTACTACATTTTTGCTTTCTCTTCTGACACTGTAAACATGCAGTCGGCGTCCTTGACCTTGCTGTTCGCTTTGATGCTTCATCTGATTTCTGCATGTCTTCGGTTAGGCTTTCCTGTTACATGACTCTGGCTTGATCTTCATTTCCTCGTGGGAATTCGACTTTTTTTATGTCTTACGAAAGATTCATTCGGCTGATAGGGCTGAGAGTACATTCAATACATGGAAATTTACAGTTTCGGTGATTTAAAAAAATTGGTTAGAGTTGGCGCAAAGAACGCATGGTAATGCTTGTAAGCCAAGTGAGGTGTCGTCGAAATGGGGTGAAGGATTTGCAGCTTCGTTGAATGGACGAATGAGCATAGCATGGCGTGAATTTTGCTTTAGCAACACTATTACGATCTTATGGAAAAGACTTTAATTCCTTTTGGTGTGGGTAAAAAGTTTCAGCATCTTGGCACAGGCAAAAGAGATATTTTTATCTTCAAACCTCATACTTGGCATGAAAAGTAAGCAATTGAACAAATATTTCAGCCGCACCCATTGGTCCAAAACTGCCAAAACTTTGATTCTGCATCATTTGATGAACAGGGCATCCATGCAAATTAATTCTCCGCCTGAGAATGGGTAACGTATCATAATCTCACAGCGGATAATACCCAGATTCGAACATATGCCACAACATATTTCTGTGAATCACAAGAAAACAAATGATGCATTAACCAATGATGAGTGAAGCATTTCTTCTTTGCATTTTCGTCAAGGCTTCTGTATTATAAAGGCGCAAGGCACTTGCCGTTCCAGCCAATTTCAGCCATATACTGATCAAGACTCACCGCACTTCTGAATGATGATCTCTTCACTCTATCAAACAGGAACTTATTGCCAATATAATCGAACAGGCTCGAGGCTGATAGACTGTGTGAAGATTATTGGCCAAGTCGTCGCCTCCTCAATGAGTCTACCGATAACCCCACAAACATGGAGAATCAGCAACGGCCAACCAGTCATCAAGTAAGGTACTGAGTAAGACTTCGAATGCTCTAAGCTGTAATCATTTCTGATACATTTAAGGCTATGAAAGTAAGACATAACCTAAGGAGACGAAAGGACCCGGAATATTGATGATATCAGATCAGGCACCAGTAAATCGAGAATAGATTCAAATTTTCCTGGTCAAGGAATTCGATAGAATTGAAAGCAAATCATCGTCGGCGATAGCTCCAAACTCTCAGACACGATATGGAGCATAAGCTCTCTTTTGAACATGGTTCGATTCATCCTATGACTGCATCAACATGGAGCTGGTCAGGAGCGACGCCGTATTCTTCGTATCTGATAGCTGAAACTATGTGAATCGACTATGTGCACAATCTTATGGTATCTCCAAAACCAGCAAGCGGCTCAATTGTTAGTACCGGCGGATAATTTGGACCCCAACACCTGCGACATTTTACAGCCTTGCTGGAACAAGTGGTTTACAGGGGATCCGTATCAGGAATCAATTGCGCAAACATTTCCTGTCTTGATATAATTTAGATCTTTGATCGATAATCTTTGATACTATGGCCTGCCTATAGCCCAATTTGGCGAACGCATTGAGCTGGAAATTAGGAATATTGAAAGGAATATTGGCTGGGAAGGCATCTATATTTAGACGCGAAATAGAGAGCACTTATAACTGTAACATATTAAGTGGTATGGTATTGGTGACGTTTAAGTCTTCAATTCTCGATGCTTGACATTTGATGGGTGGATGAACGAAGGAGATGTATCGTCTACTAATGAAGATGTTAGTAGGAATTCCCGGAGTTGCCGAATATCATACCAACACGTGATTAGGCGCCTTAGACGCGTTTAGTGTAGTCAAATCCCCGCGCAGCTCTTGCAAGATGAGAAGAGGGGCATGGTTGTATACGCGTGTGGTAGTAAAGAATTATTGATTCTTTTCAGAATTGTTTCATTATTGTTGAGTAGGTCAAACAACGTCAGGTCACAGCCAACAACGTTATGTAAGGTTGTCAATCAGGTGACTGCACAAGAGCCTTCAAATGCTTCATCCCGGAATACTAAGATGCCGAAAATTACTTGTCTGCCTCAGGTCACAGGCAACAAGATTGTCAAAGTATTCAAACACTTCATACCGGAATTCTGAGATCCCGAGCCGACACCAACGAGTTTTCATCATGGCCCCAGTCTCACACATAACACGAGGTAAAAGCTTAATAAACTTTGGATTATATTTCTCAAAAATGTCCGCTGTTTCGCGCTTTAACATTAAAATGATTCATTCATCCAATTGAAATACGGATCAAATGGACCCTATGCTCGTTATTGGACGTTCGAAAGTTCGAAAGTTCGAAGACGGACACAAATTAGAAGTCCGAGAGTAACGGATTGTCGTGGACAGGATGGTGTGGGGTCGAGGTGGAGGTAGATGTGTGGAGTATCATTCACAAGTGGTAGGATGTACAATGTCAATCACAGTGGATGAGGGATTTGCATTTGCAGGTAGGTAACGGGATCGAACATTGAGGAGAGGATCGATTGGCGACAACGCGGTTGCATATATATGTGCGTTTGGGTCCTCGCAAAGAGTTGGAGCATTCAATCGTTTACTTTCTCATTTTATTCGAGGTTTATAGTTATCGGAAAGCTTTTGCTGGGCTTCTATAAATACTTTTGTATTTCGTTTTACTGGTGTAAGTCTCAGCTATTTAAAGATGCTGAACCGTTATCAAGCACCTAAGGATATATACATCTAGAGAAAACCATACTAATCGTTGAATACAGCTACCACTAAATATAACTCAGCTCAAGTTGAGCGACGCAAGATTCTTTATCAACATTTCGCCAGCACTCGTCGATAGAAGCAAAGACACGATGCCTTCAACACTCGTTCTAGGGGCTTCGGCAGTCCTTCTCCTTATATATGTTGTCCGAGCTATACTTTTCCGACCTAAAAACTTGGACCTCCCAATCGTGGGTGATCCTAGTGATAGCGATTTCAGAGCTGCATTGCTTGAAGGGACTGCCAAAGTAAGAGCCTTTTCATCCAATCGAATCAACCCTTATTTACCCTAACATCCAAACTTACACCAAACAGTATCCTAAAACCGCCTACGTCCTCCCCAGCAATCCCCCAACAGTCGTCCTCCCCTTGAATATGCATGACGATTTCCGCAATCTCCCTGAAAACAAAGCTTCTTTCCAAAAGGAAATAGATCGTTTATTTATAGGCGAGCACACCGGTATTGGCAAAGACAGTTCCCCACTCATCAAAGCCGTCAAGATCGATTTGAATCATCACCTAGCATCTACTCTTGAACCTCTCCAAGACGAAACACGTTTTGCAATAGATAAAGAATTCGGAACGTGTGAAAATTGGACTCAATTTACTGTGCACGGAACATTTGTCAAGATTGTTGCCCTTCTCAGCGGAAGAATCTTTGTGGGAATACCGCTGAGTCGAACCGAAGAATGGATTACTATTAGTACTCAATTTACGGAGTATGTAGTACGAGCAAGAGAGCGCGTGGCTAAATATCCAACGTGGCTTAGACCTTTCGCGACCCCCTTCTTACCAGAGATCAAAGTGATAGAGCAACATAAAGCTGTGGGGGCAGAGTTATTGAGACCGATTATCGAGGAACGCATTCAACGATTCAGGGAAGGAGAAGGAGTGGACAAAGATGATGAATCCAAGGATAACCAGGGCACAGCTGTTAGTTGGCTTATGAGATGGTCGAATGAAAAGAAGGAGGATCCGCTTGCTTTAGCGCAACATCAACTCAGCTTGTCTTTTGCTGCTATTCATACAACGGGCTCAGCTCTCACACACGTATTATTCGATTTAGCAGCTCATCCACAATTCATCGCGCCTCTTCGCGAGGAAATCGATCAAGTTCTGGCGGAGGATGGATGGGAAGTTGACAGCAGCGGGAACAAAAATTTGAAGAATCAATCATTACCTAAATTGAAGAAAATGGACAGTCTCCTTAAGGAAAGCCAGAGGCTCAGTCCTGTTGAGCTGGGTGAGTTTTGTCCCCCTACCCCACACTTTCTTCCCAAAACATATATCAAGACCCAGTGGTTTTTTTCAATAGCCATCTGCTACCCTTCTGATATACTAACGAAACCCAGTCTCCAACCTTCGTTCAACAACCTCGCCTATTCGACTCTCTACTGGTGAGAACATCCCTACTGGAACACGTGTATCATTCGATGCCTACACAATCAACATGTCCGTTCCGAATGTCTCTTGGCTTCCTCATGGTCCTTCCAATATTCCGGCAATTGATCCTCCCGAAACTTTTTCGCCGTTTAGATGGTCGACGCTACGTGAAGCACCGGGGAATGAATCAAAATATCAACTTGTGACGACAAATAAAGAGAGCATGAATTTTGGACATGGGGTATGTTTTCTGGTTTTACAATCACACTTTTCAAATCTTTTTTAATACAAACTCCTTGTCCCAATACATATTCATTCCTTCATCTCTCCTATTCTCGCCGCATACCGCTTTCAGATCTCATCCTTTTCTTTCTTCCTCCTTTCCTCTTCCTTTCTTCTTCCTTCGTTAATTCTTCCCCGTTTCTTCAAACACAAAAATAACACGCACTAATCCTCCACCCACAGAACCACGCATGCCCCGGTCGCTTCTTCGCAGCCACAGAGATTAAAATCATACTGGTGGAAATATTGAAAAATTGGGATTTCAGATTAGTGGGTGATAAAGAGGGTAAAGGGGGGGAGAGACCGGGGAATCATTTCAGTAATACGATGGTTAGTCCAAACTCGGCTGCTAAGCTTGAGTTTAAGAGGAGGGTTGTTTAACTTGAGCTAGGCGTGGAGGTGAGAGATGGGGGACGGAGGGAAGATGGAGAGGGCTTTATGTGGAGAAAATGGAAGAGGGGAAGCGAAAGAATATTAAGAAGATAAGCATTTGAGAGATGGGAGGATTGGGGTAGACTGTAAAGGGGGGAGGAAGAAGAAATTATGGAATGGAGTGGAGACGTGCTCCATTATCTCCAACCTTATGATATTGGATGAGAATAAATCGAAGAGATCCACTCCATTAATTGACCCCTCGTATTTGTATTATATCTCATAATTCTCTCGAATGTGCTTTTCTACACCGCCGTCTTGCGCCTTCAATTCCCTCAAACCCAATACCAAACGAACCCTTAAGTTGTGAGCTATGTAGCTATATCAGACATCACGTCAGCACCATATTCCGCATTCCGCATTCCACCTCCCACATTCCACTAGAATAGAATCTACTCACTCCTCCATTTAACCTAGAACTTAATAATGACCACCTCCTTGCTGCTCCAAAAAAACATCAAGCCGAGCTTCAACATCCATTTCTAGACTATCCGCTGTGTCTTCTTTCTTGACTCTGGTACCGTCGTAGAGAAATCTCACACTCTGCGAATCCCCAATTTCCTTATGCTGACAATAAGCCTCCATGATCTTCAACATAGGCTTGGCGCGCTTAATCTTGAATGTAATCTCATCACCCTGTTGATCTACGACCGTAACAGAGACCGTCTTTGGTTTGCCGGTACTCGCACCATTACCAGTGCCAGGCTCAGGTTTGTTCTCGCGAGAGGCGGAGGTTGGGGTCTGCGGGTCGGGAGTTGGTGAGTGCATTTTGTCTGATTGTTTGCGTTTGTGTTTGTTGATGTTTGGATTGCGATCGAGAGAACTGGAAATCTTAGAGGTTAGAGATTGGGTTTTTATCGAAGAGAGCTATCAATATACGGCCATACTTACATGGATTTGACCGTTACTTTCAAGATACGTCGAAGCCTGGTCGGTGATGATTTATCGACCCTGGCAGTATTGAAATATGGTAGTGGATTTGGTATTGCTGATATTAGGAAGCGAGGTACGATAGTTGGTGAAAGATCCGCGATAGTACTTCAAGTGAATAAGTACTCATTCGCGCCGTAGGAAGTCGAGACAGACGTTTTGTATCGTATCATATCGACAAACTTACAAGGAGTCGAAATTCGCGAAACGCGTCAACCCGTGATATTCATGCTCCTTCTGGTTGCGCGCATGATGCTGGGCCAATCATCGATCATGATATGTGATCGAATTAATTGTAGAATTCACATGTAAATGCGACATATTTCGAGTGAATATTTAAACATCAGAAAAATATATTTGCGGACCTCGGGAGCGATGCTTGAAATTGATATGACGGAGGTCAGAGCTTATTTAGTGCGTACAAGCTCACCGGGGAACGCGTTCCGGCCGGGAAGCCCTTTAAAGCGTGTTTAGTCAGGAACGGTAGCGCAATTCTCAACGTCACCAATCGATCCACAAAGGATATGGCAGGACGAGATTCTACTGAATTTACCAATTTACGTTCAATTCGATTTAACAAATCGTTCCGGTAATAGCTTCCATCATTATATCTAGTCCATAATGCCGGGTGTTCTCACACGTCTCTTTTTCTTTTCAAACAGTCAAATGCCTGTGTTGAAATTTATCACCATAATTCCAAGCCTTCTTGATGTCATCCTGAAATTTCTTGGACAATACAATCTCCTGATATCCAAGTTCTATAAGCATGGAATCCCTCTTACAACTTTCTACTTACGATGCTTCAGGTTCTGTCGGGCTCGGAATCGGTATGGCGGGACAACGATGAAGGGAAAGGGGGGCAGTCGAGGGTGTTTAGAGTGGAGTTTGGTATCTAGTATTCAAAGTGATAACATAGTTGTGTTCTTTGGAGGCACAATACCATTCTTCTCACTTCCACATCGACTATTGGATGTTGAACAAAGAGCCGTAAGCATTAGTAGTTGATACTTGCAGCCCCGGTTCATTCGGCAGTCGCTCTCACATGTAATTGATGCCATAATCATCATGATAGCATATATCGTTTTTCTGGAAAGCTCTAATCAACAAGGGCCTACAATCATAACCCATTCGAGGTGGACCAGATTTCGAGAACAATATATCAGATTGTACCGATGTCTTACATGAAACCAATACGGATTAATATCAACATAGCTTAGTCTAGAAGGGTCTCATGCTATCCCAGAGAAAATATCATTGTTCATGATATCGATGAGAATTGCATTGAGATCTAGTTTTGTAAAGCTTCCGGAAAGTTCTAAGGAAAAAGGTTGCTTTGATTCGATACTTTGCCCATTAGACTCTACTTTAATATTTCATAACACTCATGATTATAAACCTACAATTAAGCAAACAAAGGGCTATCAATGTCAGATACTCTCCATTGTCATCATTGGTTCAACTGACTCGAGACAATCAAACAACTCCTTTTGTTCCAGTGTTCATGTCACTGCTCAGATTGAGGTTTACTATCAGAATAGCATCGGAACTCTTGTTACCACACATTGTACAGGGCTATTCGACAGACAGCTATGTCTTCTGTTGAGAGATGTTACTTTTGTATGAATAACTTGATTTTCAGGTTTCTCTTCATAGACTCAATGGATGACATCAATCGCAAATACTGGAAAGTGAGTAGCAGAGTAGACGTTGGCCTTGGGCGGCGATGAACTAGATCGCCACGACATTGACAGATTGAGATGATTTCACAAGGCTTTTGACTTTCTTTATCATATGGAAGTAACCCCCGGCAAGTAAAAGTGAGCTCTGGGAAAATAGCTTAAGAGACGGCTGGCGGTGAGTGCGTGGGTAAAGCAGATATAATTTTATCAAATAGGGATTAGCGCCGTTTCTTTACGCGATCTGAATAACTTCAAGTTCTCTTGCGACAAATTTCCTCTTTCCTTTTTTTCTTTTTCCTTCAGCCGAGATTAAACAAAAATTTCCCCCAATACCTTTCCATACGACACAGCAATTTCGATATTTATTCTCTTTAATCCTTGTCTCCTCTCTTCTCTCTCCTTCTCACTCCTCCCCGCATTACACGTTCATTGATGAGATCGCTGAACAGTGGCAATTCCTGACGGTTCCCACGAACGGTTCTAGCTGATGCTCATCATTGCTCGGAAATGCAACCTCTCCATACTTCTCGCTCACTTAAATCCCTCGTTGATTGATACGCAAATGCTCCTTGGCCTTATGAGCGACATCAAAGTTGGTTTTCCGCTGCCACAATTTAATTTCACACGATAACAGCGTGAAAAGTCAGGTATCTGAGACCAATTAATTTTGTGTTCTTCGATCTTGCTTTCAAATTTAAAAAGACCGTCTTCACACACTATTCATATCCGAGACCAATTAATTTTGTGTTCTTGGGTTTTAGTTTCAGATAGGAAGGAACAGTTTTCACACTTTCCTCATATGTCATGAGAAATAAACAACAGAGTTCCCACACACAAAACACAATTTCATCAGAACTATTAACACCTCGCATTCTCATCAAATTAACCTCCTCAAGTTCTGTTGAAAGTCAGACAAGAAAGAATCCTCGAACGAAAAAGGTACAAATAACAATGTAGGCAATCAATCACCTTCATTTGCCCACAATTGAATTCTTTCCCTTTCCAGTAATGATTGGATTATTTCCCCTTCAAATCAGTTTCAATTGTCTCATTGATTTCTGATCAATCGAGTGGAATTCTTCCTATCGAAAGACGGCAGTATGGTTGCCGCCCAACAAATCTCAAACTTGAGCGAGTTTTTCTGCATTTGATCGTCGTGTTTTTCTCGTTCATCGATTTTAGCATGAATTCGACATTGATTAACAATCACAATGTTATAGGGAGCACAGCGGTCCATTAGCGCCGTGGAAGATCGAAGAATAGGCGAAGCGGAAGGTCACATATAGTGCTCGGCAAAATGTACAACGGCCAGAGGTTCATGTCTCTATCTTTTGTTCTAAATACATCCTGGGTTACAATGTCGAAAGCCGCCAGTTCACCTTGAATTCAAATGTTCCTTTATAAGACTAACTTTCCTCAGCGGATGAAATTCCAAAAACAGGTCGACTTGACGTCGTTCGTGATTGCCCTCCTGGATTGAACTACAAATCGCGGAAGCATTGGAATCACCAGAGGAATTTCTATGTAAAGTTGGCAGGGATGCAAGATGAATGGGTTGGATTCTCAGACGGTGAAGAGGGATCGGCCGAAGGTTCTAAAGATGAGTCACAAGAGCAAGGGTTCATAGGGTTCTTAAATGAGTTTGACGATGAACCTATCGAAATTCCTCGAATTAAGAGACATCGAACAGCAAAAGATACTTCTAGTGGAGTTGAAGATGTTGATAGAGCTGCTGGACATCACAGACTCACGAATGATCTTGAAATTTCATCACCACCTCTGGTTGAGCCTGTTGTCCCGCTTCTCGACAGAGGTTCATTTCACAGTCGAAAGGTCCGCAAGAAATCTTCACCTCCAACTGCCATTGATAGAGCGTCAAGATGTGCACCTCTAGAGACACGAGCCCGATCTCTCAGAGCTTCACGGGTTACACCAAAGCATACTCGTCTGATATCACGCGTTCAGAGACAACAGGAACGATCGAACTCAATCTTTTACAATGTTGCGCCTCCAAATTTATCGCAAAGCAATACCGGACATTCCAGTACCGAGAAATTTTCTTCAAAGGATGCTTCTACTCAAATCAACCTTTCCTACTCGTCGGCAGTCTCGGTTCTTTCAGAAGAATCGGATCAAACGCCTTCAGCAGGTGGTACGGTAGGCTTGCTCTCAATGTCTCACAATGGTATGGAACATTCAAATAGTCGCCTGGTGTCAAGCAATCTTTCAAAGCAAGATAGGCGTATTCATACTTCACGAAACGTTGCACAGGTCACATCAATGGTTCCCACACCATTCTCATCATCTGCCATTGCTTCTTGTGCAATGCATGCTACTTCACCTCCAAAGATTGGTCCAGCAGAGCCTATAGCTTTCTTTCCAGCACTGGGCCAACACCCTCCTGCTACTGTGTTTGCTGTAGCTGCTTCTCCAACAAGAGTTTTACCTATCATCGATTCAAGTCTTTCTGTGGAAGCATTATCAACTAACATCGGTGGTCCCTCACTCGATGGTCATCTGAGATCGGAATTCCCAGCACAAGTTCAACCGTTCAATTCAATACCTGCCACAGCACTTCAAATTCCCGTTGGTCGGCCTGCTATCGCTTCAATTGCGTCTATGCAAGTGTCGCCTCGCCCTTCACCAAATGGCACTATCAATGAAATTATCGACGCTGACAATTCTCTAATGTTTAATATTCCTTGGTACAATCTTTGTCCACGCACAAAATTATTGGAGCTCCAAGAAATGTGTCTACACCATCTAGATTTAACATATCTTGCCATTGTTTCAGGTGATTTAGAACTTTCTTATGATCCTGACCTTGATTTGGGAGGACTCGATCTTCTTGTTGAACATGGCATCCAACTTGACTGGGTCACTTGACTTGCTTGATTTAAAGACCTTTCGATGTTACCGACGGGGAGTAGATTGCCAAGCTGAATTTCTCGATGTACAACGCAACGTTGAAAATACAATCTTCTAAGTCCAACCATCCTTCACTCTGAGTTTTGAAAATATGACCGCTTAGTCTCGCAAATCTATGTCATTCCTTGATGTCTCCACTCAGGAGAGACAATCAATAATCTCTCAGGATAAATTCAAGAGCAAACTTGAGATACTGTTTTCGTTTCGGAATTTAGTGCACATCTGTAGGGAGGAATAGGACGGAATAGCTGCAAGTTGTTGGCCATGAAATCGCTGGATTGCAAAGTTGCTCGGAATATGGGAATCTGGCATTGTGGTGGAAGACTTTTCTTCATACAGTAATGATACTTATTAAGTAGAAGACCTAATACATAAACTCTTGATGTGTAACCACATGTCTCATGTAAATCTCGATATCTTTGGCTGGATAACAATCTGATTCAAATCATGTTCCGTGGATGGGATACCAATCGACGACTTTTGAAGTGATTATAGGAAAATGCTAAGCTGCGCATATGCCTGTCACTCGAGTCGTAATCACACCAACACAATATCATTAAAATCCAGTATACCAACCGATGTATTTTTTCCTTCCGAGACTCTATCTTTTCGAATAGTTATAAATGTCTGAAGTTCGCAATGGAGAATTTTGAACTAAAATAGAATGAAATAGAAATGATCCATCTCGGTGTTGTTAAATTGACTCGGGAAATAGATTTTCCGATGGAGACGGCAATTTTCCTCGACATGTGTAGGGATGCCGCATGCATCGTTCATGAGAACTCCAATAATCCAGAAGATATAGGCTGGGGTACTAAACTGCAACCTTGAACGCTCATCAGATCTCAACAAGTGTTGTGTCTCATGGCTATGGACTGAATGGCGGTCACCCTAAGTTGGGGTCGCCGAATTCCAGCCATCATTCAGGTGGTGAACATCACGAATGTTGGCTCTCGATCGGACATAAACTATACGATGTGTGATCTTGGAATAATAATTAGTTTCAATTTTCCTCGTGGACTAATTATAATCTCATCATCAAGTAATCGTCAACAGGAGCCCTAAGAAATTCAAAAGCGACGTGAACCATCAGCAAGTGCACTGGTAGGCGCTTATGGCCTTTATTTGGGTGTCCATTGTCCTGGAAGTTTGACCTCGATGGCCATTCAGACCGATACTTCTTTTAAAGTGTTGGCATCTAGACAAGGTCTTTAATAATGGCTCATCAACAAATCATTTATATACGGCAGCTCATCAGCAAATCAATCAGGTACGACAGTGTTGCATAAAATGTCATTTGCTTAAAACCACCAAGTTTCTTTCCCAATATCTTCATTCTTCTCAATCATCAAGGTTATTCATAATGCCAACCCAAGGATATTCATCTACCGATGCAATGCCTTTCGAGGACTCGAGCCTTTTCTCCACCCTGCCCACTGAATTGAAATGCCGAGTTGTTGATTTACTTGCCGCGAAAGATGTCATTAATCTCCGTCTTACATCAAGAGCTTGGAGTGGTGTATCCGTCACCGGTCTTTTTAATATTCGTACTGGAAATCATATCGAACATGGTGTATTTTCCATTCGACCACATCTTGACGATATGACTCGATTACGATCTGTTGCTGGCTCGCCGTGGCTAGCGAGGGTTATCAAACATGTCAAAATATATGTTGGAGATTTGGATATGTTGGAATTTGATCATGAAGTTCAAACTGTCAATAGATATACCAAAATTGAGAGTATGTTAACTTGTGAAAGGAAGGTTAATACCTTGTTGGGACAAATTGTCCAGGACAGGATGAAACATTGTGATCCGGTCATGCTGTCTCATTCTCTTTCGAAACTACCCTCGATTAAATCCGTTACAGCCACCGCGAACGAATGTCCATTTTCGCCTTCGGAGATCAATTTTACATTAGCATGGATGCGACTCATGCGAAGATGGAATCGTGAGCCGGATGCACTCTACGACTCTTACGATACTACATTTCCTACAAGATCCAGTATCAGACATCTTAGTATATTACTCGCAACACGACTACTTCAGAATCCTGTTCGAAATTTGGTATTGGATACTTTTCCAATCGATCTTTTTGCTAGTCAAGGTTTCCATGATGACGACGATCAAACTGGACCATCATATGAAATTCACACTAGCTTCCTCCATGATATGCAGGATATGACATCAAAAGTCGAGAATCTCAGAATTGGTATCAATCCTGTTAGCAATAGCGCAACAACTCACGAGTACAGCAGAGTAATCGCTAAATCTATGAGTATGTTCATGGGATCCATGCAATCCCTTCGATCATTAGATATTACATTGAACATGTCCTCTCGATTTCCGAGCGACTCAATGGAATTAACAAACCAGGATGGTTTCTATTCTAACACATTCCCCCATCTTGAACACCTTCGTGTCTCCAAGGTAAGATCTTTTGATACGCCATTCTACTCATTCATTTTTCGTCACAAAGCGACCTTGAAATCTTTATCTCTAGGATATGATTTCTTTCTCGTTCCTCAAGATAGACCTAGAGGATGCGTATCTGTCAAATCTATTCTTTATAAACTGCGCGATGGTTTAAAATTGCAGAGATTTCAATTATTAATCAGGGCCAGTGATCAACGCATATATGACCAGGAATGGCAGGTCATAGAGTCTTCCAGTAATAAATTATCGGATGCAAAATTATTCGAAATGTTCGTGTTGGGGAAATGGTCATGGCCGATGATAAATGTAGATTATCCGCATTGGAGAAGATTGGATGAGTGGAAAGGATGGGTTAGAAGATATGGATGGGATAAGCTGACGTCGAAGTCGAAGAGGGATATTAGAGAGTTGGATTGGCAGGATGGAAATGTATCGTAAAAAAGTTTAATTATTCTTTAATTTCTTGAGTTCTTTATTATCTTTACTTGAGCAACATTGAATTGATGAGTTCTCCGAATGACGATGTTAAAGCATTATGAATGGCAGATCGTTCTTTCTCTTTGCAGAAACCATAGTTTTATGGGCCAGTAGAACTGGACCTTCACTCTATACCTTCTCTTCCCTCTTTTACTGTCCAAAAGTCCTCCTTCCTCATCTTCATGACTGAAATTCCCCTCAAATTCTCGCTAATCTCTTCTAACAGCTCTCAATACCTTAAATCCAGATTCTACCACCGAATCTCCAGAGCCTTTTTTCGACCCTCTCATCTTACCTCGCCCGCTTCTCTTCAGACTACATAGAAAACCGAGAAAATATCATTCGAAACTCCAAAGAAAATCTCCATTACATCACACCTACAACTTTTCTTTTGAAACCAAATCCTGTCCTTACATGGTCAACCCTCTCCCCCCAGAAAATTATCAAGCAGCACAAATCTATCTCCTCCTAAATACCCGCGAGATTTGTATCAAACTTGTGCTCCTCTAAGAACTTAATATGACGTACGTCACCAGATTTCATTCTTGAGATATTTAGCTCGACTCAAGACTGCATAGGGCTGCGTAGGGCTTCTGCTAATAGCGATATCATGTGACGTTTCTTCATTGCGGCTAAGGATAGTGTTCGATGAGACGTGGATTGCTATGAGAAAGTGATGACAAGGTGTAAATTAGTGCTAGACTCGTAGTTTAGGGGTTTTATGGTACGGAAATTATGTGCTTGGTTTCGATGACAGGTACGGTACACTAGGTAGTGGTTTGAAATGATTGTACAAGGATTTTTCTACGGTCCGATGTTTTTGATATATTAGGATCGTTTGCACTCCAATCAAGCACATTAGTTATACATCATCTACTATTCCCATCTCGTTGAACATTTGCTTCGTCTTAAAATTATTAAATCTCTCACACAAATAACTCCTATCAATCTTCAAACGCCTCAAAATGTCTGAATCCACATCCACATCCACCGCGTCCCCTTCTCGAAAAGAATTGATGCTCGAAGTCCTATTCGCACAGCGTGGTTTCTCCATCTCACCTTTCAAAACCGGTATGCAAAGACTTGAAGAGGTGGGCCAAACCATTGCCATGCCATCAATCCATCATTTGAACATTGGACTCGGAATTATCGATAATCACAGATTGGGTTTAAAAATTGTACGAAACACCCCGTCGGTTTTACTCGCCAAGATGTCGCAAGATGCGAAAAGGCGATGGTTGCGGGCTCGTTTGTTGGTAGCTGCGGATGATTATTTACGATATTGTCGCGGAGATGCGTTTGCGAGACTTGCTGCCTCTCAAAAATTTGTCGTCGATATCTATTTCGAATATCGAAAATCATGCTTCTCCGGGTTTGTATCAACGGCATGAAGAATTGTTGGATAATCCGGAAATGGATATGGAGATTTATACTCCGGAACAATGGGCTTCTCTACCCCCTATCAAGTTTCAGGGGCTTCTCGATATACTTACTCGTATGTCTTTATCGGGTTCTATCTCCCTCACTCATTTGAAAATCGAGACGCTTCCCATCTACACATTCATGACCTGGGATACGGAGAGGGCGATCAGCACTGATGTTTCTGCTCGATTTATCGAAGCGTTTTTGCATCTCGAATCACTTTCATTGGGTCTCTCATGCTGTATTCCCAATGGGCGTTTATCTTTGAACCCTGTGCCTTCGTGTTTTCATCATAGAGCTACAAGTCATATCGCGCAGTGGAATATGTTAGCCATCGACACCATGTGTAAAGTTGTGTCTTCGATGACGAATCTCAGGTATTTAGATTTGAATTGGCAAATATCGCTTCTTGATGAAGAAGAAGGCTGTATTCCCCCAATGAACTCGAAAAATCTAAGACAGATGTGGAATCAATCATTTCTCGAAAGTACTTTCCCGAATCTGGAGACGTTGCGACTTTCTTGGTTCTGTATGGAAAAGATAGATCTTTTTACTTTTCTGTACAGACATAAAGACACGTTGAAGTATGTAGATCTGGGAAGTTATTCTTTCGATAAAGATGATACGTCGTGTTCTTTTAAAGACTTTTTCGGGGGTCTGGAGGGGATGCTTGAGTTGGAGAAGGTGGAGTGTAGAGACGTGTATTCGATTTCGGCGAGCGTGGGGAAGAAGGAAAGGAAGGGAATTATGTATAAAGGGAGAGCGAAGAAGTAGTGATTTGATAAGGGGGAGGATAGGGAGGAGGAATGATGTTTTATACGCAAAACAAGGTAGAAGAATCTAGTTTATAATGATTTCCATAATTCTCCTGACCACGAGGTTTTCTGACACTCCGCTGAATGTCTTGTATCTTCAGAGATAATTGCTGAGGACGCAAGGTTGAATACTTTCCTATAATTGTCCATGGCGCTTCGAGCGCAGCGAGCAAACGGGGTTTGGGGGCTTGCCCCCATTAGTGAAAAAAATAATTGTACATTTCAAATCTATCTCTATTTCGTAAGATCGTGTCTAAGGGTATATTGGATTGTAACCTCGTGAAAAAAGATTATCATGACGAAGTTTGCAATTCTCTTCTCTTGACAACATCTTCAACAACCTGTTCCAACCACCATGCATGAATCCTTGCATCACCTGTTAGTTCCGGATGGAAAGATGTTCCAAAAACATTTGCTTGACGAACGGCTACTATATCTCCTGCTTCGCTATTGAGTGATTCTTGAATTTCAGAGTTAGAATGGGTTGTGCGACCGGGAAGTGTGGCGAGGACTTCCACAGGAGCGGAGAGAATAGTATCAGGGTTTGGGATAGACTTTGAGTCGATTGGTAACGAAGGCGCGATGACTGTGGAGTCTAGTGTGGATTCTGAGATTTGAGCTCCAGGAACGTGGGGGAGGAGTTTCTCCACGATAGGAGCTCGGATGAATATTGCAGAGAACGGTGCTGGCTTCTCTTTGTCTTCTTGAGTAGAAGTAGGATCTAGGTCTGATGAAATCGGGCCTAAAGATGAAAGAAATGGTAAATCTAGATTGGCCGAGAAAGATTCTACTTGTCGACCAAAATGATTACGATTCACTCGGACATCAAGACCACCGATCAATTCCTGACCACCGGCTTTGGTACGGTTTGCAGACTCGGCAAGTAGAATCAGACCTGCACAAGTTCCCCAAGTAGGATAGCGATGATATCTATAAAGTTGTTAGAATGAATACTTGGTGAAGGGGGAAAAGGTTTATGTATGACTCACTTGACATAAGCTCTCAAGGGCTCAAGAAGACCTGATCTTTGAGCAACGAGTGAGATTGCCGTACTTTCACCACCAGGTATGATGAGTGCATCACATGAATTAAGTTCGGCTTCATTTCGTACTTCTATGAATTTGTATTGAATAGGAAAGTCTTCTTTTGGTGATTTTGATTTTGATTTTGAGGTGGATTTAGTGGCGAGGATTTCACTGGCGGAACGAAGACATTGAATATGTTCATTGAAAGCACCTTGAAGAGCTAAAACTCCCACGGTGATCTTCAAACATTGTGAGTTTGCCATAATAAGCAATGATGGCGAAAGAGTGCTTCAATGGGGAAGATATCAATAAAGTGATAGGTATAAAATATATATTCTTCACATGATTTGGATACTATATTCTCGGAACGAAAAGGAAATAATTAATGCCAAGAGAACGATAAACTCAACCGATTGCCGAAGAATATCCTTGTAATTTTACCCCAAAGAACTAGGTAACCTTATTTATCATTTGAACCAATCAAAATTGGATTATGTAAACCAATGAAAATTAATCCTCAACCATTTCTTATGCGCTCAAGGATCTCAAGATTTAAGCTTCACTTGTCCTTGAACCGGTTCTATAAAATATTATATTGGTTGATTATCTTATGTCACTCTACTTCCCTCCTTGAGAGGGTCATTTGGTCATTTGGTCATTTGAACATTCGATTAATTAATCATCCAATCATTAAAAGGATTTATTAATTTGTGCAAGATTAGCATAAACAAGTCGAAGCTCTCAGTCATATTTTACATCTGCCTAGGTATTCTAGGTACATAACTCTCAAGATGTTCGCTCTTCTTTCTTACGCTACAAATCTTTCGATAATCTATACCGTTCTCACTCTATCTCTCTACATGCTCTCTCCTATTGTTCCCCTCGCGGGTTTCTTCGCTCGTCTCCTCGCCGGTTATATTTCCCTCGTCCTCTGCGCTTGTTATGGAGTCTTCATATCTATTCTCCTACGTCTCGTAGGAAATTATCGCATATCGCAATGGGCCGTCGCTCGCGCGTTCAAATGGACAATGTGGTTAACTACCGGCGTAACATTTGTCGTCGAAGATCCGCACAATTATCTCGGTTCAACACGCCCCGCAGTCTTGATCGGAAATCATCAAACCGAACTCGACGTACTCATGTTGGGCTGTGTATTCCCTCGATACTGTTCCGTTACCGCGAAGAAGAGTTTGAAGAATGTGCCGTTCCTGGGCTGGTTTATGAGTTTGAGTGGAACGGTATTTATTGATCGGGGTAATGCGAAAGATGCGCGACAGGCTATGGCGGGTGCAGCAAAGGAAATTAGGGAGGAAAAACAAAATGTTTACATGTTTCCGGAAGGAACGAGAAGTTATGCAAAGGATCCAACTTTGTTGCCTTTTAAGAAAGGAGCTTTTCATTTGGCGGTTCAAGCGGGTGTGCCGATTATACCGGTCGTGGTCGCTTGTTACAGTAATGTTTTGCACGTTCAGAGCTGGCACTTCAAATCGGGGAGGATACCGGTTAAAGGTAAGCTTTCTAGTTTTTATTCGAGATTTGGACAGGAAGCTAATTTGGAAAAATTATAGTTCTGAAACCAATCGAGACGAAAAATCTCACTTCTGCGGACGTCGAGGATTTGGCGAGAGATACGAGGGACTTAATGTTGAGGGAGTTGGTAGCTTTGACTTCAAAGACAGAGGGAAAGCCGATAGCTATGCCGGCACAAAATGCGGATGGAGTTGTGAAAGCTAGTGGAAGGGAGCCGCAAGTGGAACATCATATACTATGAGGACTTATATGCTGTGAAGGAAGGGGTTGATCCTTAAAGGTAGATGGATAGCTATAGGACCAGATAGATCCCGTATAGAAGAGAGATGGCACAAGAAAAATGGGTGGGTTGTACGGAAACGGAATACAAAAGGAAAGACGAAGAGTCGAAACAAATCATGGAACATGAGATATGATATTCAGCGCGCGAAAAGATTTTCTCTTGCATGAGCTTGGAGTACATGGGCATGGAATATCAATGCGAATGCGAAGATTTGAAATTCAGATATTGGTAGATACCCAGTAGAATTGGAATTTGATCTGAAGAACAAAATGGATATCGTTATGAAATTCTATGCTGCATTGGAATTGGGATGATGCGTGGCCTAGAGCTCAAGTTTAAACTCAAGTGGGAGTTCTAGTTTGATGTCCAATATCCAAAGTGACCCCGCTCTCTCGTTATGCTTCCACCCCATACGTTTTTTTCCTGTTCTTCCGCCTTACCTTGTTGTCTCATCCTCATTTGATATTTCTTGTACGCCTGAAGTCCGTTTGTCTTGTTGACTGCTATTCCGCGTTCTTTGCTAGACACCAGGTCATTTATTCGACTGGAACAAGGTGATTCGTGTGACATAGATGAGAGGTTCTGTATGTGAAGGATAGATTGTCATTTTGACCCGGGCTTGAGGCAAGGATTAGAGATGGAGGGGAGTGAGGGAGAGGAAAACGAAAAAAAGGTAGAGGGGTATGGGGGAGAAGAAGGCAGAATACTGATGTTGTGAAAATGTCAGGAAAGCAGGATTGAGGTGAGAACGGCTCGGAACTTCCGTGAACTGCAGGTTTTACCTGATAATTTGGTGCAAAGTTGGAGGTTCTCGATAGTTGAGATGTGTTGTCGCGGATGAATGGGTTACCCTGTAATTAGATTGAGATTGGCTGCTCCCCTTACGGTAAATCTACTGTTGAAGTCGAATTCGAATCTGAGCGTGCTATTGGTGTAGATGAAGAGAGGTGGAGTTGTGGGGATTATTGCCGCCTAAGAGAAATCGTAAACATATGGGACTCGAAAATATCATAGGTGTGAAGGAGAGTATGCTAACCAGAAAGTTTGATATACAATGAAAGAACGTGATCTGCTCCCATAATCATAATGTGCCCAGGTGACTCAATTAACCTCACCTTGCAAAGGGTGAACTTCGGGAGTCGGGTTTTGTTAATGCCGATACAGCATCTCTTACCATTTACCAATATTCTCCCTTCCATCAACTTACACATGTAGAACTATAGACCATCTTTTACAGAAACGGGTCTTTGAGATACAAAAGTTGTTCTTGTGTTGTCTGATCATGCTCTTTCATCAAGTGTCAGGACCTCAGGTTTGAAGAATGGTTTTTGAACACTCTTGATTTGGAGATGAATTATTTGATGCTTTGTTTGAAGGATTGCTTCATTTTATGAAGTGGAGCGATTACTTGAGGCAGTAACTGCTGGGTACCTGTACTCATACTCATAGAAGACAACTCACCGCGCCAACATTCAACACTTCGAAATAAACACTGTGGAGATGATCGAAGATGTGGTATCATACAAAGCCACTTAGCCTTGCAAAGAAAGACCTCGACAAATGACGACGAAGGATTTGGGATACAAGTGCTCTGGCTAGCAACTCTTGATTTGGAGAGTTAACTAGTGGAGTAGAGTGAAAGCTCAGAGGTGGAAAGAAGAGTGGATTTGCTCGATTCGTATTCGGGAATTGCGCTTCACCTTCCTTCCACATTGCGGGTTATGTTCTGCCCTTGGCTTGTTTCACGCGCACTTGCAGTGTATGCTGCGGGGAACAAAACACGAGGGGTTGCTAGCGCACCCCCGGATATCTTTTATGGGATTTTGGACGTTTGAAGTTTGACGGTGGAGGATGGGCTGCGGAAGTGGTTGTGTGGTGATTGCATGTGGGATCGCAAGAGACTACTCAGTGTCACCAGCACTACTGCTACCAGGAGGTTTTCTCTCAAGCTTGTCAAGACACTATTTATTGCAAGTATGCTAAGCCACGGTCCAATGCTTGGTCAGTACAGTGGTCAAGTGTCTGGTTGCAATTTAGACTGAATTCTCTTAGAAAGAATTGTAGATACATTATCCCTTTCTTCATCCCTTCCTCATCTCTCCATTATTGTCTCTCCCATTCGTACACACGTCCTGTCCGTCCTACAACTAGTTACGGTATTCTTCCGGAAGATGCGTTAACATCTTTGAATAGAACTCTTTCTTAAAGTCAACCCTTCCATTATCTTTCTTCACTTTTTGACCCTCCATCGCTGTGTAGTCTCTAATCTTTATGTTCTCCTTAGCCACAAGCCTATTATCACCAACTCTTGTTCGATCAAGATGATCCGAAATCAAGCTTTTCAGAATCTCCTGATCTTCTCTTTGAAATGGTTGGGGACCCGACCAAGTGGTCGTAGGCGGCATATTCGTAAGTGTTAGTGTTTGGAGATTTTTAAACATGGTTAAACTGCCATTTGTGAAAACTCTTGGTATAAGATGAGAATGGTCCGCGGTACTATTGAGGTGGCGAGTAGCGACAAGATAACTGCCATGATTATTACGAATATCTCTAATTTCCAAATGGCGGATACTCTTTAAGCCTTTCCTATGCTCCTCGTTGATTTTATTGTGCCATTCGAGGGTCATTTCCATTCTATTCTCGGGAGTACTATCTGAGATGGCTACTGCATCCTGTTGACCAAGAACCAGTTGTCTTGGCTGAGAATACTCTTTTCTGCGCTTGTCGTATGTTATCTGACCCTTATACATGTATCTTGATTTCCTCTTAATCATCGGCTTGTCCACGATAGTGTAGTAGTGTATCGCTATCTTGCGACTTTCATAACATATACTTAAAGTTATGGGTAGTTCGATTCTATGATCCTCACTCCTGAGATCGCCCGTTCCAACCACAAGACCAAGGTGCTCTGTTTTAGGAAGACAGCAATACTCCCAAATCATCCACCGCAGCTCAGTAGGTAATTTCAGGAATTTGGGAAATGTCGCAAATCTTGCATGCAAGTATTGACTCTGACCAAAGCCGGGAGATGAATTACAATCCTAGGTAGAATTTAGTTATCTGCACAACCAAAAAGCAATCTTTCGAAAGGAAATTAATCTCACCAAAAACATGCGATATACAATACTAAGCTCCTGTGGCATACTTGGCAAATTCCAGATCCTTTCGAGAAGATCTCTAATGCGTCTGAGAATATTTCTTCGTTCCTTAATGGACAGATGGGTAATTCGACGCCTTTCCATAGGTGGCCGAGAATTTGGATCCCAAAAGCTGAACGATCCGCCACGTGGAGCGCCAGTGAAAATTGGATTTGAAACTCTTGAAACTACCCGCATGATTGAATCTCTTGTGATGGAAGATCTAGGAACATCAACCGTACCGTGATCGGTCGTAATTATTGCTTCCCCCTGGTGATATTGCCAGCTAGGCCGTGTATCAGGGTCAGCAGGTTTGTAACGATGTTTGGCGGAGGTGTTATTGCTTGAGCAAATTTGACTGCGAAGGTCGTTCAACTCCTTTTGTTTTTGTGAATCATTCTGTAATTCAATGTTGGGATCCACGTTTGTACTCCAATCAGCGGGGTATTCATCAAAGATACGGGAAGGAAATTCATTATCGGGATGGTTCCAAACTGTCGTGCGGGTATTGTTGTTGACCCAGTGTTCAATATGTACTTCATTGCCGACTACAGATCGGTAGTAATAGTTCTTGCAACCTCGGGGGTGATATGCGTAAACCTTTTCAGATACATACTCCTTTCCTTGCTTTTCATGGTGTGTGCTCGTGCCAGGAGGCACAAATGTCTGAGCCCATGTAAAAGCTGCATCACGAGTCAACTTCTGCCTGTCGGACTCGTCCACTATGGCATTTGAAATTGTCTGCGAAATTTCAAAAGCTTTGATCACCAATTCGCAATCGTTCGAGTATGCTGTAGCAGAGCCATTTCTATGTTGCTCAGTGGATGTTTGGCCAATATATAATTCACCAGTGTGTTTGCGACCAACGTATGTTTTCTCTTGTGGCATGTTCTGCATAAAATCAGCCATCCAGTTCGACATATCTGGTTCGGCATTGGCGTTTGTGTGATCGAAAGAAAACATATTTCTTAATTCTTGGCCCATTTCTGTAACTTTGTTAGAATGCTTCAATAATATATGGGTGGTGCTCAGATTACCTGATGTGCTAGCATATTGCATATTGTCAGAGAGTGAGTGGGAAATTAGTGTCTCATTCGAGCCACCGAAGGAGCTTCTATTATCTTGAACACGCATCTGTACAAGACCTGAAGCAGATGTCTGACCTGGGTCGTTGCGGTTGACAAAGTGCTCTGATGGAGTGCTACTGAAAGCACTGAAATAATTACTTAGATCAGGTGCTGCCAATGGTATTGAGGTACGCAACTGTCCACTAAGGGTGGGAAGCATGTGCGGATGTGGATTGAAAATGGCTAATTGACTTTGTGCTATACTATTGTCGGGATAGAATGGACTTCCTTGGTCAGTGGAGACATGTTGAGTCAGACTGGTATTGGGTGGTGGGTTGGAAATGAATGGTTGATTTGGTGTCATTCCAAATTCGGGATAGAATGAGCTTCTTTCATGGCCAGCGAAGATAAGTTGAGGTGAACTTGTTCTAAGTCGTGGGTTGAAACGGGCTGATCGATTCGGTGCCATTCTAGAGTAAGGATGGTATAGTTTTCCGCCTTGATTAATAGAGGTAAACTGAGTCGCTCTCGTGTTTAATGGCGAGCTGAAAACGGCTGATTGACTTGGTGCCATTCTAGGGTCATTGTAGAATGGACTTCCTGCTTGATTGGTGAAAGCAATTTGAGGCAAACCTGTGTTAAGTGGTCGATTGGCGTCTGAAGAACTTGACGATGCGAACGCTGGATATGCGTAGCCATCTGTACCATTGTTAGTACTCTTCTGGCATATTGGGCCTACTTTTCATTCTTTTACTGAAGAAATAATTACCTGTATATTGATTGGAGCCACCTTGCATACCTGTATTGCCATTAGCAAAGCTACTAAAACGCGGCAAATGATTGACGTGGGGCGTGGTCAGTTGCTGAAATCGATTGAACTGGGAGTAAGGTGCTGTATCAACGGATCGAAGTTGATTATATCCTTCTGTCGTCAATCCCATCGGAAAGTTGTTCGGGAGGTAATCGGGTATCGCAACCTGTTGTCGATGACCTTCTATTATATCAGCACGGTCTATGTATTGTCACTTTATAAGTTTGTTAACTTACCAACTGCTGTTGATCGACCAAACTCATAACCAGCTGTTTCCGCACCAGGCGTTGTTAAGTTCTGATTATCAGGTGGCCATGAAGGCGGGTTAGATCCGTCCATCTTGTTGTCAACTTGTTCTTATGTTGTATGAAGGAATTTAAATGGGAACGTTGTTGTGTTTTTCGTTCTGGCTATCAGAAAGTATTTGTGTCGGGGGAGTTCTCAAGAGACTTTGTTTACGCGGGGTATCACATGATGATGAGATAACAGAGCTCAAGGTGAATATTGAATTTTGTGAGCTAGCTGAATTCTAATTTCGTTTGTATTCTGATTATTCGTTATTGGCTATGCAGGGGCCAGTCAAGAGAAACGGGGCGATCATTGGCTGTAGAGTCCATTTTCAAGGTCTTTGTAAAGTTTGGGCTTGTAAGTGCAAGATTTGCGTTATTTCATAGTGTTCCAACGGGCTTTTGAATCATGAACTTCAGTCTGCTGTCTCTTGCATAGGAATCCTTGTTTTAAAAAGTTTCTATGGTAGTTTGATCGAAAATCCGGTCTAGTGGAATGACTCAGAGTTTCAAAAGATTAAACACATCACATCGGCGTGAAAACAAGATTTTGCACGCATCTATGAAATTGAAGACTCTTAATGGTCTATTCGTAAACTAAACTATGAAAACCCGATGACAAAGTGATTGACTCGATTACTTCTTCCTCCAATTGCCATGTCTGCTTTGTTCACTGGGCTTTGAGACTGGCAGCGGCTCGTAGAATGAGGCATATCCGGTGCCACTCCATTAAGCATAATGAAGTCCTTTCCTTGCACATTATTCCTCTCCGAATACAAAATTCTGCTCCTGAAAAAACGCAACCCCGCCTAACTCCGTTGTGTTGTCGAAATAACCCCAATTGTATACCACGAGAAGCGCCTCTCCTTTTCATCGGAAGGATGATGATTCCTAGAACTATGCAAGACGTTAGTCAACGGAGCTTGTTATCAGAGAGTCTAGCCAATCAAGAGTTTGTGGTAAAGACTTTTGAAGTAATTCCCCTAGATGGCGAGGACGCCATGTAGACCAAGGCAGAGAGATCTTCATTGAGTATATATCTCCCCTATAGTTACCGGAGAACTGTGAATATGATACATACTTTTAGTCAACTGATTCAACACTGGTCTCGGATTCATCCTGTGCTTCAATCGCTTGAGACTTTGAGTTCTCAGGATTATTCTGTGCTTCAGCAGCCTGCGGTGCCGACTCCTCCAGCAATTGAGAAGCGCTGTTGGCGATTGCAGACTGTAATTTCTGCGTCTTCGCTGGCTTTCTGCGACGAATCGACTTATTTACTCTGTTTGCGTCCCGTGGAGGGTCCTTCCGGGTATCGGATTTATCATTTCTGGCGGGATGTTCTGAGATGGTTAGATATCTTCGACTGTATCATCTAAAGGGGGATTGCAACTTACTGAACGTGTTGCGAGCATGAGGAGCTTCCATCTGTGCTTGATGCATGCTGGGCGCCAATGTGCCTGGTATATTTGGTGGAAAAATCCTAGCAGATCGAGTACCAGCTTCTTCGGAGTCGAAGGCTGCTCCCGCTTCCTCAACATTTGAGGTAGCCGTCGGATTGCTATCAAGCTGGAGTGGTTGCATAGGACTAGCATCTTGTGGAAAGAAAGGGCCAGAATTAATTGTGTTGAATGGTTCAGGAGCGTCTGGAATTGAGTCAGAGAGCTGCGCAAGTTGTGCAATAGTACTCAGCCTACCAAACTGGATTCGGTCCTCTGAAGTATCCATTTGATCACCACCTGAAGTGGGCATTTCGCCTGGATCGTTGCGGTCTATATGCTCGCTTTGTGATATATCGCCTGGAGCATCAGCCGTATATAAGTCTTGTTCGTGCTGGACTATATGCTGGTTTGGTGGCATGTTGTCTGGAACATTAGGGGCACCTAAGTCTTGTTCGTTCTGGACTATATGCTGGTTTGGTAGCATATTGTCTTCATCGTTGGCGACTTCATACTGGTTTGATGGCATATCGCCTGGAGCATTAGGTCCACCCAAGCCTTGTTCATTCTGGACTACATGCTGGCCTGATGTCATATTACCTGGAACATTAAACACACCCAAGCCTGTACCTACTGCTCCTGGAGCTCTCTGGTCACTAACATAACCGGAAGGTGTATGAGGTACTGGCATGTTCTGGGAAGGTGTAGTGAGAGAGTGATCAGGTGTCGTGAAAGCGTCATCAGATTCATCCACATAATGTACTTGCTGAGGAGATGCGTTTGGTTGAGGATTATGTGGAGGTTGTTCGATACTTTCCAGGATGTTCTGTTGAGGAGTTGTACCAGGAAGATTACTGCTTGGCATGTTGTCTCCGGAGCTTTGGACGGTTTGCTGTGCCGAATCCATATTATAATTATTTAACATATGGTCGTTCTGTTGGACCTCCGGGTATGGGGGATTATTCTCGAAAATGTCGTTTTGGTGAACCTCTGGGTAATGGGGATTATTCTCGAAAATGTCGTTTTGGTGAACCTCCGGGTATTGCGGATTATTCCCAAAAACGTCGTTTTGTTGGACCTCCTGGTCCTGGGGATCATACCCGAAAAAGTCGTTTTGGTTATCAGTATGATATGTAGGAACTGGGTTGTTCACCGGAACTTGGCCATGCATTTCTCCTTGATAGTTATTCATCGGATTCATCATAGCTGTAGCCATATCGAACTGACGAGCTCTCTGAACTAGGGGTCGGCAGAAATGGTCAGCCATGCTTGCAACTATTGTACATCTGGTCATATCCGCCTGATTTCCTCTCTGGCCCGGGGGCTGTAAGCCGCCGTAACGCGTCTGGGAGGGATTGCTGTTCATGGTATTCATCATACCTGTAGCCGTACCTGCTTGGTGAGCTCTCCGATCCAGAGGCTGTAAACCACTATAGCGCGGCTGGGAAGAATAATCATTCATAGTATTCATCATACCTATAGCCGTATCTGCTTGATTTGCTGTCTGACTCGGAGGTTGTAAACCGCTGTAACGCGGCTGGAAGGAATAATCGTTCATGGTATTCATCATACCTGAAGCGGTGTCTGCTTGATGAACTCTCTGATCCGGGGGTTGTAAACCGCCGTATCCCGGTTGGTAGGAATAGTTGTTCATGGCATTCATCATACCTGAAGCCGTATCCATTTGAAGAGCTCTCTGATCAAGGGGTTGGAATTCACCGTAAGGTGAATCCGGGAAAATGTTCAGTAAAGCGTTTCTATTTTCGTTGTCTATTACATCATTATTAGCAAGCTCTGAAGATGTAGGAGAGGTATTCATCTTACGATATTGAAGTAGTGTCGAGTTTGGTGGATTTTCAACACGATTGTTTCCAGCAGGAATAGCTTGGTGTGCATTATCTCCCGAGTTCGGAATCGGTGATAACTCGTACGTGTTGCCGAGAAGATGCTCATTACGCTGTTGAATTTGACCAACCAAGTTGTGGTGGGTAGTCATTTGACCTAGTAGGGCATCCGAAGCATTCGGAGCTTCTTGGTTTGGTTGTTGATTATTTCCTGCTTTATTGGCTAGCATGCATTGTGTTTATACTATGAACGTATCATCTTACCAGTGAAACCTGCACCAGTCTGCGCACCTTCTCGGTTGAATGCAGCAACAAACACATCATGTGAGGCTGCAGGACGAGGGCCAATTGAAGGGCTTCTTAAATTTACTCCGTCCAGGTCGTATGGATTTCCAGAAGGTGGACTATTTGGTACATTGTTGGATGGTGAAATGGGTTGATTGAACTCGCCGGTACCGTCCATCCAGCGATGAATGCGACCTGGGGACTTAATCAGACTGCGGGTGTCTTCTGGCTGTGGCTGTGGTTCTTCGGGTGGGGAACTCATGTTGAGCGTTGATAGATGTTGGAGTTTGTTGTTGGGGTTGATTTGATGTTGTATTATGTTGTGTTGTATTGTATGAAGCTCTTTTATTTTGTTTATCAACGTTGTTTTTTGGGGGAGCTTACATGTACGAAATGCCACGAGTTTGCGGATATGAGTCAGGGTTTGTTTATACAGTCGCGTATTTTACCTCATTTTAATAAATTGGTTACAGTAGATAGAATTTAGATAAGCTATGTACAACGCTAGTGAGGGGGTGATGTCATGGAATTAGGGCTAGATGGGCTATTAAGATGGTGGTCAATGCTGGCAAGTTTATTTTGTGCTAGTAATCTAAAAGGAGAATCCGACCCGGGGGACTTGTAGGAAAACCAATACAGCTTCATATTTATTAAGGTGATCTGGGATGATTTGAAGGTTGCCAGGAGTAATCAAATGCAGCAAGTACCTTTGAAATGATGGACTTCTTTTGAGCATCTACCTCTTTCCAATTTTGATGGTCCGAAAGTTTTCGACTAATTTTCAATCTAAATTAGCGTGGCTGTTTAGTGAGCAACCGCTTCCGGAACGCTAGCTAAATAATAAAAGCTAATATATTGTAAACAATCCTTGTACGATTCAAATATCCAGATTCCGCTATGTGATACAGCACACATTATTCCATCGCCTACCTTATCAAATTGAAGAAGCAATCATCAATTTATTTTCTCTTCATCTCCTATTTCCTATTTACCCTTCTATTCTCCCCATTTATTCACCCTGGAGCGGGAATGACGGATCTCCTTTATTTTCATGTTAAACTACTCTGCCTCGGCATCAAAGTGCCTAGTAATTGTTTAGCACTAGCACAACAAAAAGGGCCAACGGATCAATTAGTACCGTCTAGCTATAACCCGGTTAGCAATACCGAGGTGCGCTTTTTATGAGTTTCCATTAAGCCCTTATATCTAGAATGACAGTGCAGATATAAGAAGAGAATTCCTGATGGCCCCCTTCCCTCCCCCCTTTCAATAGTAGGGAGCCTTGAATCATGTAACCAATTACTGTGAGTGAGCCTAGGTGCTCGTTATTTCAAAGCGGTTGAACCCAAGAATAACAACACAAATACAAAAATGAAAACTCTTGTGATCTCAAACCCCCTCTATTTCCCCGTTCACCCCTTTTATCATCAAAATTCCATGAATATCCCAAATTATATCATACATTCACCCTCATACTCTCACACTATCATGTCCTCATAATCATATCCTCGTATCTATATTACCATATTCATATCACCATACAACGAGATCTTACCATATAACCCTGCAAAACCTGACACCTAAACCTCACACCTAAACCTCCCTCACACCTAAATCACTTTCTAAACCACAATACCCTTATCACCACCCCACAATGCCCTCCACAATCCACATACACCACACCCCGCAGCGCTACCATCCCCCCCCAGATTCCAAACCATCAATATCGAAATAAGCACGCAAACTTCATCGGAACCATAATCTATCCTTTTGTCATGACCCTCTTCTATAGCCTACAAATCTCATTTCCCACTCCTCAGCCCAACCCTATTCAAGCCACCCATAACAAGTACCTCCATCCCCTTTTCCTCCTCACCTTCACCAACCCCCAACCTCGCTCCTCCATTCTTTCCAATAAAAAGATAGGAAAGAGAGCTGGACATATAGCCCCTTGGCCTTCAAACACAAACTACCAGATCACAAGTATTGGCCATCAGGCATCAATTATCAACCACCAACCATCATTATCCTCCCCATCCTCAATTTACACTACACCGCGCCGTGCTCCTCCCTATCCTCAATCATCCCCCGTTTCTCTTCTCCTTCACATTAACCCATCCTTTTCCCCATCCAATCCAATCCAATCCACCTCAATCCACACATCCATTCAAATCATCCCATCATTCCAATTACCATCCACATTAATCACATCTCAATCCCCATCACAAGTCCCACCACACCTCTACCTCACTTTCGCCGCCAAACAACCAAGAAACTCAGATACCTATTCGGAGATCACAGAAGGGAAGTACAGAGACAATGAACAATAAATATGAATTCATGAACATCAACTCCTCACTCGATAGACATCACATATTCGGTAAACCATATCCTCACCTTTACATCTCGTTGTAAAACTTCAGAAGTTCACATACCAGAAATCACATGCAAAGTAAAAAGGATTGTCTAGCTCATTGCAATACATTTAAAGAAGACCGCGGGTATCTACTAGACCAGATGGAACCAAGCTAATCATTGTGCAAAACAATGCAGCCAACTATCTATCTACCTTCTCCAATTCCCCCTAGCAATACCAAACCAAATCTTCTTTCAACTCCTCATCTATGCAAGTCTGCAATTAAATTCAGTCCAATAAATATCATGTACTTTAGTCTAGACGCATCTATTGCGCTAGTATATCCGCCAAGATGCGGATGGATATTCTATCCTTCACACCTTTCTTCAACCTAAATTCTTCGATATTTATAACTTTGCATCCAACTCCTCAAACTCACTGATATGTTTGACCGGTTGTGGTCCAGCAGTAACTTGCAACATACCCTTGAATTGTCGTACATCCGTGATAACATATGGTACAGTACCATTGCCTTCAGCTTTGACGGCAATAGCTTCTCCATCTTCAGCATCTTTACGATCCTTATTGATCGCAAGAACAGTTTGTTCCTCTGGTTTTGCTTCTGGCAAAGAGGTTCCTTGAGCAATGAGATGAATGGAGAGTTTAGAACGAAGTGGAGAGGATGGTAGGATGAATTGATTATAGAATTGGATCATATCTTCTTTGGTGAGTGCTTTGACATTGGCAGCATCGTGATGGACTTTGGAAGGGGTTAGTACTTTCAAGTCAATAGTGTATACGGAATAACTTACCAAGCTCAAAGTCAAAGTACTCATAATCAATATGAGACCATAAACGATTTGATTCTTGATCCAAATTCTTCAATTTCTCCAATCTTTTGGTAATCAAACTTCTCTTGTGTCCTTCAAATTCGGAATCTGACATGTTCTTGAGGATCTCTGAGTATCCAACCAAGAAAGAATCGATTCGCTCTTCAAGATATTGTGGGGTTTTCTCACTTTGGATGATAAATCTATAAGCGATGGTAGTAGTTGTCGTCGAACAACCACTGAATACAACATATCCCAACTGCTCCTTTGTTCTTAATTGATCAAATGCTGGTTCATGAGTCATTTGATCGAGGAGAAGAGTCTTGGCTCGTTGAGGACGAACAGCCTTATCTCCAATAGATAGAACGTATTCAATACAGTGATTGACATTGGCTGGATCTTTCAAAGTTTTGTGATAAACGAAATTGGCACCAGGTGGGAAGACCAAAGATCTACCTATTGGCCATTGAGTTTGTGGCAAGACTCTTGGCTTCAAAATACTTTCAGTTAAATCAGCCAATTTCAAAGCATCCTCCTTGTACAAGTTTCCATGTACAAAAGTTTCAATGTGCATCTGTCTTAATAGATGGGGGTAAAATTGTTGAATGTCGTCCGCAGTAACATGTGCTAATTCGGCTAGATATTGCTCATTGATGTAGCCCTTCTCGCTACTGAGCCATCTCATATAATCACCAACTTGGTTATAAGGTTGTTGAAAGTCCCAGTTCTTCAAACCTCGTGCCAATCTCTCCTTGATAATATCGAATCGTTCTTGTTTGACTTCAAGATCTCTCATAGTAGTCAAGACCTTCTCCAAAAGAACAGGGAGCTTATCATTGTATCCGGAAACGCTAATTTCCAAACCCATTGAATGACTTGATACAGAGTATTCGAGTCCTGCAAGCTCAGCATCATAGGCGTATTCCTCCAATGCATCATAAACCAAATCGGTATACATTCTTGCTTTGAGAGAATTTTCTGCAGTGGCCATTGGTAAAGGATTTCTACACTGGATGAAAAGATTCGCTTTTGGGACCCAGAAAGTATCATCTAAGAACGAATTAGCTATAGTTTTTGGAATGGACAAGGGAAGTTACTGACCTTTCTTGAACCATGTTCTTACCGAGTCATCATTTCTGATCAACTTGGGAGAGATGGCGGGTGTTTTAACTTCCTTCTTTTCAACCTCGAGTTTAGTTGGAATGAACTGATTTACATGAGGTAAATGTAATTCTGGGAAACGTTCTCCTTTCTTGCTTGTAGCAGCCTTTTTGATCTCTTCCAAGAAATCCGCTGGAATTTTCTCGTATTTGTATTCCGTGCCATACCACTTCTCTTTTGAATCCCAACCACCTGGGAAAGTTTGAGAAGAGATTTGCATACGGAAGTTGTCAGCTCTTAAGCAATCGAGTCCAGCAGATATTTTTTCTCCATCAAACTTTCGAAGTCTGCTATGGCCACTGAGTAACCATTCTCGAGGCAATGGTGTCTGCATGACAGCACTGATTTTGCTAGTAAATCTACTAGCTGGAGTCTTTTGCTTGAATCTGAAATCGACATCGGCTAAACCCTTTTGCTCATCAAAAATCCATTCTTGTGGTGGGGAATCTTTGAGTAATGCAATATACTGGAAGAAAACCTTGACAACTTCCTTGTAATTCTTGAGACCTTCTTCTGTCAGACGTATTTGACAACTGAACAAACCAGGAGTTCCAGGACATATTGGATAGACACCTAAGAAGAATTAGTATAAATTTGAAATCTTGAAGGAGGGATTCGGAAAAGTCCGCTGGGTTGAATCAAATAAAGTCAAACTTACCTGCACTTAAAGCATTTGCCCACCCCTTAGACTTAATATAAGCCATAATACTACCTGGTCCTTCATGTCCAATAAGATGTGTCAAATATCGACTTGGTTGAGATTCGAAAAGAAGTTCTTCATCGATAAATGGAATGGAAATGTCCAAAGTTCGAGAATCCATAACTGGTTTAGCAAAATATTGTGTCGAGAGTTGATCTGGTCCATAAGGCTGTTCATCCTCCCATCGATTTTGTGGCAAATCCTTATTTCGTACACCGGCGAAAAGATCTGCCGCCCATGATTCCAACTTATCCAATGGCTCTCTTCCCAATATGACAAGCTTCATGCGATTCGCAGAATAATGTTTCTCGTGGAATTCCATAAACTTTTCCCGCACATTGATTCCCCGCGATTCTGGTTGTATTTTTAGAACCTCCAAATTTCCTGTCGAGAAGTGGCAGTAAGGATGTTTTGGATTTGATAGTGATTTATCCAATTGATGTAATCTCCATTGATCACTCTGTAAGTTCTTCTTGTTCTCCGAATCCACAGCCTTTAATTCTCTGTCCAGAGTCGAGTCGAGGAAAAGAGGATCTATGAAGAATTGCGCAAATCGATCGAGAGCACCATACAGAGGCGAAGGGGTTGAATCTTTTGAGTCTCCATCCTCCCCTGATTTCGCAGCAACTTCAAAGTAATAATTTGTAGATGTGGCACCAGTATATGCATTGGAACTTCCGGAATGTGAGGAGAGGTATTGTGAATAAGCATTTTCAACAGGGTACTATTCAAACTATTAGTTGGTGATCAATTAATGTGGGAGATGTGCGAAAGTGCGCCACCTCTCCAGACAAAGAGTATACAATACCTTTTTGGTTCCCATGAAAAGTAGATGCTGGAAAAGAATTATATGTCAGCTTGATCTCTCATAGCATTGGAATGATCATGTTTACCTCTACAGCATGCGCCATACCAGGGAAATCTTCAGGGTCACTGAAATTCCCCACATTGACGTCCATGGCTGCTGATGCTTTATCTGTTTCAGCATCATGAACGAGTAGAACCTCTAGCTGATTGGGAAGCTTAATAACTCGATAAGAACGATCATCTAAGCTGGGCGTTTCAAGTCGATCGGTAAGTCTCTCAACAAGTCTACGATGTACTCTCTGTTCTCTCAAAGGACTGTCGGGAGCAATTGGGCTCTTTGGTTGAGTTAAATTTGACATATTTGTTGTCAGGGTCGAAGAGGACCTGGAAAAGAATGACGGAGATTTTAAGGATTGTAAAGAAGGAGAATTGGTATTTCGAAGTCTCAATTTCTGGTGATAAGTTGCAAAAGATGAATGAGAATACTGGTGTTGTTTAACCCCGCCAAGGTTGATCTTGGATTTCGAACCAGTGAATAATGAATATGGGTCCAAGGTCTGTGCGAAGGTTGATAGGAAGACAGGTTTCCGTGCTTGACCGTCTATCAAGGTATTGAGGTGAAAAGAGTGAAGGTATCGATTATGAGTTGATGATGTTGGTTGTGGTCGCAGATGTTTTATAGAGAAAAGGATCGTTGGTCTTTGTGACAATGGAGGAAGAAGGATTTGTTGTCTATTTAATGGAATTGGATTCGTTGGTCTAGATAATCGTTGTCGAATTGAGCATTGGGCGGTTCCAGAACAGGTCATTCAGCCAGCCAGGCAAGTAAGACGCGTGGTTGGTTTGCCTTTGATCGTATGGAGGAGGTAGGATGACAAGTTGATGGGAGGCAATTGAGATTGACCGGTCGATTTTTGAGAGGATGAATCTCGAAAGAGATGGAGATGCAGGTAGAAAAGAAGAGAAGAGAAAGTAAGTTATGTAGGACCCTTTGAACCCTGATGGCGAAAGTATACAATGTTAAGGATAAAGTAAGGGACCGTGGTAAAAGTTAAATGATAGAGAAGGGAGGAAGATCTGAGTCTTTGATGTATGGATGTTAGTTTAGTGAACCTTACGACCGGTGAACCTATCGGAAAATGATTATGTAAATAGTAAAACATTCAAAAACATGACGATATATTCTCTCAACAAACGGGATCAACGGATTGGATTTACAATCAGTGGAGCTATAAGATATAAATAAGATGATATATACGGGGAATGGAAGTCGAAAGGGTCGACGTGTGTAGGATCGTATAAAATGACAGGTAGATAGATAAATAGGTAAATAGGTCAGTAGGTAGATAAGTCGGTCGGTCTAGAATACAGAATACATAATACATATTATATATTCAACAAATATAAATCAACAGATAATACTACTATGATTGACTCTTTTTTGACTCTTGTAACCCCTTTGACTCTTGGGATTTCTCTTCTTCAATCGGAATCACTCGAATTCTTGGTACGATTCGTGTAATTTGTGTGATACCCATCCAATCTCTCTGATTCTCGATGTTTGGTGTGTGCCGTTTCATTTGTTTCAATTTCGTGATTCCTCTCACCACTATTGCCATACAACCCATCCAATGGTCTTACCATGACACAACAACGTCAGCAATTCCCTTGTTCGCATTGGGATCGTGGTTCGCCATTCAGTCATTTGTGTTTAAGCCATTGCCCGACCCATCAACTATTCGCATTGGCGATCAATATCAGCCGTGGAAGAATCAATAATTCAATACCTAAGTAGGACCAGCGACATCAGCTACACCAGCATTAGCAACATCACCATCAGCATCACTATCACCAAAAACATCGATAACATGGCGGTGTCCAGTGGCGGTGAATATAGCTAGGGAGAATAAGGGAGCATAAGGACAATCTATTCCCGTTTGATGCTACTACTGATTAGACCCTTGAATCTTTGGTCGCCTCGTCCAAAACCTTCTTCAGATCCTTGTTCTCCTTCTTTTCCCCTCCATGCATCAGATCCATTGAACCCCTCATTTACATCAGAGGTAAAAAGTCCGATTTGATATGATTCCCTGCCACCTGGGCACCCCTAGGTACTTTGTAGTCGAGTGTATGGACTCAACAACACCTCGGTATTGGATATTAAGAGCATGGAACATCACTTCCGTCTTGTTAAATGATTAGAGGAAAAATCTCTGTAATTTTGGATTTACATTTAGTGCAACCATAAAAGATGGACTGTCTAGATACATACATACCTAGATACATACGATACCTAGATAGATATAAGCCTAGACATATAAACCTAGATACATATAAACCTAGATACATATAGACCTAGATACATATAAACCTAGATACATATAGACCTAGATACATATAAACCTAGATACATAAACCTGGATACATATAAACCTAGGTCTCTAGTAAATATCTCCTCGTCCTTCTTCACTCAACCAAATATATCTGTAAATTGTAATGTCGTACGCGCTTGAACTACCATACTGTACCACTTTGTACATATCAAATAGGGATGCTGCCACCAACCCGGATGATGGATTCTCAATCAACAAATATACAATACAATGAACATACTATCATCGTCGTACACACATAGACTTCCAAACTCCAATTCTAATCAATAGACCGACTTTGTGTCCTCGTTCAATCTACCTACCATTTACCGAACATGATGCTTCATCCTATATACACCCAAGTATCCATATGGCATCGAGTCCATCATGTCGTGTAACCAAAAGAGATATGGCAACACGCATGAACAGCACCAAAAAGGCAAACCTACCGCGGTATATCATATATGCAACAAACCGAAACGATACCCATGATTAACACCTTTGGCACCTATCAAACCACAAGGCCACTCTGCCGGTAAAATACAGGTGCAGTTAACAAACGAATATCATATATTTGGCTAATTGAGATTGTCAGTAAATCACGAATCAATGATTACTATCCGTCTACTGTTCTTCTAATTTTTTCTTCACTGCAGCCTTTTCAATACATTGTTGTCTGTACATGCATAGGTAGGTAGGTAAATTTATTGATCACAAAACGAAAAGTTTAAAGAAAAACTCCAAATGTCAAGTTGACGAAGAAGAAGCGTACAACATGTAAATTAATTCTACTAGGCCGAATTCTGCATTTCAACGTTCACCCGATTTACTTTTTCCTTCGTCCACCCTGACTATATACCGCCTCAAGTTTCTGACTCGTCCTCTTTATGTCAAATCCCTTTTCTTCTTTCACACAATCAGACCATTCTAATACACTCTCCTCGTACAAGATCGACAAGATGACGAGGTCAAACTCCTTTCTCTTTACGGAGGATGTCATCCGCAGATGATCACATCAGAGATTCTAGTGCTTCGTTCCATCAATTTAAAGTTCGAGACTACCTCGGATCAAAAACGTGAGTACAAGATCTCTTCGTATCAGATACAACGAGTCAAAGGATTGGCGGGAGTAACCTTATCATCTCAGTTACCAATGAAATGTCCGGTTTCAGATCTTCAAGTGGATGAGATCGTTCTTGGTACTATTTACATCTGGCAAACTCGAGGTGGGAAATAGCCGAATCTAGATGAGATGATATGGCAAACGGATGTAAATCCCCATTGGTCACGCGAGGATAATTAAACCTTTCTTCTTGATCTTCGACATTACTCATGAGATATGGTGCATTAACCTCGCACGACTCTTGAAATTTGGGGATGACTATGTTGGTAAGCCAGTTTCTCGCCACCAACGTTCTTCTAGCGAATGAACCCGTGGACATACCTATTATTCCCTATTAACTACATTTTGCCTCCATCCTCAACGTTTAGTAAGAAGGCTGAGTAAATCGCAAACACCTCGGTGGCTATCATACTGCAATACTAGGTGTAGTATTAAATGATGTAGATCACAAATCACATTATATATCACGTATCCGAAGACCTAGGTAATCTTACAACCTCACATGTGAAGCGAGGCTCGATCCAAAGTATATGTGTCATGGACAGGCACATGTCTAGATGATAGCCTTGGGTAATAGCGGCTTCCAGACGAGCTGCCACAATTACTCCGCCTTGATACAAATAGTGATGAATCATGGCATGTTACTTTCACTTAACCCCGCCTCCGCTCAACACCACTTCTCGCATAGCTAGATAGCCAGATGTTTTCTGGGTTTTCCATGTGAAGATAGATACGTATTAGAAGATCACTTCAGTGTTGCAATCTTCTTTACTCCACATGAGGTTACTTCTTGAGATAACCAATACGTCATATTCACAATCACTTCTTCAAACTATGGGACCTAGATGAACACCTAATCAATACGACAGATTCATGTCTTCTAACACAAGTCAAGCCCCAGCTAATCATTTCCTAAACCCCCTCCTCATCTCATCTCAACTCATCTCATTCAATCCCCTACCTCCACACTCTCCCCAATCCCCCAACATCGCACCTACTACCACAACCTCATCCCACACGTCCGACAAAACCCTCATAAAGATCTCATCCCATATCTCATTTCATCTCTTATGTAACATGTTACATCACATGGTATGAAACATGCATACCTACCTAGCTGAAGGTAATTCGTGATAAAACATGGCAATCAGACGACGTTTTCTAGTACAGCTGGAGGTCTAGGTAAATGTAAATTTACGACACTGTCTAACTCTATACTTTGATAGATTTGAGGGAAAAGGAGGGCGGAGGATATTGTGTAATATTGTAACCATATCTTTGCGTCTCGAGACATCTGTCCAGACTAACTAGAACAGCCTTCTTTTCTGCAGAAAACCAGATAGGTTCATTTCTATTTCCAATTCCAAATTCCACACCCATTCCAGGATATCCTTCCAAAACATCTTTCTCTCACCAATCACAGCCCAGCTCAACCCTCCCATCTCCATTCTTATGTCCCCAGTATCCCCTCCTCTTCTCCTCTCCTCGAGATCCCCAACTTCTATTTCCTCCCGTATCATATCGTCTCATGACATCCCCTCTAATCATCACACCACATCTTAATCACCAAACCAAAAGATCACAATCCTCACCACTAATACTCAACCTCGCAAATTCACCAGCACATCGCTTCCTCGTGCTCACCTACAACCATAATCTCACAATCCCCTTTCCTTTTTTCTTCTTCTCTTCTCCTCTTCCCATTCTTATCTCCTCTTCCCGTTCTCATCTCGTCATCTCCCTTCATCCTCCCTCCCTCACTTGTTCACCCTCTCTCCCTCATCCCCCCTTCCCTAACCCTCCCCCTCCCCCATATCCGAATCCCCATCCCCAACCCAAGTACCCAAAAAACACTCTCTCCAAAATCCATTCCCCGACCACCCGACCACCCGACCACCCCTCCACCAACTCTTTCAGTTCCATTTGCACTACCATTCCTATATCCACACAATTTTTCGAATCCTGATCCTAGAATTTCCCAATGAGATATCAGTACCCAATTATTCACAAAGATAAAAGCGAGGTGAATAATTTGCAATCTATCAGGTAACTTTATGATTGCTACCTAAATTAGAAATTGTGTATTCATATTTTTATGCTCACTAATATGGATATTTACACACTTCGTCAACATCTAGAATTTGATATCCATACCAAAGTAATGATACAATACAACATATCATCAAGCAACTCTGGAGCTGCAATGTGCAGTATACAACAGGCGGGATACTCTATCTTCCTGAAATAACTTTTCGGCCTGCTTTATGGTAAAACTCCACAATACACCAAACCTCTCCCTGTAATATTCGCATGGTGATGATAGTCCCCCATCCTGTCTCTAGCCCATTGATTTTCTTATCGTTATGTATTATAATAGTCTCTACCCCGTGGCCGTACAAATACACATCTTTCCATTTCCGCGAATCTTCAATCTTATATTATATCTCGCCCTCTACCGACTACCGTCCAATTGGCATCAATGCTCCCGCCACACTTCCAACCCCTCGTTCCGTCGCTAGCAGGTTAAATTGTGCAGCCGCGTTCCTTGTATCTGCGATTTCTATCTGAATTCCTAGGCCATTGATGTATGCGCGGGTTTTGGGGGATATGGGTCGCATATCTTTGCCTAAGCCGAGAATTAAAAGATCTTTTGGGAGAAGGGTGTGTTAGTTCAAAGAGTTTGGTTTCTTATGATAGATAATTGAGGAGAAAAACGAAAGCATATAAGATGAAAAGTGGAAGAAGAAATAAAATGCAAATAATAGGAAAGGAACGAAAACATACCAGGTCTAGGCCACACACACCCCAGAATTCCCCACGCTTCATCCCCGCACTCAAATTGACCCTTCTTATTAACCAATTCCAACTCCTCCCCCTCCTTCGCACCCCCAACCCAAGGTTTCCATCCAAACGCCTCACCCCCCACCAACAAAACTCCAGCCCCTCCCCTCCATTTCCCACCCTTAAAAATCCCATCACCACCCACCTTCACACCACTATTCAAATGAAACCCATCGCTCAAACAAGCATCAATACTCGTACTCGGCATCGGCGTATTCCCTAATACATCTAGAACCGAAAAATCCGTCTGTGTAGTTTCCGAAGAAGGCGGACCACGATCGTGAGTCGCGGGAGGATGGGAATGGGAACGCGAAGAGAGAGAAGATGTTCGCACGGAGGTTGGTTTTATGGGAGTGGAAGGTTTGCTGGGACCAGATTGAGAGTAATGACGAGATTGGCAGAAGGAGTAGGGTGCGTGATATGAGACTTTGAATGGGTTTGAATGTTTAACTCTTGGTACCAAACTCTGACAAGAACCCAATCTCGTACTTGTGCAGGTTGAAATACTCGACCGCGGGGCGATAATTGCGTTTGCGATTTCGGGAATGGAGGGGCTGATTTTGCGAAGGCGAGACATGTTTTTGCTTTCGCGAAAGGATTTATTTGTTTGTTCGAAAGTTCTTCGTACGATGTGGATTCAACTCAGTTGCAATATTATCGGTATTCGTGATGTGTTACTTGTTTGAGTGAGAATGTAATGAGGTTACATAGAGTATGGTGAAGAGTTCAGATGGGACTTTGAGCTTTGAAAAGATTGGCGAATCATAGAGCTCGGAAGTCATGAACGTCATCATTGAGCTCTATTTTACCGAGATTCACCCGCTCCACGCATCTATTGGGCATCTTTTGAGTATTACCTCAAAATAAGTTCTATAAAACTGGTGTTAAGTCCAGTTATTTCTCTCTCTTTTAAAAAAAACAAACCCCGGATGATTACCTTTTTTCATACAAATGATTAGTCTAAGAAACTCCTTTTTCAAAGCTGCTACAATGGAGCATAGGTATTCGTGAGTTGATGACATTTCTATCATTCGAAAGACGACTTGACATACGGAATCTAACCCAATCTTCTCAATCTATCATGGAATCCTCATTTACCAAGTACCATATACCTCTAATCATTTTATCTTGCCTCTTGCTTCTAAAATAAATCCGTCATAGCTCCGTGGCTCGCATCTCCCACAAGTCTAGCATATTTCGCCAATACACCTCTATTAACTGCACTCTTGGGTGGCTTCCAGGACTTGAGTCTTTCTGCAATTTCTTCATCTGATACATCCATACTTAAAGTATTAGATTCGGCAGATATGGTTACTATATCGCCATTTCTTACCACGGCGATGGGACCACCGACTGCTGCTTCGGGAACGACGCTTGAATTATGTTAGTGAGCTATCCTGCTAAAGGAAGATTGATATTGAATGGATATCATATGCCGAGGGGACGTTATATGAGAAATAGTAATACGTACTGCCCTACGATAAATCCGTGACTAGCACCTGAATATCGTCCATCTGTAACAAGAGCGACATTCGTGAGGCCAGCGCCCATGATTGCTGCACTAGCTTTCAATTGCTCGGGCATTCCACTATGTAGAAGTTAGTTTCTAGAACAAGGAACGGCATAAAAACGTCTAGGGATACTCAAATGCTACGAAAAAACTTACGGTCCTCCTTTAGGTCCTTCATATCTCACAATCAAGACGAGATTCTCTCCGTGTGGAATATCTCCTTTGTTCAATGCATGATCAAGTTCATGTTCTTTATCAAAAACCATTGCCTTTCCAGTAAATACTAGACCTTCTTTCCCTGTGATCTTTGCCACTGCTCCTCCGGGTGAAAGGTTTCCTCGAAGAATCTGTAAATGACCAGTCTGTTTGATTGGATTACTCAAAGGTCTAATGAGAGTCTGTTCTTGTGGTAGTGATGGCCAACTTTCAACATTTTCCCTCAAAGTTTTTCCTGTAACAGTGGGGATATCACCGTTCATCAAGCCCGCAGCAACGAGAAGTTTAATGACAGCTGGTGTTCCACCAATATTGTAGAGGTCCTCCATACAGAATCTTCCGGAAGGTTGTAGATCTGCCAAGAATGGAATCTTATCGCTTACTCTTTGAATGTCATCAATACAAAGTGGTACTTCGGCTGTACCAGCCATGGCGAGGAAATGAAGTGTAGCATTAGTACTTCCACCAAGTGCCATTGTAATGACCAAAGCATTCTCAAAAGATTCCTTGGTCAATAAGTCTCGTGGTCGAATGTTCTTTTCCATGCAAATCTTGATTGCTTCTGCGGCCTTAACACATTCTCTCATCTTAGCTGGTGAATCGGCCGGATTTGACGAAGATCCTGGAAGACACAATCCCATAGATTCAATGGCGGTAGACATGGTGTTGGCTGTATACATCCCACCACAAGCACCAGCACCGGGGCAAGCGTTTTGTTCATAATCTTCCTACACAATCATTAATGACAGATCGAACCCTATACATCCATCATGATCTTACCATAACATCACTTGGAGTTGCACCCTCAACAGCCGCGTGAAGTTTATTATAGGTAAATGCACCACTAAACAAAGCCATTATGTTAATTCTGGCCTGTAGATATACATATCAATGGATACTTCCTTACCTTGCTTCATAACAACTGCTGATATTGATTTCCTTCTTCATCAACTTGGAATAACCCTTTTTGATTGAACCTAGAGAGAGTCAGGCTCCTGAAGTATATGGTGACAAACAAACTGACCTCCATAAATCATGACAAATGGTCTATTATGACGCGCAGCAGCCATGATGACCTGTTCCAATGTTAAAACGGTATCTTATATGTTAGGAATTAAATTCTGGTAGTATATTTCCACCAAAACGTCAAAGGGCACACTCACCCCAGGCATATTCTTATCACAACCAGGAATTGAGATGTTTGCATCATGGTGTTGAGCACATGTGACAGTCTCGATTGAATCTGCAATGATCTCACGTGTCTGTAAAGAGAATCTCATGCCTGCTAAGCGTTAGTGAAAACCCCTCAAGATAAGAACGTTCTACAAACCTTCTCCGCCCATAGTGATGGCATCACTGACTCCCACCGTGTTAAATTGCCATCCGAGCATACCTTGCTTCTGTACTGAATCTTTGACTAGCTTTCCGAGGTCATGTACTACAAGCAATCGTTAAATCGTATGTCTTGAAAGATCTCCTTATCTTGTGTTACTTACGATGCATACTATAATACTATATCAGCTAAATTCATTATCGTCTTCGTGGTAGATTGCATATCCAAAGATAGAGAACGTACTTGCATGGATTTCCTTCCCACCATACAGTAGATATTCCAACATGAGGTGCGGTCTTCATCATTTCTCGATTTGGCACTCCTGCCGCGTACAACATTGCCTAGAAACAGGTTCAGTACGTGTAGTTATTGGCCATGCTTTGTATATTCTTACCTGAGCTCCTGGAAAGTCATGGCCATTTGTAATTGTATGAGACCATCGATTCAAGGCCAATTTTCCATCTATAACGGTACCATGTTCTAGAGATGGAAAGTCGATATATCTTGGCTTATCTGGTATGTTTTCATAATTTGAGGGTTCCATGGTGAACAAAAAGATAACCTGTGATACCTTTCCGGGGGAGAGTCAATAGATGAAAGTAAAATAAGTGTTGATACAATTGTCTATCAACAAGTGGGTATCTAGGACAGAGATAAAGAACAATCAATGAACGAAGAAAGGTTTAAGGGAATGAAGTATTTTAAGGAGGAAGAATACAACCAGAAAGTATTGCGGAGTATCTTTTTTGAATTGTGGGGCAGGGAAAGGTCTGATCTTTTGGTTCATCAGGTTTGACTACTTTCTAATTGCCGCAGTGACAACAAGACGTTATGCAATGATATTTCATACTTTGGCATTCCTGCCGTAGCGCGGGGGACAAATTGGTGGTCGAGCCAGTGCACATAATCGATTGATAATCGAATCATTGATAGCTCATCATACCAACTTTCCAAACCTGTACCCCGCGGTGGATTCGCCATACTAACATATTTATGGATAGATCGTATCCGGCATTGGGCATTTCAAGAATAAGGTACGACCGGATAACTAGGGATTGGAAGTGAGAAGTGGGATGAGGTGACTGAGTCGGTAGTTCATTGAATCTTGAGAGTAGACATCCTTTGGCCTATATGATACTCGGATAATGATGGAGTAGATCAACATGAATGATCAAGTAGTAATGCTAAGAAGGAAAGGAGTCTTGTGAGTTTGTACTGGATAGAACTACCTACCTACTAGGTATGATTTGTGAGGGGCTCAACAATTATTTCTTGTACCCCCACCAAAATGCATCTAAATTAAACCGAGATACCGAATTTAGCTTTCCGATGTTTTGGCGAACGGATGCTTACCGTTAATTGTTCATTGAAAGTCGATTTGATTGGTGGGATCGTTTGGTAGTGTTGTCGTCGAATTTGTGAATGGCAGGTGGAGCGAGCGGAACAGGAGTTAAAAGTCCAACGTGCTAATCAAGATGGCTCACAGTTATTCTACCAGGATGAATAGTAAGAGTTGTGGCCCCGGCTTATCGCACACCACTCATTTTTCGATTTAATTCTTTAAATTTTAATAATAAATCAATTATACACTATAATCTTATAAAACTTGAATATTATATTAATAAATAATAACTAATCCTTATATTTCAATGATATCTTTAATCTTACAGATCAATTTCTCTATATATAACTTGGAATCTAAGGAATCCATTTTATCCCAAAAAGCTTATAATTTATATCTCAATTCCTTTATAAAAATAAATACAAATAATAGCTTTTTGAATTCCTTTTTTATTTATTACTATACTTTTTCAATTAAATTAAAATTTGGAAAAAAGAGTAGTTAATTAAAATCTTATACACTATACTCTAATCAAACTTTATAAATATATTCAGAATATATTTTAGAATTATTTTTTATAAATATATATTTAGATTCTGATTTATCAAATAATAAAAATATAAATAAATTTAAGGATTTATTATATACATACTTTAGAAATAATGTTTTTTTTACTCTTAAATCTTTTCAAAAAGATTAATAAAGATTTATAATTCTAGTTAATTATACCCTATATTATTATTGTTATTCTTTCTAATTAATATATTAATTTAATACAATTAGTATATCTTTTTTTATTAGTTTATCTAATAATCTGTATTCGATTTTCTTTTTTGTTCAAAAATGCTTTTATTCAATTATATAATTAGTCTTCAATCTCCTTCTTTTAATCTAACAATACCTATATACAAAATCTAATCTCTTTTTTACATATATCCTTAAAATAAAGGGTTTAGAATATACTATATAATTTCTTTTGAATTATATATATCAAAGTCTTAATATTAAATATATTTTTTACTTATTCAAAAATTATTCTTTTTTTATTCCAATTTTTAGTAGTTATTTTTATAATTCAATAAATCTTTTTAATAATTATTATAGATTTTTAATAAATCTTTTTTTTGAGTTTTTTTAATCGAATTGAATTTAAATATACTTTTTGTAGTAAATTGTCATATACTCAAATTTAATATAATCTATTCTCAGGGTTTTCCATCAATCCTAGCCTAGATAACTTTAGAGCATCAGAGAGTATATCAATTTTAATAAAATTTGTAATTATTATCTTTGTAATCATATTCAATATTCATTTTGAATTTGAGTTGAAAATAATGAATTTTAGAATAATAATTAGATTTTTAAAATAAAATGTGAAAAATTGGGTGGCTACTCTAATCTCACTTAAATGTGCGATAAGCCGGGGCTTCAACTCTTACAATCAGATGTTGACTAATAGGGGACGCGAGAAATACGATATTCTTAGCATCTCAGGTACCTTGGTCAATATAAGAAGCGACAAAACAGAGAGCGGCAAACCCATAATGGCTTTGACTACAAAGATGCAGCCTCACAAGCTGTCATTGTTATCTTCCTTTTCATCTTGATGCTAAGCTTATCTGACGCAATATACGAGGCCGAAGCGGGATGACATGCATCAAAATAAGATTTAAAGATAGCTTCAACGGCATCTAATTGGGAATCACAATGCCTACAATGTATCAAGCTCATCTCCAAGTTCTAGGCCAAATACCGCCATGAGGATTTCTGATCAATAAGGGTTCATAACCAACCCAAATCCTGAGAAAGCATGATCTTGGTGCGAAAAGCCTTGCGGAATTCTAGCGTAATAAGTTTGAGAGTACCGGTACAACGAAGGTGGGTGGTGCAAGAGACGAAAAAGACACGGCCGGATGTGAGGCTCATTAACGACGCCAATAATTCCATACTGCTGTGGACTTCCAATAGACATGGGAGCATTGGGATATTCATACGTCTAATTCACATGTGCGTATAAAGTACCTAACTAGTAGTAACCACATATGCATTAACATGAAGTGGTAGGTAAAATGGTTGGTGTAGATTCATTAATGGCTTGCATCTGTTCCTTCTTGCTTGATAACCTTAAAGCCGAAAGCCGATATTCTTTAGCGTACCAAGGTCTGTGCACTACTCGGTACCTCTAGCCAGTCTTTGAGCCAGTCCAGTCTCGAGCCAGTCCTCCGAATTTAGATATCTCATCGCATCAAGTACTTCACATTTGAGCATCCAATATTGATAATGACTTGCTGTCAATATATATAACTGCATATACACATCTCGGATCTTGTGTCATTCTATTTCAAGGCAATGACATCTAGTGGGTGTCATTTCCGCGTCCAAGCTTTGCGGCTGAAATGAAGTCCTCCTAAGAGTAAGCAAGCAATGGATTATTCAATAAGAGTCTCGTGCGACCTTATCGGCTGCCAACTTATGCACGTCTTTTCTTCCGAACGAATGGTTCGATGAGAGCCTTCCTCTCTGCGGAGGCGACAGCAAAAAGCATTTGGGGGCAGTGTCTGCCTATGTGGTAAGCTGATAAAGAATGAGAGTGCAAGGCTGGAAAGTGGTAGTGATCTGAACAGTCCATAAACATTGTAAACTGATTCAAGAGATCCTTGATTTTGTTTGACTGTCGTTTGTTTTGTTTATTTTCTTGCCTTTTCAATTTGACAGACAATTATCAATTGTCAAAGGTATCATGTCTTGTACAGCATCTTCAAGCGATTCCGACAATAGTGATAGACGACGCCGACCAGGTCCAAGGCCCCCACCTCCTCTTCCTCCTCCTCCGCCGTTTCAAGGGAGCAATAAGAAATCAAAGAAGAAAAACAAATACGTAGCACCTCAAGATGCGATCGATAAACTTTGGTCTCGATTCTCGGTATCCAAATTCAGTAAAACTACAAAAGTTTTACCAAATGCAGCACCTTTTGCAAAAGGAACATCAGCAAAGACCGTTATTGTTCCTCCACCTGGTCCGCAGAACCAGCTCGTTTCAGAAGACTTCGAGAGAGCGGTTCAAAAATGCAGAGCCAAAGTCAAGAAACTTATCCATGAATGTAAGCGAGTCAACATGCGCTTTCGCGACGCAAGCTTTGATATAGACTGGGACTTGAAATGGGAGAAAGGAAATTGTCTAAACACACTTGACGAAATAAGATTTGAAGTTTGCAAACGCGCTCTTATCAATCCTTCATCCTCCGGGCCGAAGGCTGTCAAGAGAGTTCACGAAATATTTGATAAGCCAACTTTCTTGGGAGATAAAATTTCTCCTTCGGATGTCAGACAAGGAAGTCTCGGGGATTGTTGGTTGATGTCTAGTTTGACAGCATTAGCAAATACGAAAGATGGGATTCAAAGAATATGTGTTGAATGGGACACAAGTCAGTATTTAGCATTCGCATTTTGAAGTAAGGTCTAATTATGCCGTCTTAGAAATAGGGATATATGGCTTTGTGTTTCATCGTGGTAAGTTTCTCTCTCGAACAATAAGTAGTAAACGCTAATAAAAAATTAGATGGCGAATGGATCATATCAATTATCGATGACAAGCTCTATCTGAAATCGCCAGATTGGGATTCACCCTCAGTCCATAGACATCTACTCGAGCAAACTGACCGAGAGGACGTTGAAAAAGAATATCGAAAAACTTATCAAACAGGGTCTCAGTCATTATTCTTTGCTCATTGTAAAGATCCAAATCAGACATGGCTTCCTCTTCTCGAAAAGGCTTATGCTAAAGCACACGGGGATTTCCTTTCTTTGAGTGGAGGATGGATAGGGTAATTCTATCTGTATGATCTCATTCATCAACTAACATTTCATAGGGAGGGTCTTGAAGATTTGACAGGAGGTGTAACCACGGAACTTCTCACCTCGGATATCTTTGACACGGATGCATTTTGGCGGGACGAAATTCTCAATGTTAACAAAGAATTCCTTTTTGGTTGTTCTACAGGCCTTCTCGATTACGGTTACGGCAATAGAGACGGAATATCTGAAGGTCATGCATATGTTATCATGGAAGCTAGAGAGTTATCTACTGGCGAGCGTCTTCTTAAATTACGGTTTGTTTCTCACATATTGTTGAGGACTATCACTGATAATTTTATTTGAAGGAATCCATGGGGAAAGATCAAAAAAGGTAATTGGGAAGGTCCGTGGTCAGATGGAAGTAAGGAATTCACCCCTGAAGCTCAGATTGAACTCAACCACAAATTCGGAAATGATAGCGTCTTCTGGATTTCATATCAGGATTTACTACGCAAATATCAACATTTCGATCGAACTCGGTTGTTCATAGATAGTCCCGATTGGCGATTGACTCAAGAGTGGATCAGCGTAGAGGTACCATGGAGATCCGAGTTTTCACAGAAGTTCACTATCACACTCAAAAAAGAATCACCAATAGTTTTGGTCATGAGTCAACTCGATGGCAGGTATTTTGTTGGTCTACATGGTCAATATCACTTCAGATTACAGTTTCGGGTTCATGAGATGAATTTACCTGGCGAGGAAGATTATATCATTCGAAGTCATGGGAATTATCTTATGAGCAGAAGTGTGGTCGCTGAATTGAAAGGTCTCTCGGCCGGAACATACACAGTATACATGATGGTCATAGCAGAAAGGGATAAAGGTTTACAGAGTGTTGAAGATGTCTTGAAAGATGAATTAAGTCGAAGAGAAGATAATGAGAAATTGGCTACAGTTGGGAATTCTTACGATTTGGCTCACCAGAAAGGACTATCTCACATGGATGCAAGGATCAAATTCAGAAAGGCTCAAGATAAAGCAAAGGCCCGGGAGTCGAGGATTGCTAAACGCAAAATTCTTTGGGAGAAAAGACATAGTGCGCGGGAGATAGTAAGGAAGCAAAAGAGGAAAAATAACGAAAAGCGTGAGGGTAAGGCAGCAAGAGATGCCGAGTGGGAGAAAGAACAAGAAGAACGCGAGCCGAAGGATCAAGGTGTACAAACGGAAGATATTCCAGAAGTTCAAGTCGAGAAACAAGACAAATCAATACAAACTGAAGATCCTAATGAGAAGTCGATAAGCACTACAATTGACACGCAGCCTATAAATGAAAGAGACAAGGCAGTGCAGACAGGAGACTTTACACCATCTTCTAATGAGTCTCAGGCAACTCCTATAACTCCAAAGAGTAATGATTCATCTCCACGTTCACCGTACACGATGATTCCGGGATCTGGCACCAATCGCCGTGAATCACTACCTCCACCTCCAAGCTTTGTTAATATTCGTAGGCATTCGAGTCGTCCACTAAGCTATGGTCGAGGACCTCCTCCCCCAAGACCAGGTCCATATGTTACTTCGGAGGGGGAATCAAGTGCAAGTCCTCTTTCAGATTATGATATGTATAGTGACGATGATCCGACTCTTAAGCCACGAAATCAGCCAAATGACCCCAAACCACCAAAGGAAAGGGAAGTTGATGAAGATGAACCGGAGCCATGGAATGCGGTGTGTATTGTTGGTTTCAGGGTGTATAGTAAGGATGAAGGATTGGTGCTTAATATCTGCGAAGAGGGTATGGAGGTAGAAGAGACTGAGTTGAAAGAGGAGAATGAAGCTGGGATTGATGGTGATGTAGAAGACGCTGAAGATGACAAAATCACTGAGAAGATGGAGAGAAACGGGAAAGATGGGAAATTAAAAGATGCTGCAACAGGAGACGACTCAACACCTTCCGATGTCGCAACCAAAATTGAACCTGATAAAGACTTAAATGTCGCAATCTCTGATTCACACGATAATATTACTGGAACTTCTTCGTCAGTCAACCATGACGGCCAAGATAATCCTACCGAGAAGCAACTCCAAGTAGCCACTCAAGATTTGTAAATAGGGACAGACGGCGATACTTAGCAGAAGTCAGCTCTGGTGATCTCAGCGGGTACGAAAGATGACATTGTGAAGGAATCAGATTTTCAATACGAGATTGGAACATCGAGCCATTCCTTGACTTGCACTCAACTCCCACGCTCATTTATATACAGGTAATATTCAGTGTGCGATTTATACTTCAAATCAGTCTACAATGAAATCAATATCTCTTTACTTGGAAATCTTCATCTTGAATATTCAACCATTCAGGTAGTCTAGGCAGGTGTCTCTCAGCTCTATCTTTCGCAGAATTTTCGAACCATAGCTCTAGTAATTACGTTCTCATAACTCATGACAGTCTTCAAAATTTCCATAGGTAAATACCAGTATATTGGTAGCAATCCTATCATGGAATACATTCGGAGACTATTCAATCAATAGACTTTGCATCCATCCGCACCCAAAACCAAATGTGGTTACCCGACCGGGTAAAAAACAATTGAGCAGATTACGAGGTAGATTTGATGTTCAATTTAGCTCGTACGCCGTGGATAATTTTCTATCACTTTGTGGATCGGATCCTACATTGGTTACTGCTGTGCCTCTTCACTTCCCTGTTACCCCAACATAACGGGTTCAAAATACGCCGGTGGTTGATAATTAGACCAATCATAGTGATATAAATTCACAAAGTCTTGTTGTCTTGGCGTAATCTTACGACACATCTATTCTTCACCCGCTTCCTTGTTTCCTTTGATTAGGAGGCTCTTCTTTGCTTCGTTGTGTTTTATTTAATGTTGCTAGTCTGTACTTTCTCCACTGCAATTAATTAATTCACTATCGAACTCTATTATCACTCTCCGTAACTCAGGATCAAGGCTACGCGATCAATATGGTTCAATACAAACATCTCATTTTTCTCCTGACTATAGGCATCTCAACCGCCTTTGAGAACACATTACCCCTTGCCCTTCGGCAAATTGAACCAACACCTCATCCTAATGGAAACTTCCTCTATCAAATGTGTTATCCCAATCTAGCAAATGTCAGCCTTCTCATCGGTTCCAACGCAGCCGAAAAACGCCTAAAAATCATGGCCAACTCTCCTTTTCCCTGCGAGCGCAGTAACTATATCATCTACGCCTGTCTCGCCAACGGTACATCCGCTCTCGATTTTCTCGCCGAGCAAGAATGTCTCTGTCCCTCCTCCTTGTGGGAACTCGAAACCGCCTGCACGGATTGTTATCTCGCGCATGGATATCAGAATATCACACGAGAGGAAAGCGATGCGAGTATCTCCCGTTTGAGCCAGGTGGAATGTACGGCTACACCTGTGCAACCTTTTACGAATCTTTTACCGAGCGTCGATGCGTCCCAAGCGTTGACGACCCCAGATGTGCTGTTGGGATCGGATAGATTTCCAAATCAGACGGCGGTTAGCAGTTAGTGGGTTTTCTTTGGTTTTGTGGGTTGATCGCGGGGCTTTTTTTGTAGCTTGGGATGCTCCGATGATCTACTAGTCTTGGAGCTTTTATTTCTTTCCCGTGGCAACGTACTGACGTTTCGCTCGTATAGACTATTATACTGGAAATTCTGCTTGGACGGCAGGAAGTATTACCGGAAGTGCAACGGCTAGATTGACAAGCTATACGGCAACAGAATTCAGTTGATTTACTCCGACGAGTACTGGGGCTCCTTATTCGACGGGTGCAAGTGGAAGTGCAAGTGGAAGTGCACAGACTACGACCAGTACCAGTGGAGCAGAACGATTGAAGAGTAAGAAGATGAGTTCGTCTACATTTTTGGGACTGAGCGCGGGTCTAATACAGTGCGTGGTGGTGGCGCTTACTGCTTGCTTTACTTCGTGTTAGATGGTGTGTGTGGGTTGTTTTAGGAGATGGGTTAGGGATTCGGGGGTAATTGGGAGTTCGAGGGGTGCTTAAGATTATCGGGGTAAAAATTTACGAAAGTAGATGTGAATGGCAGGGGTGGGGGGTTGTGGTAGATGTATTTTGTGAGTAGTTGGAATAGAGTATATTTGGAATTGTCGGTATTGATTTACATTGTTGTAGCTACTACTTACTGTATATGGCATATGATATGAAAAAGATTATTCATCTTATCGAATAATCGAATTTCTGGCAACAAGGCTTGCAAATCCAAAAGGGCGATACGTATATATATATATAACCAGTCGCGGAGAGTAGAAGATGATTAACTTTAAGACTAATATATCAAGGAATTCTGCAATTAACAGGCTGCCATTATCCATCATTTTCTTTCTTTCTAGAAATAATCTCGCGTATATCCACATAGACTATTTACGTAAAATCAAATCAGCATACACTCATCAAATATAAAAGATAATCTAACAATAAAATGTAGTGAATGGTAGAAATACTTAAGAAAAATAACAATTCTTCCCGTGTTACCTAGTCTCCGTGCTAAATTTGAACTTTCTCGCGTATGGACTTTAGTGTTTTATTATTTGAGAGCTTGGGAGAATAGTATTTTCCGAGTAGATTTTTAGGGAGGTTGTGGTATGGATTGAAAGTTGAAATTTGATAGTAAATAGGGGCTCGTGGTATGCAATACAGATAGCGGGTTTGATTTTGCTGAGATGGAAATTTAAATTGGACTTGAAATTGAAATTGAAGTCAGGATGTTGGTTGTGATTACGGTTGAGAGGAAAGAGAAAGGAGATGAAGAATGAAAAAAGCGGGATAGATCTTCATAAATAATAGGCTGTAGAAAGAGGTAACTAGGTAGAGAAATATGAATGAATCTTCTTATATATTGTTTGTATATATATGAATATCTATCTACTATTCATGTTTAAACAATTTATCAATGCTCGGCAGGATATCTCGTCGCAATTCTACCCAATACAGACCCTTACCACATCTTTCACTTTTCGTATTCACCTCTCCTCCCCTCTCCTAAAAAATCATCTCATTCCCTCATCCATCCCCTCATCCACCTCTTGACAACAAAAAACCCCATCTCCCTCATCAAACAGAACAAACATCAAGTTCCCAAATTCATCCATACCCTCACTTTCCCAACGTAAGTTCCCCACTCTTTTATTCTTCTTCCCCTCTCACATCCCCATCTATGATGATTACCCCATTTATATATTTGATCGTTTACGATAATGATAGTATACTACGTTTATATACCTACCTAGATAGGTATTCATACTCATTCCATCTGAGATGTTTGTTGCTGTGCTGATTTGTATTGTGTTGTGTTGTGCTATATTGTGTTTGGGGATGTGGACTAATGTTGTGATTCTTTAGGTTTTTTTTGTTTGTTAGTGGTATCCGTTTGTGATATTGGCGATAACATGAGGAAGTGTGAGAAATAAAAAGAGTTAAGTGATGAGTTTTTAGGGAAGGGAGATAATATCGCATGCTTTCATTTTACACATAATTTTACCAGATATAAAACTGCGCCTTCTACTCCAATACACAGATTTGAATATATACATACATATATACTAGAATAACCACGCCCTCCTAACTACTTCCCAGATATCACTCCCAACTTCCCACTCTCACCCCCCAACAAACCATCTCCAACTTCATCAACAACAATTACCTCGTCTCGCTCTTCAATTCCCCTCACCAATCCCCCTCACCAATCCCCCTCACCAATCCCCCTCACCAATCCCTTCAAAAAAACCCAAATAAAAATCACCACAATTAAAACATAATTCTCTACTCTCATCTCATCCCAAATATGATATCCCTAGGTTCCTATCCACAACATTTCACAATCCACCATCCCCCGCGATCTCAAAAATAGAATAGCTCACCAACCGATTTCTCCGCTCCGCTCGGTAAATATTGATTCCCCTTAACGCCCCACTTTTCGCATTTGAATATTTTATGTATGTTTTAACTCTGATTTATCACGCTCTTTATGGGTTTCTGGCTAGAAGGGGGTTGTGTTATGGAGGTTCTAGAGTTCGTGAGTTGCTTTGGGGTGTTTTGTTATTTGGATTTGATTTTGAAAATACTATTCTGTGATGAGAGATTAGGAGGTTGAGTATTCGCTGGGGTAACTGTTAGGAAGCGAAATTTGGGAGGGTAGGAAGATATGCGGGATCACTTGATAAAATGATTGATTATACAAGAGGAGTGGAGTTGAGAAGAACAGATATCGGATCAGTGGCCTGATATAAAATTGTTTGGTGTCAAGCGAGTACTCTGGGTGAGGATTTGCGGAGAAAGATGACTGTGTATAAGATGGTCCAGATCAATCATCTAGTAGAGAATTTGATTTATTAAATCGGAGAAGTATTCTTGAAGCTATGTGTATCTAGAATAAAAGAAGAAGTGGTGTTGCCTGACTAGGTTTGTGGTTTGTGGTCTAAAGTGTAAGTGTTGGTGTTAGTGTAGAGAAGGAATGTGAAATTTGTAGTTTACCACAATGTCATGGACAGAGAGTACGTCATATTATTCAAGCAAATAAAAGGACTTTTGGTAGATTTGAAAAGGGTGATAGAGAATGATCCTTCCATATGAATGCGTAATCAATGTATGTGTTGAAACACGTGTATGAGGATTGAGTATTCAATGAATAGAAGATAAATAAGTCAGGTGAGTTTGAAACGGTAAATAAGATTCAGTAAGTTGAAATGCCTTATTTACCTATCCAGTTGATCATTTTCAGAAGGTAGGAGATAGAATGAAGTTCAATGTTTGAGGTACAATGTTTGAAGTACAATGTTCGAAGCTCGAGGTGACCAAGCATAGGAAGATGAAGGTAAAAGAACCGCAACAGACGGAAAAGTGCAGACACAAAATGAATGTCTCAACCCCGCATCCTCTTAGTATGATACCCAAAAAACATCCTCATGAATGTACAACTCCCATCGTCAATTTGATTAAAATTTTATATTATCATTCGCACAATTCATTCTCCCCCTCATTTATCAATACTCACATCATAATCATGACCAGTAAGTCAATGACCCTAGTCTTGGCACTAGCTCTAAAATGGAGTCTCCACGGTGGGCCGTCCTTCATGCAAATTGAGGAAGGAGGTGAACATCATCACCACCCAATGTTCACCGAGCTAGCGGAGAGCGCTTTCCCAAACCTATCTCACTCCCAGCAAATCCGGCAATCAATCCAGCACAAGTAAATCCATATCAAAAGAAATAATCCCATCAATTCCCGTCAAATATGACAAAAATGAGGTTTCTCTTGACTACTCTTATGTTCGGCCCTTTCACATGATTAAAAATTAGCAGCAGCGTTAAGGATTTATTCTGATCGCTTGTGTACTCAGTGATTTGATGATAGTTCTGGCTGCTGGTATGATGTATCATCAACATCTTACTCGTCTTGATCCAATTCAATTTATCAATGGGGACTAACAGTTACATTCTAGGGCCTTCATGGCAGGCCTTCGTGGCGCACTCTTTTTTTTTTCCTTTCTTCTCTCTCGAACTGTCCTCACAAATGACTTCAACAATATTCGGGACTAACATACTACACGGGACTGAAATATTACACTTAATGTGCAGATCGTCACTCTGCACGTGGATTTCTTCTTGGACAAACCCCTCAAGTTGTTCGTTTTGAACGTGATAGAGTGATTATTTGAAATACATATACCTAATAAAAGTTCAAAAATTCGAAAATTATGCTCCTTTGGCGGTGCAATTTGTCGATAGATAGAGAGGAACGAGATTAGAAGCGTAGTATTTTTGATAGATTTTTTGAGGGAAAGTAGGATAAGATATTTGCGTTTGTATATGAGGAGTGAGTTTTTGGTGATTGTGGAAGGTGGAAGGTGCGAAGATCGGATTTGGGTTGCTGTAGTTGTAGTTATAGATGGAGTTTGCGTTGTGATAAAGTTGGGTAAACGAATAGAAGGGTGATGAATGGGATGGGAATCCAAGACTGAGGATTGAGATGATGTATATGTATCGTGAGGAATTCTTCTTCCGTCTGGGATTGGATTATACTTGTCTTTACCTACAGACCATGACACGATATGATCCTTTATAGTCCTCCATATTTCTTACCTCGAAATATAAGATAGATAGTTTCACTTGCAATTTTATAAAGGCATTCTGAGTTAATGTTTAATTCTATGATACTTTGAGGAACATTCTTCTCTTTCACAAGTATGCTGGACTAAATCTCACCATATTGTTATACACATCCTCATTCTTTTTCAGTTTTTACTTCATTTACTCGCTAAATTACTTACTCGATTTCTCTTTCTATTTCTCTCTCTCTATATGTCAAAAACCATAATAATCTTCTCGGATATAAACGCAGAGATAGAATAACATTCCTCTCAAATAAAAGTTAATTCATACCAAGTGCCAAGTGTCTTCTCCCACTTTCTTCCTTACTCCCTTTACATACCTCCTCTTTAAAATTCGACCTTTGACCTTCGATCGATATCAATGTTAACATCACTATCAATTTGCAAATCACAATACACACCCCAGCACATCTCCATACATACCATTTATATATACAATAACCAACAAAACCACCAGAAACACATCACACAACACCACTCCAACAAGATTTTCAAGTCCCTAACCACACTAAGCAATCAATCGTCTCTCTACTATAAATTCCTCTTCAGTAAAATGCTCATCAGCTATCAACTACAAACTCTATCTTTCTTATACTTCCGCTCTCGAATCCCAATCCCTATCCTCATCCTCATACTCCTACACAAAAACATTAAAAATTCTCCAGCTCACTTACCAAATACCAAGAAGATTAAACGAGACATTTACGTCCACTTGAACAATCATATAGAGAGATTATCATACCCTATCTGAGTCTCCGTAAGTTTTACTATAGATAATGAGAAAGAAATATGATCTAATCTTGATGATGTTCTTCTATTCATATCCATGTCTAATTTCCTAAATACTTATTCACCCATTCAACTACCTACCACCAAACATCCAACCCAAATCTATCCACTATTCACCAATATTCAACCTCACCCTCAATCTCCACATCACACAGACACAATTAAAACTTCGCCTAAATAACTTTACCCCCTACCTTCCCACCTTCCATCCTTCTCACCTACCTTCCATCCTTCCTACCACCTATCCAACAACCCTAATCGCTCTCCCCCCCCTATCCTCTCCTTCCCTACCCCACCATCCCCAACTCCAACTCCAACTCCAGCTTAATTCACTTCACTCTTACTTCTCCATCTCAATCAAAGAACAATCCCCCAATCCAATAGACATAAAAAAATAACACGCAGAACAGAACAAACATGGTCGGCAAGGACAGAGCATACGATACAATCACCTCACCTCACCTCACCTCACCTCACCTCACCGAACTTACACGGGAATCCTATACTTTATCTCTCTTGAGTCTTGATGAAGTTACGTCCGAAATTGTAATTAAAGGCGGGGCAAGGTTGTTGTCAAACATATCACACAGTAAGTCGACAAGGGTCTAGTACTTGTGAAAATATTTGTGTATATACCTATGTATACATATATAATGACTGCACCAAAACATCTCCTGCAAATACACGGAGTGGACAAAAGGGTATAGTACCATATGCGCCTAACCCATCCCATTTCATAACCATCCCCTCATATCAAGCACCCGCTCTTTCATTCAAAGTCCTCACCCTTCACCCATCACTCTTCACCCCTCACCCAATCACTCCTCACCTCATCCTCACGTCCGTCCCATAACCGCATTCGTAGCCAAAACCTCAATCCTCCTCGCATAGAGCTTCATCATATGACTAACCGGATCACCCCACACCACCCCCCTTAACAATTCATCCGAGACAATTTGCGCAATCACTCCATCATCCATTCGATCTTGCAACTTCTTACTTCCTTCCGCATTTCCCAGTCTATCTACTCCTCGCAAGAGAACAATACTTCCCGCAATACTCAATGTGGCCTCGGGAACATGCCAAATTGGTCCTAAAGCGACGTGCGGATCGGGTTTGGAATGTTTCTTTTTCGTCGAGAGTGCATTGCTAGATTTGCAAGATTTGAGTCCTAATTTTAAGGGCTCGAGAACGGATTTTCCGGGCGTAGGAGTGGAATAGAGATCGAGTAGGGATCTGACATAAGCGAAATCTGCTCTTGCGACTAGATCGCCCTCGTTGACGAAAGACATAAAGATAGACTTGGAAGCTGCTCGGGTTTTTGGTTTTTCTAATGGTAGGAGTGAAATTGGTGGTGCGCCAAATGTAATACAATGTATTCGTTTGAAATATCCTGTAAGAACATTAAGCTCCGATCTAGCTTCGGGGCTTGTGGAAAGCATATGTGAGTATAATAGAGCAGCGATAGCCCCGCCAGCGGAATGTCCAGTAATCAGTAGAGAACATTGGGTACGATTAGGATTTTCTTGGAGGAGACTTCGAAGTCGAGCGGCTATTGGTTTAATCCAGCCTTTTGCAGCACCCAAGAATCCGGAATGACATAAATTTCCAGGGTCGTCCTAAGATAAAATTATTAGCGACTTACAGAGTTTCCTAATGGAATTTGTCTTACCAGAAACCCTTCTGGGGACGTCGGCTTCGTCTTGACATTTACAGCCCAATCTGTGAATGAATGTGTTGTTCCTCGAATCGCAAATACAATTATATCTCGATCATCAATTGGTACACTTTTCATAACAGTCCCTGCTCTTCCTCTTGCATTTACTCTTGTTTCTTTTTCTTGCCCGGTAGGTTTCGAATAGACTTGTTCCGAGTATTGAGCTGCGAGGCATATCAGAGGATATGTATTAAAGTACCTGTTGCTTATTAGTTCAAAGCCCTAATCCAAGGAATGATGGAAATCTTACAATCTCATTGGCTTGAGATCCATTGGTAACCTTGAATTGGCATATGCATGAACCTTTGAAAAGTAATTTGTATGTGTCGTTTCACTTGATTTGATCTCTTTCAGATTTGCCTTTGATTTCTTGCTTCGTAGAAATAAATCTCGACTGGTTGTCTCTAATCCTTTTTCTTCCTGCCATACTGAATCATAATGTTGAGGAACTGTAAGCTCTCTATCATCCCCACTAAATCTTTCCTCATCAATTGACGTGACCACCGAGCATAATTTCGAGGATAAAGTATCGTACAGAGCGGTCGTTTGATGATAATGATGCATGGTTTGTTGGGACATCACGGCTACCCCATTATTGATGGCAGCTACACATGGCAGATCATTTAATGAAGTCTCTGTCAATAAATTGGTAACGGATCGCAAGTTCATCAACGCAACACCGTTTCGTGGTGGTAGGAGAGGGGGCGCCATGATAGTATGTGATTGATATCTCGGTGGTGGTGATGGTGGTTCGATTGGAGTCACTATCCATCCTTGAGGTGCTGGTCGATGTTGATTGTAACCATTTGACATATGATGAGGACGTTCTTCGATATAAAACCAATTTGGTCTAGCTGTGGCTATAGGATGTGGTTGTCTTTGAAATTCATTTGAATCATCGTAATTTTGAGATTGAGACTGGGATGGTGGTATTTTCTTTTTGTTTGATCTACCAAATAGCCCCATGTTGAAAAGCTTATATTAGTTGAGTGAGTGTGAGTGAGTGTGAGTGAGTGTTTATGAACCTTGTCTCAGCACCGACTTGCAGTTTGTTCCCTCTGAGACATGAATTGAAATTAATCACCAGGTGGGTTGCACAATCAGTTTATAAATATTCCAAAGGGTTATTCTTGTTAACTTTGCAATAAATAGGTCTTAGTTTTCTTGGAAGAATTTGCAATGGTGATGAAGGGCCAACAGAGGGGAGAAAGATACTCATGTACTGGGGAGAATAGTACCTGGCAGATACTCGTAGTAGCAGCACCGTTATATCATGGCTTTGACGGTTAAAAGCCTCGACTGGGATATGAACGGCGCATTATATGTTATGATTCGTCGAAGACTCCGCCTCAATTCTATTTCGAGAGAACCACAGTACTTAGTGAGACGACGGTCAGCCATTCGATCATAAGTTTGCTTCAACTTCTTTCCATCTGCAGCAAAAAGAGCCCTTGCAGAATATTGATGCAATGGATATCAAGGTAAGCTTACAATCTAGATTCCGTCGAATCGAGAGAGCTATATCATCGCTACCCCCAAACCTTCGTGTATCATGCTTGAGGAAAAGATACCGGTGGTCCGAAATCAAGCTTCCCAAGGTTCCTGAGGAAATATCGTTTGAGGAGCCTCGAAAGAGAAAACATTACTCGGCCTAGGAAATAAATTGGCCCCACGATATCAGATGAAGGTATTGGAGTATCAGGTAGTATTGCATGAACAACTAACTATCGCTTTCTGTATATTTTGGTTCTTTTTTTGATGTTTGACATTAATCAGACCAGAACGGACCGGTAAAATGTGAAATGCAAAGGTCCGTACCGAATTTCTGTCTTACGAGCCTCCATTGGGCGATGTATTCTCCGAAAACCCCTCACAGGAATTTCTCGAAATCATGAACCATTCTACTTCGTTATCGTTATCTCTCAAGTAAGTTGATAGATCGAATCATTTATCAGGAAGATCTATCATCGGCGTTCCATTGGCCCTTGTCACCAGAAGACATAAAGGCACAGGTGAACATCGATCACGACATTTCAAGTCAACACGAAGGTTACATAGCTTTTACTTGTTCATCGCTGAAAAATACACATACCACCAAGTATCTAGGTAGTAACACCTTCTTCCTGCACGAACGATAGGATGCTTCCCCGGGATGACACAATTAATCCTCCTAGCCTGATAATCGTTATACACGATTTTGTTTCTTTTCATCCGCGAGTCCAATACCTAGATGATGCAATCATCCGTCGGTGTCCAAGTTTGGCATCCGCATTCGCGCAGCCCTACCACTCGATCATTTCTCTGTTTAAAGGCACGCCTGAGAGGTAGTGACTTCTTGAGGCTGCCTGAAAATTGAAGTGTCCATCAATCGTGTAGTTCACGGGATCTTACAATGCGTTGGCCATGCATTGTGTAGCAGAGACAGAAACTCGTATGTTGATCAGGTTTCCATCAATTTAAATTATCATAAAGTCGAAGACCAACACGAAAGCTCGGGGGACGTCTCGGGGCTTTACCAAATCATTTACCAGCTCACTGTAAAAGGTCTGGAGAATGAAAGTTTGATACCTAGATAAACATTAGTCTCCTCCAAACACAACAGTGTCTTCAGATGATACTGGCAAACAGCCGTGTTCCGATGATATCCCGATGGAGTATACAAATCACATTCCAGCAATTGCAAAACTACGAATCTCTCTTTACCAATTCCTCATCTGATTCTCGTATAGGAGCATTGAGATCTCTATGAAGATAGTGAATCCAAGGCAAACGCTAAGCGTCCAATGTATCATGTTCTATCCCTTTTGAAAATTTCCGAAATCGCCAACATATTACCAATCCACATGGCACTCATGAAAACAAACATACATTCGAGCAATACCCGATTCTTTTGTTTGCAGATTGTCAATATCAGTGTAGTCTACACTTCCCGAGTCGGCCTCATCTCCTGCTTTTTTCGGTCGGCAGCGGCACAAGCATTCGGCTACTGCTTTTCGTATTTGTAAGGTTTATCAAGGTGGTTTTTCAGCAAGTGCTCTATAAGTTGTTTGTCTCTAAAAGACACATCCGCGCAAGGCATTCATAATGTTGCTGGCTGAGCATTTGTGTCTCTGGATAAGCCTACTGGTTTGTCAGAGGTTGAATTTCAGGCACTCCATGATTCTTATCCGTTTCAAGAGTCATTCGATGCTTGATACAACAGGCTTTTAATAGCTCAGCCATGATTTAGACACGTAGATGAAGCAATCGATTTTTGAAATCAAGGCGGAAACGAAACAAACTCTAAGAGTATGCTTGAGCCACAGTGCCACAGAATGATGGCTTAAAGGTTGTGATTGCTTTTTAAATCCCTACTATTTGTTGTAGTCTCGGGTTCTCCTCCACGAACAAGACTCTCGAGATTATATACAAACGACCTTGCAGTGCTTAGGTATTGTACGGCTCTCCTTTGGGGGCTGAGCTTTCGGAAGTCAAATATTTACCCCCGGATTTCGATCGTGTGTTTTATATATACAACAATCTCAATTACGATGGTGTTCTAACAGTGAAGATGACAAAATTCAACGAGGAAATGTATAATACAGTGTCAGGGAAAGACGAGGATTGGATGTCGGTCGAGGAAAGAGACAGCGAGGATGACTCAGTAAGTGTAAACAAGTGACTGAGAAATAGTAAAAGGCTTCCATACTGTCATGGATACGTCCCTTCGGTAGAAAGCAAAATGAGGCAGCTGTCTTATCACATGATTTGACTATCACATGATGTTTCATATTTTTAAGCTTTTACAGTTAGAATTAATTCCATTTTAGATCATAATGCAATTGTTATGCAGGAAGCCTGCAGAAAATCATGATCAAAGTCATGATTTTCGATCTAACTTTCTCATCATGTCATGTGATCATCAACTAGATAAAACGAGAAGGGTCCGGCTATCCTAGACCTTTACTTCGAGTCCTATTGAGTCATTCGAATGGTTTGAAATATTGAATTTGCTTCATACGCTAGAAGGATACATTTGCTTATCAGTTGATACTACAGTATATCCTGTAGAGAAATTTTCTCACCGGGAAGAAGGACGTGACTGGAGCAGAGAAGAGGCATGTATTCATTTCAAGGGCACATTATAAGTGAGTGAGTTCATTACATCTAAAGCATAATAGATCTGTTTCAGACCTTTTAGAATACTTGGACCTTGTCTACAAGTTGTAAAATTTTGCATCAAGACGCATGTACAGAGATAGTTCACTCACTGACCATGACAGCTCAGACACCAGATAGAAGATGCTGGGTTACAAACAGCATCCTGCTGCTTGAGATTTCCTACTCGACTCCATGAATACTGAAGTTCTATAGGATTGAAGTTGATGATCCTATGTTTTCTCATACTTCGATTTTGAGAGGTTGAGAGGAATTAATTAAAAACTAATTCAATGCTAAGCACACATCCTTCCTACATCTTCATTAGGGCCTACTTCAGAATACCTTCGAATTGGACCCTGGATTTCTGTTATGATTTCGGGGTATAGTGATAGGGAGATAATGCTCAGTAAGCTTTGAGCTATAATGTGATGATATACTTCCAAACATGCGGCGTGTAAAGAGTGAGAATATGGAGTTGGTATCTTTGAGGTTTGGAAGGGGGAGTCACAGCGATGGGTGGTAAGTAGGTAAATATTTACCTATGTCTATATAACTTTTTTCGTTTCGTCAACTGAAGATAAAAGGCGCAGAGGAGAAAGAGTTGTGAAATGTCATTATGGAAGCTAGAAAGTAGGAAAAGAAGAGTAAGGGTAGAGGTAGAGGTTTCATCATGCCCATTCCTCCATCACTTATTGGAAGGGAAGACGAGGATTCATCTGGATGTATTGATGCTAGTATTCTTATCGACTTGTATGCTAGTGAGAACCCTTAAAATTAGGGGCAGAAATTATGAAATCAATGAAATGATTAATGTCTACGTGTGTAGTAACCGCGAGATTAGATTTCAAGGGGAAACGAATTAAACTAGATTTAGCCGCTGATTAGATCCAGTGTGCGAGACGGCCATAGTCAGAGAGCCAGACGGCTGATAAACTATCGGAGCGGAGGAGTGAGATTAGCACATGGCGGATCTGTATCGAATGCTTGGTGAAGGTCTTGCCGCGGATACAGTACTGTACTCGGTTGGGATATCAGCGAACTTGCGGGTAGGGCGTAGTATGGTATGGAGATGATAGTAGGAGATATGGGATAAAATGCGACAAATAGCAGTAATGTTATCTATGGAACTGTAGGTATCATAGCGAATGCCTGTGGAAATAGCTATGTTTGTGCTAGTATAGCTGGGGTGTATGCAACTCCACTACTAAGGAAACAGTTTAATGATCTTCTGGTCAATCATCTTGTGGGATGTGCATCTAGTTTCGGAATCGTACACTTTCAGCCAGCATGAGTGCTCGTAAGATTTGAAGTGTTTAGCTTGCAGATGGATCTGAGGTTTGTTGTTTGTTGATTTGTTGATCTGCTGCAATCCTGAATGATGATATGATAGAATTTAGATGCGGGTATCTGGGAGTGATAGTCCCGATCTAAAAGACAAAACACTTTTGGCTTTGAATGTAAAGTAAATATGAAAAGGTAAGGTACCATTTCCTCAGCACAAAACGCCAATGAGAAGAGTTCTTTTCATGTTACTCATGCAGTACAAGCATTGAGCTGACTGACCTACCATCGTAGAGTGTTATCAAAAGCAACTGGGTAGAATCTGTGTGAGATTGTGTTTCTTGTAGTTTTGGACAGTAGCCAAGCTTCTGGGTCGCATTGATGACGAATTACTTTCTACTGAAATCCTTAGAGCCTGAAGCTGATCGGGAAGACCGCGAGTGTGCTATGTAGTATTCTCCATGAATATGCATTCGTGAATAAAAGGGTTTGGGCTGTTGGCAGAGTCTCGCAATGACATAAAGCGCATGAGTGCCAATCATGCGAACTATTCATGATTGTGATTCTTCTTGTGGTCTTCGATGTGACTTAATCTTTTTCTGTGAGATTCTCTAGACATGATATATCCGTCACCCTCCAACAAATCGGATATTAGATGGGCCAACAATTTCAACCCGCAAGTTCCGGGCCGCACCGCAGCCGTTGCGGAATACAAAGACAACAAATCTCGATGGAACATGGGGTTCACTAGAAGTACACCCGAGCTTGCCGAAAGCACTATTGAGAGTATTGTATAGCGGGGTCGAGGAACATCGTTTTAATCTAAATAGGTAAGTTTCTCCCCACACTGTCACATAAGCGCTCGTTCCGACCCCCTAATCTGCACATGTATGTTATCATTCCCAATTGGGAAAGTGGGGGTCGTAAATCACATGCATAGAGATGATGAGAGCCCTTGCGGGAGATATCGGCTATATATCATTTCCATTCAACGTATGATCCTGCTCTCAGCAAAATTCCTCATTCTTTCTCCCGGGCTCATCTTGTCAATATACATCCGGAAAACATTTCACTGAAGTCTGAAAAATTCGCAGTTTTCAATTCCCTGATATACATATCCCCTGCCACACCTCATCTCGTCCTCTTTTGAATACATTCTATCTTCGCCCTCTTCTCTATCCCTTTCCAAATCCTGTGCTCCAAAACGAAAGAAAATAAATTTAAAGTAGGTACCCCCTGCATCCAAATTTCAAATCCAATCACCACAAACAACGTAATCACAACTCCATTTCGTATACTATCATATGGGTATCCTGGCGCGAGCCTATATCTCAACTCCCTATAATGCAACTCAATAGATAATAAACGCCAAATTCACCAGTTTGTTGCTAATATAACGCAAACATTCGAATCAAGACTATCCACTCTCATTTAGAAAAAAAGAATGGAGTGAGTGGTAGTAAGTGTGAGAACCAGGAATATCTGGTACTGTAGCTATATCCGTCGTGATAGGAAAGGACTGTACATTCTGCTCAGGAATTTGATGCCGTGCAAGTGTAATTTCAGAAGCAGTCTGATAAGATGGCGTGCTGGGTGAAATATCTGGGTGTGGGGCAACTGGAAATGGTACAACGGCTTGGTTCAATGTAGGCAATGATCGCAAGTCAAAGTACGAAGGAGTAGAAACTGGATCAGGATTTGGTATAATTGGATTGAGTTTCAAATCTCTGCCTTGCTCGATATCAAGTTCTGGAACTGATCTGGTCAGAGGGGATTCGAAAAAGAAATGTGACATGTCAGGTTCATGTAGTCCATTTTGTGCTGATCTTGCAGCTATGGCCTATTGAGAGACAAAATTAACTTACCTCTAGACTTCTGATTTTTACACATCAAGTAAATAGTTATCATCGTGAGGATGACGCTTGTAACACCAAAAGTTATATCGATAATATTATCAGCGCCCACTAAGAAGATGTCAGAAGAGGGGGGGGGGGGTGGAATTTGGTAGAATGTTTCAGCTTACACATTTCAGTATCTAGTATTATTAAAAAGTGTGAGATGACTTAAGAGCTTGTTTATCAGAGCTTGACTTGTATGCCGTCAACGATAGGAGAGACTTATACTTGTACCTTGATTCTTTACATTTGCAATGTCCTGACAGCCGCAATGGCTTATGTCTGCTAGATGAGTTGGCGAACCCCACGTCTCGAAGAAAACATCGTCGTAGATGGAAGTGTGGCACATCAGCAGCAGAGCTTTGAACGTTGCGGTGTATCCAAAATCTTTGGTGACCGGAAGTAGATGTACACTCAGCCCCTACCAGGGGAAAGATCTCACTCGGCTAATTGCACTATATGACAATTCTCCCTCATAAATTCATGGTATGAGATGTATGTTACCATGTAAATGATCCTTCTTGGTGTCAATGTGTTGGGAGTCATGAGGGACTGAAAAGTCTGGAAACTCGTAATAACATCCAAGTTGTTGGTAAGGAGAGAGCAGCTTTCTCGCTTGGTGTAACAGTGCCTTATTATGCCAGTCATTCCGGCCTGAAAGTGGGGGGTATGACGGCTGCAATCAACATTACTCCATCCATCTTACAAAATGGACGGAAAATTGCGAATCTGTATAGTATCATCGAATGAGGTAGCAAAGATTTTCTATAAAAAATATATCGCGACAAGATCATGGCGATCAGAGTCGGTGAATAGCCTTGCCGCAATACCGTGTGATTGACAACTTGAGCCTCTTGAGATCAAAAGTCTTTTGCTCAATGATAGTGATACAGCATTCACATCTTTTGAAAACTCCACACTATCGGTTAAAATGAGAGGCTGTGTTGTGGATGGTGCTTGTGGTTCTGAATTTCAAGGATGGCCTTGGATAGCATCATTCTGCGAGTGCATAGCCACAAATTCTAGTTGTTCATATCCTCGCATCTTTCGCCAATGTCGAATGTATGTCGTCACGAAGGCCTTACATCAGTGGGAAGTCGGAATCCCCGTGCGTCTTGCATGAAGATCCTTAATAGGTGCATTCCAAGATGTACACCAGAATATATTCGCTTGCCCAAGCTAACTTTGAGGTTGCAGTGGTTAACGGCACGGACCGAGTGACCACTAAAGCAACATAAACGCTCGAACGTGCCGATCAGCTGCTGTGTAAGAATTGCTATTGAAAAGCTAGCACTGGTGAATCAGGGCTAGTATTTCAGCCTCAATCGTCTTTACTTTGCAATTATAGAAATTTTTGCAAGTTGCCCAATACCACTCATGTGGACATTCGTGTTTCTTGTATCCAGGATATCCGACATATCCATTTGAAACCGAGTAATTCGAAACTTTACATAGCCCTCCTGAAGCAATCTACCACATTGTTGTAGAGATTGAACAAATTGTATCGAGTCTTTGGACTCGAAATATAAACCACGAGTAGTACACAATTTGAATCTGTACAGTTATCAAGACTCAGATTTCTATTGACTCTTCGCATTCGTTGCTGCCAAAAGTCGGTGAAACTTCACACGTTGTAATGAGGCGAAGGCAAAGCATCTACAATTGTCAGTATGAGAGTAAAGAACGATCGTAGAAGGAGAGAATATTGATAGTTCGAACGCTGATGAGAGTGTCAACCATAATTCAACCAAAATTCGAACTCGCATTTTCTTTGTACTGCAGGGACCAGAAAATCGATTGGGCATGACCGAGGTACGATGTGATTTTGCAAGCATTTGGCCCTCAATGACACTCAAGGTATGATTCGAAACCGAAAGAATCTGCAGGTGTTTCCCTCGGCGACGAATCAACTTATTTGAGATGCACACAAACTTGAAACGAATTGATACGTAGCTTATCACCACTCGAGTAGCCATCGTGCTGTATCAACTCAGCACACACGAGATTGACATCAGGGAAACAATGACTAGTCTTTTTCCCTTGCTTTAAGAGCCTCAAGTCTTTCGACCAAAATTCTGTAAGGATTTCAAATTGCTCTTGAAAGTAGGTGGGCGCTGGCCCATCTCTATTGTGAGGCGCAAGAGGCATGGTATAATCGCGCAAATTGTCTTTTGCTTGTAAAGGATAAGAGAAATTTGATCCAAATTTTTAGAAATGTGATTCGAGCTAGTTGTTTTGGCACACTTTGAGTTGTATTGAATTCTGATGCTGATGTTCTACTTGGCGAGTTAACAAAGCTATGATGTAGCGTAGATTACAATAATTAGCTGCGCTGCTTTGTTTGTCGCTAAGATAAACAAACTAATAAAGTAGAAGGTGGAGACGCGACGCGCTCAACTATCTACCACCCACAATATCTAATACCACCACGAAAAGTTTCACGAAATTCAAAAGAGGGCCTTCTACAGGTCGAATATTCAGTAATAAGTAATCCCTTAACAACTTGTCGAAATGCCACGCCCAAAACGCACAAAAGTCACTCGTCCTACTGCGACTGCGCCTGCCCCGCGCGTCATAGAAACAACAGAACTAGTCGAATCGGAATCTTTACCAGCGGCAGCTCTAACGGCGCGTCCTTTCAACGATCTATATGATGTTAGTGATGGAGAGCTTGAGAAATCTTCGAACGCGACAAAGTTGGCAAAAGGAAAATCTGTTGCAACACGAAGCAGTGGTCGCAATGCATCGCGCAACATCGAGAATACAGAGTCTAAGGAAGCTGCCAACACTATAAAGCCGAAGAATGCGCCGGAGTTAAAATCAGATGATGATACGCGGATATCTAGTAGTCCGGAAATTGAAGCTGGGAGAAGAGGTCGACGTATATCTACCATGGATAATTCTATACTTACGATTGGTAATTTTCGACGCAGGGCGCGCGAACCAAGTATTTTAGGACAGCAAACCACACGAGCGCGATCAAGCAGCATAGACTCGGACTTGGCAGAAGAGAATGGTCTTACGAGTGTTGGCAAGAGGAATACATCTGGACTAGGAATGGGAACATTTAGAGGACGCGCTGGATCTAGGAGACCAAGTAGTGTGGGTGGAGACAGGCCAGAAATCGGATCTGTATTGCGACTTGGAAATTTCAAAAGAAGAGCTCGAGAACCTAGTATTTTGGGAACGGCGCGGAAACCAGAACAAGCAAGACCTACATTCGATTCCGATTCAGATTCAGATGGCTTTGCGCCTGAAGATGAATCAACACCTTTAAACTTTGCCAAGGGAAGAGCTGTGCCTTCATCATCGAGTTCAAGAAAGCGAAAACTGTCTAGTGTACAGGTTGCACGCTCACAAGGCGCTACGCAGATCCAGCAGAGCCCTTCTAAATTACCCAGTAACGATTCAGATCCCGAAGATACAATTCCTGCGACCGCGCCAATATATAGCGATGAAGATGACGAGGAGGACGAGCTACCAGAATTAGAAAAAGAGCCTTCGCCTGAGGATTCGCCATTATCATCAATAGAACGTATTGCGACGCCCGAGCCTATGAGTGAAACTATGGCACCTCCGCGTGCTGGAAGTTCCTCTCTTTCGCCCGCTCAATCTTTACCATCCCCTCCGCCACCTCCTCAACCTACTTTGAATGCGCGTCAGGCAGTTACTCGACCTCGACGCATAATAAATCCACGAACTCCACCGCGTGTCTCAAATACAGAAATGCACTCCTCTCATATATCTTCCCCGCCATCACTCACACATTCACCCGATATGCCCACACGCTCCACGCGGCCCCCGCGTAAAGCTGCACCTCAACCTGCAACTTTACCTACTGCAGCCCTACAAGCTCTACTTCCAAGACGCCGTCAGCGTCATCGATCCGCCTTGGACGTAGAATCCTCTGACAGTGAGGTGGACACCACTGGTCTCGGCGAGCATGATGACGAATTAACCATAGTAGTCGCTCCAACTGCCCGTCGTCAAGGGTCTGCTCGCCCTACTACTGGAGCATCTGCTACAGCTTCAAAACTTACACAAAAAGCTAAGGCTACCGCCAAAGGTAAAGGGAAGAGAACTTATGGAAGGAAACCAGCACCGGCAGCATCTGATAAAGAAAATGAAATTGATCCAGATGACAGTTTGGCACCTGCCCAAGACGAAAGGTCAGCAGAAGAGCCTCGAAGTGAAAATAGCTCTGAATTGGACAAGAGGGTAGGAAAGGAATTGAAGAAAGCTGCCAGGAAATTCAAGGAAGTCGATAAGTGGGAGTTGGAGTTTGAAGAATGTGAGGCGAGTAGTGATCAACTTGCTCGGTAGTAATGTTTCACGATTGGCAAAGATATGTGGCGCCAAAAAAAATATTTTTGCTTGCGCGGAGCGAAATGGAGAGCAAAAGGATAGCGAGGAGTTGGGGTCATGAAATGTCAATGTCTTTACGAGTTTTATCAACAACGTTGTATTAAAAACTTACTTCGAAAATCGGAGATTTGGCGGAATGGGTGTAGCTTCTCTTGAAATACAGCTTTTATCACTAGTCTTTCGGACTAGATACAGATGCCTTGATAGCTGGATACAGGCGGATTTTATGTAATTTGCTTGCTATCATTTGTAGCTTAGGTAGCTTCCTCTTCTCGTCGCCATAGACGATACGATATTTGATGCAATGGATATGAATCTTCAACATTCCGTCTATCATTCTGTGATAATTGAACTTGTGATCATACGAATACTAACAGAGCAGTACCAGACTTGGAGTACATGGCTGAACAGGTGAAATACAGAGTACGAGGCTATGAGATGGAATTGTTTATGGGGCACAGTGCACTGCAGAGGCAGGAAATCTAACAGCGTCTTAGGGGGCGGGAGGCGCGGCTATTTCTGGGTCCATTGATTATTCTCTGTCAGCCGAGATTCATTTGTGATGAGAATTAAAACAAGGTTTGAATTGTGACCGAAAATCATCTCTTCACACTAGTCCAAAGATATGTTAATAAAAACTAAACTAACGCCCTCATGGCCATGAGAATTCTCCATCTGCCGACATGCAATGAGTACGCTGTACGTCGTGTCGAGTGAGTGACCTTGATCACATGTTACTCCGGAAGACCCCCTACCATCTATGACCATTGAGTATTAAAAACAAGCACAACTTTCCTCATATCCCTCTCTTATGACCACAAAAGGATGATACAAACCAACTTTCAAACCTGTGCCGCAAAACAAAACATCTATGAAATACATACACAATCCAAGATACCGAAAGATTTCACCCCAAAAAATCCTTACCATACCCCTGACCACATCCTCGGCAACTAACAGTTAGTGCCAGGAACCCCTCCCCGGACCGCAATACTCTTTTAATACCCATGTGATGATTGGATATCAGTGCACGCCGATTGTTTAGTCGAATTGCCGATGTAACGGTATGGTGATACCTAGGTACTTGGAGTGCATATGTACCCTGAATGTGAGGATTTTTTTGGTTTGGCGGGTATATGCAGGTCCGGCTGGATAAATTGGGGAAGCGCGGCGTATATGAATATTTTTGTGAGATTTGGGTATTTGGAGGAGGAAGAAATGGATACTGTGAGATGCTGGAAGGAGAAGTGAAAAATGATGAGGAGCTGGATGGGAAATACTGGGAAGAAGAGAAAAGATATTTAGATTGAAACTTTTTGGCATTATTATCTGGATCTACAGACTTTAACCGATATCCCTACATCGTGCACGTCCCTGTATCGTGCACGTTTTTAAACTCACTCTACAACAACTTCAATATTTAATAATAAATGCATTCAATAAGATATAAAGCTATAAATTGTTTAAAAATATAATAAGATATAATAGATTAGAAAAGAATATTTAAAACTTTCTTATTTAAATCTTATAGGAATCTTGATCTATTAGCCTCATTTCGACTATATAACCCCCTCCTTATCTTCTATTATTGATTTATTTATCACTATTATATTAAAGAGCTCTATAGTTTCCTTAGATATTAGATCTATAGTATATAAACTTTCTTGAAGCTTTAAATCTCTTTTAACAAAAGATCCTATTGATTTATAAGCTTTTTCAATCTTCTCTTTAATATCTTTTATAAATTAATAATCCATTTCCTTTTGTATTATCTTCTCTTTAATTTCAATTATTTTCTTTTCCTTTTTAGCTTTCTTATTAGCCTTTTCCTGTATCTTAGTTTTCTTTTTCTGCTTTATAGTAAGCTTTTTCTCTAATTGAATGATTCTAGTTCTTTTAATTTGAAAGGGGGAGTATAAAAAAGTATTATCAGCCTTTTTCTCTATAAGGTTTAAACATTTGGGATAAGTTCTTTTCTTTTTTTCTATTTTTAGAGTCTTTTTTAGACCTTTTGCTTTATATGATTGAATATCAGTTTTAACTATATTAACAAAAATAGTTTTAAAAAGCTTCAAAATAATCTCGGGGTTCTAATTTCATTGAAATTCTAATTTAAATTGATATAGAGCTTTTGATATATATAATATCTTAATTTTATTCCCTATAAGTTATATCAATATAGGTGGTATAGAAACTCTTTTTGGTTTTATATTAAATATAATAATCTTTTTATTAAGTAAATAAATGCCTATTTTTTCAAAGGATTATAATATATTATAGAAAATTGCAGATTAAGCTCAAGCTATTTTAAAAATAGTTCAAAAATTGTGTTTCAATATACTAATTAAATCTCCACTTTTATATATCCAATTGTTAAGTTCTATACTATAATTCATTAAAAGAAGAAGGAAGTAATTTATATTGAATGATTATAATTGATATATAGAATAAGGAGGCAGAATTAATAATATAATCTTCAATTTATTGTATTTTGATATAAATTCTATATTGATATAATTAGAATAACTATTTACAATTAATAACCGATATCCTTTACTTATTTTAAGATGTGTATAATATTGAAAGACTTTTATAAGCTAATTAAGTCCAAAAGTATTAGATAATCATCTATTATTTAAAGCTCTGAAATAAGCTTGATCTTTTATACTCATCTTATTAATCTATATATCTTATAAATTATCTGATTCCTTTTTATAGATTAAGGTAGATGGGAAAGCTATATCATTAATAGTTATATATATTAAAAGAATAATAAACTCTTTTAATTTATTTTATTTAGTTTTTGTAACTCTATCTCTTTTATATATATTAATATTTATTATTCTTTTTATAGTTCTTTCAAAATCAATTAGAAATTCTTTTTTGTTTCAATTATATATGTTTTTCAATATAATATTATATTTTATAATTGCTTTTACTAATTAAATAAATAAAAAAAAGGAATTAGCAAAAGCTTTTCTAAATAATATAAATCAATAATAATATAAAATAATATTAATAAGATTATAAAAGTATTCAAATATATTTATATTATTAGCCTTGATATATAAATTATTAATACAATAAAGATACTAACTTTGAATATAATTTTTATACTATTTAATGAAATTAGCCATCCAGTTTTTCTTTATACAATACTCTTTTATTTCTTTTATTAAATTTCTAATTATAGTATTTATAGAAGATATAAATCTTTATATTAACTTGTTAATTTAATTTAATAAAGCCTTTTTTTGTTTTAATAAAAGATATTAATATATATTAATATAATCTATTTTGTAGAAGGTGATTTTATCTCTATACTGTTTTGAGAGTGTAATATAATCGACTCCATATAAATAAGCTATTTAAATATATTTAGGATATTCTTAGCCTTTGATATGATTTAGTACAAGCTTTATATAGTTTTCTAAAGATATATTGTCGCGATATTTAGATGGTCATATTAATGTTTTTGAAAGCTAAAAAAGTGTGCACGATACAGGGACGTGCACGATGTAGGGATATCGGTTAACTACTTAAATCGTGAGAGAGTTAATATCTTCTTCTCATCTCACATCTACCTTATAAATACATCCAGAACGTAAAAATTATATAACCCTACAGTAATTTGGATATCTCATCCAAGCCAAACCAAACTCCACATAACTCCCGGATCCCATAATAATCACGAACCTTGAACATACAATTTTGGCATCGACGTTCCTTTCCACGGATACGAAGCCAAATCCGGACACGAAATCTTGAGCTTAGATTGTGGGGGATGAATAGTGTGAATGCCACGATCGGTTCTCGTGAACGAGAATTTATTCTCTCCGTTTGATACTTTGCAAGAGCTGAAGTATGGGTAGGTAGATTCCAGTTGATGAATAGTGGTTAGAGACTCTGAGTCTGTTTTATTAATTAGTCAAATCTATCTTAATGATAGCCAAAATTCATAGGAAAAAAAGCAAGCTTACCAAATCTGAATCCCAGCTCTGAATTTCCAACCACTTTTTCCATGCGGAAAAGTTGTGTTCCATCTTTCTCGCGGCCGATGAAGTTGACCATGGTATGAGGAGTAGTTTCGCAAACAATGTTTGTGATTTTTTGCTCGGGGATTAAGGTCCATATAAAATGTCCTGTTTGGACGAATTCTCGCAGAGGAACCCCGGAACTTTGAATATCGCAGTGCGCGGATAAGTCAAAAGTCGGGAATCCATAGTAGCTGTACCAATCGGATCTCGAAGAACTGCGGATACTGATCTGGCTATAAGTGATGTCTTGGGCTACGTAAAGGTTAGTTGGGGTATGAAAAAGCGTTTTGATAGTGATGACGAACTTTGAACTGTGGTCTCTGGAGCTGTATGATCATATTAGAATTGAATTCATGAATATGGAAGAAGTAGTGAAACTAACAGCATTTTGATCCTCCAAAAGAAAAGAGACCGATTGGGCGATCGAGAGCCGGCTGTCCATCGCCAGTTCTTCCTAGCCCTGATATTGTGACGTTTGTATCGCAAGCACCATAACTCAAACCGAGGTAAGTGGAGAACTCTAACAATTTAGGAATATGCATCTTGTCTATCAAAGTCTTAAAATTGGATGAAGTTGCGTGAAGGTCTTGAAAGAAACGAAAGAAGTTGATGTTGGAAGAAGACAATACTTTTCTGACCGAGCAGGAGAGGCACAATAATATAATAACTCTCGAAAACTGCTCGTTTCATATTGAAATATTTCATCTCCATTGATTTGATATCAATGACTGTACTAACATTTGGCAACAGTTGGAAGTAATAAGTACCCATGGCCAGAGCCAAACTGTCGGGCTCATATGTCCATATACGGAATGCTAGCGCGAATATCAGCCTTGTAATGTATGGTTTAATAGACGCCAATGGCAGGATGAAATATACTTTAGGTGATATGCACAGTAGCATTGTGATAGTGATGTATTATGGTCTCTTGCGTTCGGCAAAATGTTACGGGTCTTCATTGCCGATTCATTCTCCACTTTGTCTTGCGGCTATGAGCTTTGAACTCAGGGAGGCCTGGGAGAAGCAGGATGCTGATCTCATAGATCAAAGGATCATAGGGCTCTGTTCAAATGTCTAATATGCTTTTTACACAGAATCTGTTAAAAAAAAGTAATCATGATACAAACCTTCTTTGATTCAGAGAATAGGTCAATGGTCAATATCTTTAGCGCGAAATACACAACATTCAGTTCCTCTGTTTGGGTCAAAGGTCCGATAATTCATCAAGAAATAAGCGCCGACAGAATTCTCTTGGAGAAAAATAACATAGACATCTAGACTGGCGTAAACTGGGTCCCGCTCGTAACGCCATGCAAATCAATTGTCCATCCAAAAAAAAATCTGTCCCTTCGCCATCCGGTGCCACGAAGACCCACAAAACTAACAAATTGAAGGTAGTCTGCTAGTGGCTAGATCAGTTGTAGGACAGCAGTCACAACACATGATCTGGGGAGGGAGCGGAGAGGTCAAAGAATGTCAGGCGGGTTTCTTCGCTAGCTTGATCATCATACTGTCGAATACATAGCTTGAGATGTGCAAATCTACATCTATGTAATTAGATCTGAGACACTGGCTGTGACCTAGGGGTTGCTTGTATTTTTCCAGAGCTTTATAGTCTTGTTTAATCGACAACTGTGAGGAGACAATTCGATGCATGGCACAAATTGAAGACGGAACTCGTTGGAAGACTTAATTGAACCGATTTCTCCGATAAAGTACCTTAAATATCTATCGATGTGATCCTGCTCAGAACCATACTTGAACCAGGAACAGACTAGCATCCCATTTCGAGACCAAATTTCGACAATGGGGCAGAAACACTCCAGAAGTCCCGTGCAAATGTGTATTGCAAATCCTGAATGGCACAAAGGTCGTTTCTGATTGACCATTTGCAGAGTCCGATGGCTTTGGAAGTTGAAGGTGATAGCTTAATATTAGTAATGATTTTTTACGTTCTGAACCCAGTGCAAAGACCCGAACTGAAGGCTTCACTGCCAATCATTCTGTTGTCATCGAAATCGAGATGGCCAAAAGATGTCGAATGGGAAATTTCAGTATAGATAGCTGAATCAGAGATGCTTTCCTTTCATCGAGAGAGACGCATAACTGACAGCGAGGGGATTCCGACGCTTACGACTTTTGTGATGTAGATTTTTGGGCCACTATAAAGAGGTAGGTCGAAATAGCAATCGCTAACACACATGTTTTAAACAAATAGAAACCTTCGACAATATTAGAGCATATCACTCCTTCACAAGGTTCGCAAGTTTTCACACCTGATCTCCAAATAGCACCTACGTGAAAAGCGCCGCGATTAGATTTCGAACATGCTGCGCACTCAAACTCTTGAGAAGTAACATGCATTGAAATCAAGACGAGAATGGCTCTGGTCATCTCTTCCACACAAACATATCAAGATGAGACTCGGTACTAAAGTAAAGAACATGAGACGCAAGTAAGCATAGACCTGCTGAGTACCGTTGGAACCGTCATCAAACACGACTCGCACCGCAAAAATTGTTCGATTTTTCGGCATCCACGTTGTTGGAAATCTTGCAGAGATATGAATACAATAACAATCATCTAATCAATGAATCAGCCCGTGAGAAAGCCAGCCTTAACATTGAAGCTAGTTTTGTAAATAGCCAGAATTTCTCAAAACGCTCAAAAGCCATCTTAATTATACAAACCCTTTCGTGAACATCTTTTGAGATCAATAATGTGTGAGTTGCAATTTGTGATAAAGCTTGATTGTGATAAACGCAAATGATAAAAGCCAGCTGAATAAAGATGATAGTATCCAACGCATTTATGTGAGCGGGCAGATGTGTATTGGATAAATAACCTTGCTCCACGTTATCGAGTTGGTGCCTCGGGTGCTTAGTCATCGAGGAAAGTCGCTGGTGGACGAAAATGCTGGGCTCAATCAGTAAAGCCTAAGTAAGAAACTTCAAAATTGTCTCTGCTTAGATATTTTTTCACGACAATATCATTCTCTTGAATACCAACAACCCCTCGAAAGTCTGACCCATGATCAGCTTTCGAACGGCTAATTGATGTCTCGAAGGAAAGTATTGATTTGTCGATGAGTTGTCGGAATTTGAAAGAGGAGAAGCTATTGTTCACAGTGAGCAGCCGTAGGTCTTGAGGTCTTGAGCCATCAATTGAAATGAATTGTTTCCTTTCCCTCCACATCATCGACTGGTGTCACCTAGCAATGCACGAACAATACTTTCCACAGTATTCCACGATTGAATTCCCTCTTGTGATGTTCCAACTTCCAAGCCTCTTCTTGTGAATTAGAGGAAGAACCCACAAGGAAAAAGACATGCGAAGTCACGCCGTTATTGGACCACAAGATACACTTGATTTCATGTGTCAACGAAATAATTTCAAAAGGAAACTTTTCCTAGGATATCGCCGCCATGCGCGGAATATACGTTTGAATTCTTCATGGGTCCATCAACCCCGATGAAGGATAGACACGAACGAAGATCCACAATCCCCGAGCTGCCGTTTTCGAACGTCCTCTACAGATCACATGACATTGCGAGATAAGGTACTGCGACGCATACTTGGCTTCCGGCACTTGAATGTGGTTCATCATGGGGATATCATTGGCGCATATTGGCAAAGCGCCACCTTGACCTTCCTATGTAAGCAAAATCCTCCGCCAAATATTCAAGCAATTACTTGGCACTTGGTCCGCGGATAAATATGATGCTTATCCTGCAGTGGCACATTTGGCCAAGGCCCCTTAAGACATTCCCCTTCCTGATGGAGGTTAGCGAAGAAGCTTATCCGACGTTACACCACCTCGGCAAATGTTTCGTCCAGCCACTCACAACGCTCGTTGCTTTTTTCTTCAAGAAAGGTTCTAGATATCTATAACAAATCAGCAAGACACATGGGACAGTCCGTGTACCACTGATATCTCGATTAGATCGAGTTGCTATATATGGGAAGGATTTTTGCAGCCAAGAGATGATAATGCGACTTTGTGCATTAACCGTCTTGGCTTTGACCCTCTTCGTCGTTCATATCCATTGTATGAGGCTGGTCGACGTGGACACACGTGAAGGTATTGTCAATTCTAGGTCAGTTTCCATCGTGAGAAACATGGTGATTAAGATATACAGTTTATGAAATGGGAAGGTTTTAAACTTACCTGCCTCATTTGGCAGTTTGTTATCATTTGACAATGGAGAGGAATCAGTACTTATAGTCCTGCATTTTCGCTCTCCATTGAAAGACCATCCTCCCAATCAAGTCTCAATTCAGATCAATATTCCAAAGATCTCAACATGATTTCCAAGATTCTCCCAGTCGCCGCTCTCGCTGGTGCAGCCATGGCTGCTATCAGTTGCCCTCTCTCAGTTGAGATTGCTGGCACTGCCGATCATGTTGCTCAAGTCGCAATCACCAACACTGGTGCCGAGACCCTCACTCTCTTCAAGGGTAACACCGTCTTGAGTGAACACGCTACTTTGGACGTCGTAGCTGCTACAGGTATGTTCAGCCCCTGAATTCGAATGGCAACTCCTCTTGGAATCGAAACTGACTCTCTACAGCTGATAAGGATCTTGAATTCAAGGGAACTTTTGTCAACTACAAGCGTACCGGCCTTGCTCCTGAAATGTTCCAAACTCTTCAACCTGGCGAGACCGTCACAACTTCTCTCAATGTAGCCAAGACCTACAACCTTGAAGGTCTTGAGACTGTTGATGTTACCGCTATCCAAGGTTTCAGATATGTCATTGGAGAACGTGCTCCATCTGCTTTGAGCCAAACTACTCTTTGCGACGCTGTCACCTCCAACACTGTGACTATCACCCCTGATCAAAGCAAGGTTGCGTCGTAAGTACCATCACTGCCCGACGCCGATAGTGGTTGCTAACATTTCCACCCAGTGACCTTGTCAGCAGAGATGAGCCATTCAACTCACGTATCTCAAAGCGTGCCATTACCTACAGCAGTTGCAGCACCTCTCAAACTAGCGCCCTTAAGACTTCAGTCGCTGATGCCATCACATTGGCTACCAATGCTTACACTGCCGCTGGTAGTGCCGCCGATTACTTCACCACCTGGTTCAAGTCTACCTCCGAAGAGAGTGCCGTTCGTGCCATCTACACTGATGTCAAGAACGTTCAAACCACAGGCCCAAAGATCTCTTGCACAGATACCTACGGAGATTGCTCTGACGGAAGTGCCTTGCTCTACACAGTTCCCAGCGCCAACGTCATTGTTCCTTGCCCAAACAATGGATTCTGGGGCTTCCCTGAGTACTCAGCTACTTGCACTGATTTCGATTATGACCGTGCCGGAAGTATTTTGCACGAGATGACTCACTTGTACGGTACCGAGGATTGGGCTTATGGACCAACCGCTGCCAAGGCTTTGTCTGCTGCTCACGCCGCTAACAACGCCGATACCTACGAGATGTATGCTGGATCCGTCAGACTCGGTGGATGCACTGGTTAAATTCTCCCAAGTGTTGAGTGGAATGTTGGATTTGTCGGAGTGATGGAGTGATTGAAATGACGGGTTCGAAAAGAGCCTTTTTGATTTGCAGAGAGGAGGGCCTTTATGAATCCCCAGGCCTTTCTTTGATATTTGTTGTTGTAGTTACTTGCAGCGAAATTTGAAAGATATTAGTACACACATTTGCTTCGTTGATCACTTTTCTTCATTTTCGGACTCAAAAGTGAAAATATGTCGTGCCATTCAAATCAATTGATGATATTCGAGAAGTGATTCGTTGACGAATCGGATTATATGGACTTTCCCTAATGCAGACTACTTGATCATCGAGCCACATCAGTACTCAAGATGACTTTCTTTCCTATAGTACTGGATGGGATATTCATCGCCGGCAAATTAAAGCTTGTCCTGTGCAGTTCAATTGTGCGGCTGCTGCAGATCCTGCGGAAAATTTCAACAGCTTGGACTTCGATGTTCTCTTAGGAGATGTATTAGTGTTGGTCGTAGCTGTTACGAGGTGATGGGTGGCATGTTGAAACGAGAGCCTATACGGGAGTGGATGTATATTATTCGTTGTTTCAAACATTCTGGCACCTTGATTGATTTCGAAAACCCGGTTCATACCATCTTGCTTATCGACCTAGGGTATGATATAGAATGTGGATATGAAAACCTACTAAATACCTATATTGAAGATCGCTGGAAGTTGAGTACTCATTTATCGTCGTCTCGTTCCGAGAAAAGCTAGACTTCCAAGGCTATTTGAGGCAAATCTCTCTCACATTGATCGTTCCCCATCTCGTATCATCAACCAGTCCTCAGAAATATAAACAAAACCATGAAATGCTTCAAATCAGCCAAAATATCACAGGCGAATCAGCAACTACCAAAGCCACATGTTCCATTCCAACACATCGCTCAAAAACTCTCAAACTGTTTCCAAACCTCACAATCACCTAAGCTCACGTGCTGTATATAATCCAGTGGTCGACGTACTTGCTCTGTCCCATTTTGGCAATTCCCAATTGCACGTATTTCACTAGCGGGATTTCACTTCCACTTTTACTTCTTGTCCGACTTTTCTTCTTCTACTTTCTTTTCTCAATCAATTTCGTATTCTCATCTCAGAGTGAGAGAGTATATCTTCATTTCGTCAGTTTCGTCAGTCATCTGGTGTGTTTTCATCTGGGTCTCGCATTTTATCATATCTCTCAAGGGTGAGATGGTATATATCCGCATTTGATCTTCTTTCATCTGTTAGAAATATCCAGTCTTACTTCATCATTCAATCTTCTTCAACTTTAATCACTGCAATTCGAGGTTTTATCAATCCTCATGCTGTACAATCCGTTCGGTTCATTTCTCCGAAATTAAGCATCTTCTTCACAGATATCACTCGGCCCTTCAGGATCTTTAGTAAGTAATCTATGATATCCCATTTGTGCTTCGAAACTTCAATTATCTACCAAATCTCAACATTTGTGGCATTGCTTGTTCTTTTTCCCTAGTCTGCAACTTGAGTGTTTGCCGCTAACCCGATCTTGTTCACAGATCCAGCAGCCATGAAGCCTGAAGCTTCTTCTGAGATTAAGCAGGAAGCTGCTAATAGTGCAGTTGATCCAAGACCTGTAAAGGTACCTCGTAGATTTTGCACCATGCCTTCGTCGTCCTCTTCTTCAGCCACAACCCCTGCGACTACTTCTGGAGTCAAGCGTAAAGCCTCATCAGATATATTCGACGAGATTTTTGCAGAAACTCCTCGAAGAAATCATCCAAGCTTCACGACTACAGGTAATTCGTCTACAACACGCTCAGGGGACTCGGCACTCTTTTCAGACTCAAGTGATATTTCTGTTGCCAGCTCGGGCGAGAGAATCGCGAGTTGCAATTCTTACGCCGTAAACATCGGTGATACAAAAGTAAATGTACCCGGCTCCCGAAAGAGACCTACGACTGAGTTATACATCAAGTAAGTACCCTTCCTACATGCGGTGATGACTGCAGATACTAATCAAGTATGTACAAATAGGATGGTGGTGGGCCCAAGAGCTAACATAGTTGTTGGTCCTGAGAAGAAATCATTTGAGCTACCAAAAGATCTCCTCGCATACTATTCTCCGGTCTTCGATAGATCCTTCAATGGAAACTTCATAGAAGGTCAGACACAAACAATGGAACTGCCAGAAGATACTGTGGAAGATTTTGAAGTTTTGGTGGAGTACGTTTTCCATCACGGTGTTGGCGACAAACTATCCATTTCGGAAAATGGTCGACATGCCGCTAAACGTTGTATTTCTTTCTTAAAGTACGCGGATCAGTACGACCTTGGAGATGTAAGCACTTTGGTATGCGACGCTCTTCGGTCAGCCTTGATAGAGAGTGGTGCATCGGCTTTCGAACCTAGCCTCATAGAAGTTGTTTTCTCGCTCACAAAAGATGGCAATTGCTTGCGAGAATTGATTGCAGATGCTGCGCTATCATTCCAAGGGGAGAAATTGAGTGTATATCCAGAATTTAGGAAGGCCAATTTCAAAAAGCAGGAGTCTGAGGTCGAGGGCTTTGCCGTGGCTCTTTATCGCCAACTTACGAAATTTTCCGTTGGCTGTATGTATCGACCTCCTTTCGACCCGTCAACTACAAAGACTTTTGATTGAATGGGATACAAGCTAGATAAAAAATAGTATCACTGGCCTTCAGATATGTATTTGTTGCTTTTGGATGGACTCGAATCGGTCTAAGGATTTTCTGTACTGAATCAATTCTCTTTTCCTTGCTTAGGGAGGGTAATTATAATGAGCTTGGTGATTTTGAAGAGTAAAGGACTTAAAGGAATCGAGAGCACACTTAGCTAAATTACTGCATTTGCTCAATCAACAATTTCATGAGACATACCATTGACCTTTTCTGCAGCTGAAAGATTTGTGAAACGTAGAAACACAGTCAACGTCCAACGTACGGCGGTATTAGGTTGGCAGATGGTCAAGTCAGAACATCTTTAAAGATTTAATTCAACCCACACTTACAACACCTCGACACGTTGATCGGAAAACACACTGAGACAAGTGTAAGAAACAAATTACACACCTCTCCGAATTCGAATCTCCATTGCATTTTCAACCCCCAACTAATGAAGTGTAGTCTTATGCTTCTCCTTCACCCTCTCATTTGTAAACCCCACCCCCCACTAGTGTTTTCTCTCTGCCCCATTCTTTTGTTCTTGATCTCTGCCCTCCGATCTTCATCCCAACGTATTACGATCTTCAAAATATTCATAGTCGTGGTGGAAAAAAGTACTAGGAATTGCCCCTCCTACTTCATTTCGGGGATGATGCGGAGAGGGAGATAGCTGAGTTAGTATGCAGGCACTGCACTAGCTTGTGGGATGTTGTGATAGATTAGAGAGGGGGGGTTTTGGTACTGGAGGAGTAGTTAGTACTTTATTGTGGATAATTATCCACCCGCCTAGAACTCTTCGGAGAAAGGAATGGGGGCTGCGGAAGCATGGATAGATTAATCACTCGTAAAAAAGAGGAATATGCATGAGTCTGCAAAATCAAAATTTATATTATTTGCCTAATTACTCGCTCGCCGTTACAACCTTTTTCATGCGAGAATGTATGCACAAGATCATATACAAATATTAAGTAGCCTTAAACTCAGACGAGCGCTCTCCCCTTCCTGTGGCAATCTCTCTTCCACTCCTCCATCCACTTCTTCACAAACGTAATTTCCTGGCTCTGTACTTTCTTGATCGTCTTCGGAGGAAGGCTCTTGGTGGTCTCATTTGCAAAAAGTCCATTTTCATCCCAATGATGCACTGCTCCTTCAATCAAGATGAATGGTTGATCAATCGTGGAGGTCCTATTGTGTGCCGTAGTATTGAAAGGAGAAGCGTGAGGAGTAGCCGGACGCCAAACATCTTGTTCGCCATCTATGTATGCTAATCTTGGGTAAGTGAGATTGAATCCACCGTATTTGTTTATATTTTCGACAGCTGGGGGAGTTGTGATGTTGAAGGATTCAGCACAGATAATCGAAAGGTAGGGAAGATCAATTGTGCGAGAGAGGAGAGGGAGTTGGTTTGCGGGAACGGAAGCACCATTTTGGAGGTATCCCCATTCGGTACAGTATTGGTAAGGCCAGAGACGCCAGTCTTGAGACGCATCGTCTTGCGCGTAGTAAGTAGAGTTGTGGGTCGAGTAGCAAGAATCTTGGTTGGGAGAACAATCACCGTAATTGGTTGAGGTGTAATCTGGGGGTTTGTTAGTGTTTGCAGGTAATACTAGAAAAGATTGGGTCGGATTTTCTTACCAGTCAACCAACCAATCCAATTCAAGTATGGAATTGTCAAGCTGTTGAGTTGAGAACCATAGCCACCTTTCGTAAGCAGCTTCTGGACTTCCGTTGTGGAACTATTCAAACTTGGCCAAAGAAGCTTTTTACTAGTAACATTACCGCAATAGTAATCAAAATATGGTGTTCCTTCAAGTGCTGGATCCCAATTTTTGCTTTGCCATTCCCACATTCCGTACATGACTACCGACATGAAATCATTAGAATAGGTAACATTTGGAAGACCCCAGACAGATTTAAGTTCTTGCACTAGAGCGGTGTTGTTTTCTTGTCCAATGACAATGTTATCCATAGAATTGGTGATAAGTTGGGTATTCTTGACACATTTTTGATCGGCATATACGCGGATAGGCTCAAAGTAATCCCAGTAATCGTAAATAGCTTCAACGACACCACTGGAGGAGATTGTTCCTAATCACATATTAGTCACACTTTCCTCTTTGTTTAGAACTATGTGGAGGAATGAAAAGAACTTACCCCAGAAAGTATCAGGATATAACTTTCTCAAGAAAGCATTGAAGGCACCAGCATAAGAACCTCCATACCCGATGTAAGCCACATTTGGCGCAGTCAAATTGTGATCTTCCAATCCCGGAAAGACAATATTTCTGGCAAAATAAACCTCATCCATCAATGCTTGTTCGGTAGTCAAGAATCTCAAATTCTCCGTTGAGAAATCCGGGGTTGGGATACTTTGACCATAATAACGATGTTCAAGCACAACACCAATACCATGTGTCGCAACAGCCAATTGATGCAATATGCCTTTCTGTAAGAATGGCAATCGACCTGTGGCATCTGTTTCTCCTGATTGAAGGACAATTACTGGGCCACCAGGTTTGTAATAGGTCGCGTCGAACCAATAGCGGAGTGGGAAGGTTCCATTGCTGTGAGGCTCATAGCGAGATTCATTATGGAAATAATCAATTGGGACGGTAAGATTGTAGGTTGGATAGAGTAGGGAGGGATCAACGTCGTCGCGCTTGGCTAGTTCTAGTTCTCGACGGGAAATGGTGGTTCTCTAGTTGTGGGTATTAGTTTGAATTTAAGTGGATGTGAGGGACTAGTTCTGGCGTGTGAAATAGAGGAATGTGGAGAGAGTAGAGGGGAACTTACGCTTAGTTTCCGATCAACACCATTTGGATATAATTGATGTGAGAACACACATTGAAAGAAGGCGAAGATGGCACAAACTGTATAGAATGTGGAAACCATGGTTGCAAGTTGTTTGATATTGTCTTTGGTAGATTTGTGACCGTCAAGGGTTCATTTATCTAGAAACCCAATAAGATCCTAACTTCCCTAATACGATACGGTGAAAACACCTTGATGGGCTTGGCTGTACATGATGTCAGCTTAGCCGTAGAGTTCGATTGAAATTGGATTTTCTTTGAAATTTTGGTGACTGCCGTATCCATTCCAAGTATACCATACTTCTTTGGTGGCAGTGAAGAGGGAACCTTGGAATCGAATTGAAGGTGGCGGGGTAATTTATGAACGGGCGGCGATAAAGAGAGAGTGAGTGGCTGAGGTTAAACATAGGAGAAAGTCAATACATACCCGACCACGAGAAATCCAACGACTTCTACCAATTCAAGTCAGTTAGTTTCAATCGATTTCAATCGAGTCCCTCTCTCAAAATCCGGCTACTTCCAACATTCTTATAAATGGCGATATCATCTCTCTTTATATCATCCATATCTACCCTAACCCGAGCTACCCATGTCCATCTGCATCAGCTCTATGCAAATGGAAGTAAGATGTTCACAGATAGGTTCCAGATCAAGAAGGTGTCCACCATCGTATCACACTGGCGTGCAGATTATTTCAAGCAGAGACAAATGAAGTACGAAGTCGTGCGAATTATGTGAGCAAAACCTAATGAGTAGTCCTTTCCTGTTATCGACTCAATCTAGGTTTGCATCATCAAAGTGGAGATGATCTTATCGTGGAATGAATGATGATTGGATTGACATCGCAGATCCATGGATTGCCATGATACTGGTGGTGACTTTGGGACCTTCTTCTTTGAGAATGGGTTCCGAGATGATTCCTGGGCTTGTGGCTCGTGTAGATGTGCATTGAATATGTACAGACAGACGAGACAGAGTATAATAACCTTGGAATATCAGTCAGTGAGGGGGATATGGTGAATGGCTCGAATGGGTGGATGGATAAATCAGAGGTTGAGATATGCTTTTGAGCTCCACTTTGATGGCCGGGAGTGGTGAGAATTGGTGAGAATTTCCTACATCTATCGATTGGTCAACTCTTGTTTCCTCTTTTGAAATATTTTGATACTTCACAACGGCAATATCAAAGAGTACAGAAACTTCTTATGAGCATTGATTCAACATTCGTTCATGGGTCTCATCATGCTACTAGGTAATCACTATCACCTCGAACCATTTCACCATATGTTTCACAATATCGCCGCACTCAAAGGGTTCTGGGGAATAAGAACAATACGAAGAATATTCTGAGATGGATGAAGTCCAACATTGGTTCATGAAGCATTCGACAGAATTGCTTCTTCAGGCTCTCTGAATCATTGTTTTACTCACATATACCAGTATCGAGAATACTGTTTGAGACTCTAGTTTGGGGAGTCTTTACACTTTGCTAAATATACATGTGTATCGGTTGTGTATCCTTCCATGCATCTTGCTCTCAATCCCTGAGTAGCTTGACAGATTCATGGAATCTGTCAAAATAATCGGGTCTTGATTCGAATTGGCAATCAAAATCTCAGCGCTCTGCGGTATCGCTCAATACTATCGTCCCTTTTTCTGATTTTCCCAGCTATTTGAAGTATTCGTCCTAGCAGGCAGTGTAAAGTCGTCGCACAAGAATTTGCCTATCATGGTTTCTTATCTTCACGTGCGTCAGGATCCTCCCTGTCAGCCCCCTTATTGAGTTTACCGTATTCCATCTTTTCATTCGAAAGCTCATTTCAGGATATGAGAGATTTGAGGAGAAACAGTCCCTGGTATCAGGCTATTGGGTTGACTTCCTGTGCGATTTCTATGTTGTCTTATCCCATGAGTCCAAAACAATTACGTAATTACAACGTGCGACTGTCAGGTCGGCTAAGTTGAAATGCGTCTACTCAATGTCCACACGCGTCAAGTGAAAGACTTCACTGCCACCAAAATCCCCAGGTATGCGATTTTATCTCATACTTGGGGTCGAGACGAGGTACTTTTCCAAGATCTCACCAATTCTGAACATAAAAAGAAGAATGGGTACGCGAAAATCGAAGGTTGTTGCCGACAGGCAATCATTGACGGCTTTGACTTCGTTTGGATAGATACTTGCTGTATTGACAAGAGCAGCAGTGCCGAACTGTCTGAATCCATCAACTCTATGTATGCTTGGTATGAGAAGGCTGCTGTATGTTATATTTACCTGATAGATGTTCCGTCTGCCCAGGATCCATACAGAATTGATTCGGCGTTTCGAAAGAGTCGTTGGTTTACTCGAGGCTGGACATTACAAGAATTGCTTGCACCTAGCAAGATTGTTTTCTTTGACCAGGAATGGGATATGATTTTCAATGATTCAGTAATGGCCGAACACGAAGACAGAAAGTCACGGAGGGCTGATCTTCCAAGACAACGCATGGTTCTACTTGAAGAAATCACAGGGATTGGGACCAAGTACTTTGAAATTGAGTTTGGCGAAGCTAGCGCCCAAATCGCCAGTGGTTGTAAATTCTCGTGGGCTGCCATGCGAGAAACAACTCGACCAGAAGACGCTGCCTACTGTCTACTAGGTCTTTTACAAGTCAACATGCCGTTATTGTATGGAGAAGGAAGTAAAGCATTTCAACGCCTGCAAGAGGAAGTCTTCAAAAAGAACCAGGATCTCAGTATCCTTGCATGGGGATTTGATATGACTTGGCGAGAAACTTCCTTACGAACAAACATGGGTTTACGCTCTTATGGTATTTTGGCGCCGTCATCTTATTATTTCAAGAAGTTTCCTGTTTCTCTCTCGAAATTCACCAATCACTTAAAATTAGCTACTCATTCTATGATGACCAATCTGGGATTGAACATAAACTTGCCTCTGATGTGTATCAATTCTTCGTTAGGTATTTATCTTGCTTTTATCAGTGGATGGGCAATTGCGAGGCTTGGGAACAAGCATGAAGCATTCGTCTTACCTTTACTAAAACGAGAAGATCAACTTTTCGAACGCCTTCCTGGAAGTCCGCCCGTCATCTCCGTCACTTTAACCAAAGGGTCAAATCGAAGAATCAAATGGAAATCAATATATCTCATTGAACCGAAAAGCTCACCCTTGACTTGGAAGCCCCGGAAAGTCAACTCGATCAATGACCTAGATTTTTTATTCTTTCATTCGAGTCAATACACCAATGAACATTCAGGCTTTCAATTATACCATAATCAGATGAGCACAGCCGGCTTTTCAGTAAGAAGTGTATTCCCGCCTGGGTTCAATGACTCAGCATCACATCTCACATGGGAATCGCTATCTAGGAATTTTGAAATAATTCTAGTGCTCTCTAGAAACAATACAGATTGCTGCGTCATTTACGTGAGGGGACGAACCACAAGTAGAGATCGTATCAGAATAAGCAAAATGTCAATTTCACGGTGTCGGCCCTCGCTTTCTGCATGGCAATGGCCTCATAACCTCGCGATGACGGTAGGATCAACAGATCTGAAGTGGGGATCTACCGTGAGCTTTGATTCTGATCCCGAAAGGAAAATTGAGTATGCTTCGCTGGAGTTGAATACTGGAGTGGCTAGTTGGCATGGAAATTTTGTAGGGATTGTCATAAATCATCATACTGGAGCAGATCGACAAAAGATTGGAATAGCTCTTTGATGATGCTGGTCTGCATGTGTTCGATTATGTAAATAGAAATAGCAATTATGTACTTATTGCTACTGGACTGAAGAGTCTCTTTGAATTGTTCAAGGGGAGATGGTTTGGCATACCGGCGCAGGGAGAGGAATGGCCAAGCGTGCATTCTATGTGTTCAATTTACGCAAAGTGCTGTATTTTCATATGGTTATCATAACACTTTTTTTTGGTTGTACTCCTTGTGCAATTGAGGAATGCGAATATCGATTGTTTCCTTTCTGTTACATAACAAACTAGGTACTTACGAGGTATCTACTTACCTACTATTGAAACCCATACTCATACTCATACTCATACTCATCTTATATACTATATATATGGATATGATATAAATATGGAAATGGCCCTACTAACCACCAACCAGAAAAACAAAAATCTTAACGATCAAAATGAGTATTCGAGAATTGTGGAAAGATAATTCCCCAATCGACAATCTATTCGAGTACTGGATTGGAGCGATGACATCTGTCTGTTTATAAGTACTTACTGCTTATTAGGATTCGATAATACCTACCCCCACTAACTACCTACCTACCTACCTACCTACCTACCTACTTATCCATTTATCTACCTATCTATTCAGGAGAATTAACTACTTCGTACGAACTTCCAAGTATAAGTAAGTCCTTAACAAGGTATGAAAGACTTTTCTGTCTGATCTAGCATGTAGTATGTAGTATGTAGTATATAGTATATAGTATGCGACATGTGATATATATCATATGATATACAGGCAGGCAGGCAGGTAGGGATCAAGCCTGCACGCAAAACCAGCGATGTGCAACAGAATGTTTTGGGGAGGGGGTGATTGGATGTATTGGATAGTTTATTTTGGTGGGTTTGGGTTAGTTTGGTTTGGTTTGGTTTGGTTTGGCTTGGGGCAGTTGGAGAGGTAGTTTGGGCTGAACCTGGAGGAATACTGGTAAGGAGTGATGTGATGTGATGTGATGTGATGAGATGTGATGAGATGAGATGGATTCCCGAGGTGGGTGGGAGAGATGGTGCGGGGTGGATTGGATTGGGATTGGGATTGGGGGGCAGGGGTTGGTTCATCTAGGATGCTATACCTAGGTTTCTTTTGGGGGGAGGGGTTGTAGTGGCGAGGAGAAGAGAGGAGAGGTGGGTGTAGGGGTGTGGGTTTTGGGATGGAGGGGGGAGGATTGAGGATTGAGAATTTAAGATCGGGTGGGGTTGGGGGATTTGTTTGGGGGAGTGGGGAGAGTAAGTTTTGGTTTGTGGAATGGTCGTTGACAGAATATCGAGAGACCATATAAATGTCATTTTGAGGACAATTTGAGTGTATCCGAGAATATTGATTTTATAGATATATGTGCAAGCCACAAAAGCAACGATTGAAAGCTCCTAGAATCCCTAAACATTTCTATCCTCTGCTATCCGATTACTTAGTCCTTCTCTGCTATTCTACCCACCTATCTATGGCTTTCCCTGGTAATTATAAACTAATCTAATCTTCAACACCTCCTTTCCCTTCTTAACCACGACTCTCCGGGTATGATATCTCTTTCCATCAATAATTGCAAATCCCCAGATCTGATTTGCCGTCCATCCCTTCTCCTCATTCACAGCATAACTCTGCACATGTCTTTGGTCTTCCGGTCCACTATTTTCCTCGTCCCCCTCTAACCATCCGTCTCTCAAAAACGCATCATCATCAAATTCCGCCGCTTGTTCCAGAGTACAAAAACGAGATTGCGCGGCGATTTTCCCAAACAAATGATCTTCGTGAGTGCGGACTGACCAATCGAGGACTCGATATTCCGAGGTACCTTTGAGACCACCGGTCGCTGTTTGATCAATGTCGATGTGTGGAATCTGGTTTTCGTCGATGTATTGTTTGACGTGGAGAGTTACGGTTGCGAGGGAGATGGCTTTGCGCGTCCACCAGCCTATACCTTGGAGAGCGAGGACAGCGTCGGTATCGTCGGAGAGGGTTTTGTTCTGCGAGGTGTTAAAATATGAAGGGGTGGAATGGAATGGATAAGGGAGAGGAGAGTTTCTTACCATAACCCAGTTTCCACTTAGATCCTTCAGCGTAACTTCGGGCCCAGCTGCCATTGTGTGGTTTGTATTGAGAGTTTGGTGTTAGTTGTCGAAGTGTTTCTCAGACGGAAGCTTTGGGTATTAAGCGGGGTAAGTGGCTATGAGGTGATGCAGAAGTTCCGTATTGTACCCAGGTAAGTAGTTTTGGCGATATGCAGGTTGAACAGATAAGGAAATGCAATACACAAATAGTTACACAAAGTAGGGAAAAGAACAATGTTCGAGGAAGGAACAAACAATCAAAAGGAAATCAACTTTGATACTTATATCTCTAAATACCTAGGGCCCCTTGGCGTCATAACTTGTACCTGCAGCAAGTGTACGTCTCAAAAATGTCAATATCACAAGCATTGGTACCTGTTTACGTTTTTGATATGAGATGCGACGTCCTATCACCTCGGTACGTGCGGACTGATGTGACATAAATTGTGGAGGAATCGGCTTGCATGTGTTTTCGGGTTCGTTTTATCTTCTTGCGAACCGTGCGATGCGAATGCTACCATGTTGGAGCTGCGAGGCTGCTTGGATGAGACGGATGGATGTGGGATGTGGGATGTGAGACGGGGAGGGGAGAAGGGATTCCGATGAGTGAGAATTTCAGATTGATGGTGGAGTAATAATGCTTGCTCCGAAATAGGAACGATTATCTTGAGCAATGATGTAAGTTGGAAAAGCCTAAGGGACTTATTTGTGTTCTTGTTGTCATCTCTCTCACCTTCTTCTTCGATGAGAATTATTTAAGTGAGATTCAGAAAGAAAGGGGGGTGGTTATGAGTTGAAGAATTGAAGCGCTGCTATTGCAAAATATACCTAGGTATGCAATTTTTGAGGTGTACCCGGGTGGTGGGTGAATTTATCAAACTAAAGCTGCGATTTATAAATTCTTCAACCAATCAAAATGAGTTTAATCAGCAACACTGAGCAAAGCTGGGGTTTGCGGATTCTTCGGGCTCCGATATCGATCTCGAGAAACAATTTCTAGCTCATACTTAATTAAAGTGGGTGGTATTTGACGATTTGGAAAGTGTCAATTACTTTCATCCTTCATTCGTCTTTGCTTGTAAGAGAAGTACAGGAGAAACTCTCATACTTATTCTTCAATCTTGAAATTTTGAAGCATCGACAAAGGCAAAAGTTGAAGTAAATAACTTTACTTGCAACATTCATCAAATATGCTCTCACAATTGAGAACGAGGGCAAATGCCTTTCTTCTTACCTCAAGAAGAGCTTCTCAATATGTGTAAGTATCTAGGAAGTCCAGTCTCTTTCAATTGACTAATTTGATATCCAGACGCTCCCTATCCTCCACCTCATCTCTCCGCACATCCTCCAATGACTCAGAACCACCACTCAACAGAGTCTCATCTACTATTACACAACCAAAATCACAAGGTGCTTCGCAGGCCATGTTATATGCTACTGGTATGACCGAGGAAACATTAAATACAGCACAAGTTGGTATCTCTTCAGTATGGTGGTCAGGAAATCCTTGCAATATGCATCTTTTGGAGCTCAACCACAAAGTGAAGGAAGGAGTAGAGAGAGCGGGCTTGGTAGGATATCAATTCAATACCATTGGAGTCTCGGATGGTATTTCCATGGGTACAAATGGTATGAGATACAGTCTTCAATCAAGAGATTTGATTGCGGACAGTATTGAAACTGTTATGGGAGGCCAATGGTATGATGCGAATATCTCGATTCCTGGATGTGACAAGAATATGCCTGGTGTCATGATGGCAATTGGCAGAGTCAACAGACCAGCTCTTATGGTTTATGGTGGTTCGATTAAACCAGGATGTGCCGCGACTCAAAACAATGCAGATATCGATATTGTCTCAGCATTCCAAGCCTACGGACAATTCATTACTGGAGAGATCACAGAAGAACAAAGATTCGATGTGATTCGCCACGCTTGCCCAGGTCAAGGTGCCTGTGGTGGAATGTATACTGCAAACACAATGGCATCAGCTATTGAAATTATGGGAATGACTCTTCCCGGATCTTCCACCAACCCTGCAGATTCAAAGGCCAAATTACTCGAGTGTTACGCAGCTGGTGGCGCAATCAAAACTCTTCTCAAAGAGGACATCAGACCTAGAGATATCATGACCAGAAAGGCTTTCGAAAATGCTATGGTTCTAGTTACCATTACTGGTGGATCTACCAACGCTGTTCTTCATCTTATTGCTATGGCCGATGCTGTAGGAATCAAGCTTACAATCGATGATTTCCAAGCTGTTTCTGACCGAACACCTTTCCTCGCAGACCTCAAACCATCTGGTAAATACGTGTTCAACGATCTCTATAGTATCGGTGGTACTCCTTCTCTCATCAAACTCCTCATCAAGGAAGGTGTCATCGACGGATCCGGAATGACTGTCACTGGTAAGACCCTCGCTGAGAACGTCAAAGATGCTCGCGATTTCCCATCCGACCAAGAAATTATCCGTCCGTTCTCAAACCCCATCAAAAAGTCTGGACATATCCAAATTCTCCGTGGTTCTCTCGCACCAGGCGGATCTGTTGGTAAAATTACCGGTAAAGAAGGATTACGATTCGTTGGAAAAGCTAAGGTTTATGATGCTGAAAATGATTTCATCGAAGCCCTCGAACGTGGCGAAATCAAGAAGGGAGAGAAGACTGTTGTAGTCATTCGTTATGAAGGACCAAAGGGTGGACCAGGTATGCCAGAGATGTTGAAGCCATCCTCGGCTATCATGGGTGCAGGACTTGGAAAGGATGTCGCTCTTATCACCGATGGACGTTTCAGTGGAGGATCTCATGGATTCTTGATTGGACATATCGTACCAGAGGCACAAGTTGGTGGACCAATCGGATTGGTTAGAGATGGTGACACTATTGTTATTGATGCTGAGACAAGAGTATTGGATTTGGAAGTTGAAGGTGGTGAGGAGGAATTGGAGAGGAGGAGAAAAGAATTCGTCGCACCTCCGTTGAAATATAAGAAGGGTACTTTGGCGAAATACTCGAGATTGGTACAAGATGCTAGTCATGGATGTATTACCGATGGAGAGATTGTTGAGGCATGAGGGACAAGATGATTTTAGATGCATATAGGAGAGAAAAGCAGATGATAATAGAGGATGAAATCAAAATGTATACTTCAGGAAAACCCGGTCTGGGGTGACGGGAGTAGAACTGGGGAACAGTATTTCGCTGTCTTTTTTTGGCGATTCATGATTAGGCGTTTTACGATGATGGAATGAAATGAAAATGAATGTTGGGGTCTTAAACGGAAAGCAGTCATGTGAGACTCGTGGAAGGCTATGTGAAGATCCAGTATCCCAAATCGCAATCATACAAGACGAGATGCAAGATTAGTAAATTTCCATGATATATGTGTAATTTCCTTCTCGTTAATCCTGAGAGCAAGTGCTCAATTGGACCCCTTACTTATTGATGCATTATCATTTTCACTTGAAGTTTCTCTTCTCACAATCTATGAAATGTGCTTGAGAATTCTTTTCAATCAATCCAAAAAACATTCCTCTCCTCTGCTTCATCTTCTCGCGAAGATCGGGTCAGCACCCCCGAAAATGATGTCCGGTCGATAAACTTAACCGATCCGATAGGGCTGCACTTGTCCGATTTGGGATTAAATAAGTAGGGAGGATTTGGATTCGTTGGTTTTGTTTGGAAACGTCATTTTGGGAATGTCATTTTGAAGGGTAAGTAAAATTAAGAGTTTGTATTTCATTCATTTGAGTTATTTTGGGGGGTTTGGGAAGAGATGGTTGAGAGGAGGGTTGGAAGGGATGAAAGGGGTGGGATGGGGTGGGAGGTTTGGGTTTGGACGTTGAGATTATGATGGTTATAAGGTGGGTATTTGGTGATGAGAATTATACTGAATGCTCGGTTGGTTGAAACGCTGGTTGTTATTATTACTATTACTATTACCATTACCATTACTATCGCTATATTCCAAAAGGTTTGTTCCTTCCCAAAAGAAAAACCTATAGAATCCTGCTGTTTCCACTATTGTGGCTGCATTTCCATTCCCATGTCTGAAGTGATTCTTCAAAAACTCAGATATCCAATCTTCAGGATTTACATGTCGGATAATTTGCCCAGTCAATCTTCCTCATCTTCCTCGAGATTCTCCTCCTGTTCATCTGGAAATCTGGAATTGATCCAAGCTCTCATAGCCTCACTTACATCCTCATCATCCTTCTCCATCTCCGCAGTAAAACATTCCTCTCCTCCCCCAGTGATATCCGCCATTCGTTTTTCCTCCTCGAATTTGCGGACCAGCGCGAAATCGTGGACCCAGAATCCTCGGCCTTCGTCCCAGAGGCCATCGACTACTTTGAAGGCGACGCAAGAGACGTCTGATTCTGATTCTGCATCGGCATCGTATACAGCGGATGTAGAGGTATCGGAGAGCATCTCGGGGTAGTCGGAGAGGGTCGTGTTGGAGGGTAGCTTGTGCATGGCGTCGGAATGATTTGTTGCGGCGTCGGAATCAATCTCAGTGGATGTAGAGGCATCAGAGAGATTGCCTATTTGACCATCGTGAAGAGCGTCGATAACACTGTTTGCGGAGACATTGGTGTTGATGATGGCATCTTCATCGGTAGCCATGTCGTCAGGAATTGGTAGTGATTGACTGGCCAAAGTGGATTTTTTGACAGAACCTCGTACTAGGAGCGAGGGGTACATTGATTGAGAACCGGGGGAAGCGTCCCGTCTCGCGAGATGGCGAGTACGCGCGTGCTTTTGAATGGATGCGCGATACATGATTGCTTGGTTGTATAATGTTTTAAGGTGTGAGAATTGGATGTGTGCTTTGAGTGACGTGTTTTTACTTTTGTGTCTATAGTTCGTTGAACTTGGGGGGATGGCAGTTCTTTTTATAGACAATTTATACTCTGGAGCTATTTTAGTAGTGAAATAGAACGTTAGTATACCAAGTTAAATAGTACGTCAGTAGTGATAAGTACACATTTAGTTTGACGTTGGACGATACTAGACACGAACTAGGACTCGCTAGAAAATGCTCCTCATCCCAGTTAGCGAAGTTTTAAACTGTCAAGTTAGGGGGATCGACATGATTGTATTCTGTTCATCCTATTAGAATCCGTCTTAGACGAACTAGGTATTGTTTTGATCTAAGAAGTATGACATATACCTCATACACATGATCGAGGTAAACTTAATTATTTTAGTGAAAGTTAAAAAAAATTCCCCTCGTGCCGTTGAGGTCTTAGCTTGGATGTCGTGCATACACCGTGGTAATTTACTCGAGCTGTGGACATCTTTGTATTTGAATGGAGTTCATAACGATATATGATGCGATCAATCCGAAGCATAAAATGATGTTTTGTAAGCCCTGAAGCTAGAGAATATACCACCGAGATGATTGGCACAATTGATGAGTAGGAAATAGCTGGATCGAGTTAGGTATCCAATTTAGATGCATATTAAGGAGTAGTTGGTAACTTATAACTCGAGTTTCGGAAGGTTTCTACCAATCTATTGTGTAATGACAAAGAAAATGCAGTCTAACTATAAGATCTAGACATCTCCAGGCCGTCAATCTACTCCATTACGGGGTTAGATAGTACTTATTATTTCGTAGCGTGGTGTACCCTCCTCGATTTTCCGATATTCATACCAGAAGTCTCAAATACTTTATTAAAATTCCAATCCTCACTCATTGCTATGATCTTGTGTTCCAATACGTGTCAGGAATCTTGATTCACATTACTTGATACTATATCATTCTTTGCATGGAGGAGTGACAAACTTGAAGAAAATGAAATATTTTGAGATTTAGAATGATTGAGGATAATGAGTTTACCTCTTGTGGGCTTCGATAGTCTTCAGTGAGTAAAATATACAGGTCTTGATTGGTAGCAATTGTTGAAGCCTGATTCCTCAGTACAAGGACCAGACTAAACTTCTCTATATCATTTCAACCTTGGCCTCTGTAAACGTATTGATTGAATGATAAGTCACTGAGGATTGAGTGAACATTTACGATGTCCATAGACGCGAGCAATGTTTTTATGATGGAATATGTAGATCACTTAGTACGACTAGAAGGCTCGCTATTACATTTGAGGCTTAGGCTATTAGTTCTAATTGGGGGATTAGGCAGTCCCGATATATGAGAACAGCTTGTGTGGGATAGGCTATGAGTTGTCTTCAGTAACATGGCTGTGACTTTGAATCTAGATACCACGGTCAATTTGCTGTTGGATATCGTTAAACAACCCCGTTCTAGCACCATAAGCTCACCAAAAAAACTCAAACTGCACGATAATATTGTAATATAGCATTTTCAAGTACTGTGATCCTTATCTTTATACCCATCTTATAAACTCTCCACACTCGTCCTCCTCGCATACTGCGCATCAGAAATTTCACTCTTCCCATCTTCGTATTGCACACTAACACTCGTCGTCTTAATAATCCCATTATATTTCATAATTTCCTCATCACTATCCCCATCCCCCTTACTCGTCTCCCTCTGAATTCCATTCGGATCCTCCGTCCTCCCGTTTTTGTCATCCGGTATATCCGGTACATCCTCCAATCTGATCAGTCCATTGCCGTTACTTACTCGCGAGTTCTTAAACCCTGCCCCGTTCCTTGTTCCGCGTTCACATCTACTATTGCCCTGCAAAGCATAACGTCCGCTCTGATTATTATAGGCCCCATCTGATGAAGAACTAAAGAGCTTTGGAAACCATTGCCGCATCACAGGTTTGAGAGCAGGAGCAGATGCTGTAATTATTGCGAGGTTTATTTCAATCGCTGAGGTTACAAAGCTGATGCCTCGTGTAGAATCCACGGGGGGAGGGTTAAAAAATACGGTAACCATCATTGCGAGACGGACTATGCCTACTACCGTCACTCTACACGATGGTCAGTCTGATCTTCAGATGTGTAGTTTGAGAAAAGAATTTGACTTACAGTATTCCGAGAAAGAATATGCCAATGACTGCGATTTTTGTTTTTCGAGGCATTTTCAATCCAATGACGATCCAGAATGGAACGACTAGAACCAAAATGTCTGTGATGAGAGCGATAACTGAAGTGGCAGCATAAAATGTACCTTGTTCGATACAAGAACCTCCAGGAATATCAAGTTGCCAGTTGTATGCAACGGGCGTACATTGGAAGATGACTACAATGAAAATAGCAACCATCAAAGCACTGTTAAGGATCAAGAGTGCCCATATCATACGTTTGATTTCAATCTTCTGCCCTGCGAGACGGAGGAAGAACATCAATATGGAAGTCTTGACAATGGCAAGAATTGGGTTATAGAGAACTTGAACGGCATAATTATACTAAGAAGTGTCAATAAGCAGTATTGGAGGCCGGCCATTGTTAGGGTGCGACGAACTTTGAGTCCAGGAATCGGGTCGTGATCGAGTGGTACATCCCATATATGTAAACCCACGAAATTGAATATAATGTCTACAGCAGTTTTGTTAGCGGGCACCCATGAGATATTCTATATTCGAGTTACCTACATTGCCATTGTACATAAGTCTCCGCTATAGACAAAATCATAGAGAGCACGATGAGGCCATCATCTGTAGTACATTGTAAGGGGATAGCCACATAATGACTCAAAATTGGGACTCCTTACCCAAACCAAATTGACTTAAACTGACTCTGCTCCATATCCTAAGACACACAGTGATCAATGCCAAAGCTGGGCTGAAGGCGACGATGAACAAAGCCAAGTCTTGGAGTGAGGTATCAACCATAGCGAAAGGTGTTTGGGAAAGTGACTTAGAGATCCTGTTCCATAAGTCCTCCACTCAATCGATTGGCGGTCACTTGAGTAATGCATTTCAAGTATAAATGCTTGGGAGTAATTGCAGTCTCGAAGGCAGAGTGGACGGCAAAACTTTAAACTTTCCCAGGATGTTTCTTTAAATTGAAATACATTCTGAAGGCTAGGGTACAACATTCCTCACAACATATGCAAAACCCTCTACTTTCTTGTTTGGTTACCAAAAACAGGGCGACCAGTCTAGATCAAGCTTGATCAGGCCGCGTGTTATTTGAGGGTATTTCCCGTCCAGTTCGTATTTATGATTCAAGTAAATTCTTCATGACTTGGGTCCAGATCAGACGTCTTAAGAACCAATACCTTAAGTGTGCTTCTCATGCAGAAGCTTACCTAACTAAATTAAAATTTGAACCGCTATGTCAGTGGAATAGGTCATGTAAGACGGAAAGCGGCTCATTCTTGATTACCGAAAGCACAGCTTCAGAACAATATAGACTACGTATGGCTCTCTACTTGTTTGCTCAAGAAGGATAAAACTCCGGAGCTAGATCTACATACCACAATGACCAGAGAAAAAGTATTCAGATTGGATTTTTCAGCAGCGAGACCGTATACTTTCCAGCCGCACGCATGGAAAATAGAGATACTCCCTTAGTTCCGGCATCACTTTCCGGGCTACCGGTAATTGTAAAATGGTTGTTGACCCTCGGTCCACAAGGAACTTTATCATAGATAGTCTGCCATGGCGATGATAATAAGACGCAACGACGTTTTCAAATTTCTTAGAAAAGACTTTGCAACCTGCACACTGTGTCCACCGCGCTAGAAGTGATTGAATTTTGAAGGGGTAATATCAATCAGTATCTACCTTTACAGGTTCACAAAAGACGATTTTCTTTCGATATTTTGATGAGGAGCCATTTTGGTATAAGATGTCAGGTTCGCCAATTACCCACATCACACCTTGTGCAGTGCATGAGTGAGATGTTGATATTCGAGGCGGTGACAAACCGCGAACGATACCAGCATCAATCGGGCAAGAATTATGCAAACTGGAAGATTTCCGCAAGTAAGCCGGCTTAAGTATGGGAAAGAAAAAGCTCCATAAGAGTTGATTAGATGATACCGATCTTGTGGATTTATATTGAGTTTTGTTTGGATTTCACTTCATCCGTGACCAGGGGTGGTCGGGCGCTTCTAGAGTTCTGGGGCCGCAGTGGATACTACCCTGCCAATTCCGTCAAAATTGAGAAAGTGATGACCCACTTAGGTATCTTTAAAGTTTTTTACGTTGCATTCTAGGGATCATGGTTCGACGTAAAATACAGAGAAAATCCATGATTAATGAAAACTTGTGGTTGTGTAATTTGAGCATGCATGGTGGTGAGATCGACACAGGAATTTCTTATATCAAGGAAGGAGAAATAAACTTGCGGTTATCTTCGATACAATGGATACCATAACTAGCGCCCCAGAGACCTTTGAAACAACTTCCATAAGGCAGAGATTCAGAATGCTAGCACCGTGCTTCGCGCGGCATGATAATACCTAGATCCATGCCGTTGGTGAACAGTGTGCAGCTCTGCAGTTTACGGTTATTCGTCCGAAGAAAACAAACAAGGAGATCGACAGGGCTTGAAATTGGTGTCCAGTTGAGGGAGAAAAATAAGTACCCCAGCGTGCCCAGGGGAAGAAACCCATTTTTTGTTTAAGCGAAATGGTGGAAAGGTAACAAAAAGGTCTCCATGTGGACGCAAGAGCAAACACCACCCCCGCAAAAGCACCCTGTTGCAGCATTTGACCGCTTTCAGTCTAATAGAAATTAATCTTTCATATTGAAGACAATATCAATGTATTATTATATGAATAGTCAGCTCTTCCTGTTGAGTCTTCCAGTGGGCTGGCTGAATTTGCCATCTTTTTGGTCCACATTGAGGTATGCAGCCTGTAAGTCGTACGACAAAGCCGTCAGAACGCTCATGAATAGCCCATACATACCCCACCAAGTACAATCGGCGGCTCTCGGCGATCTTGCGTCGAGATACTGTGGATTGAAAAGTATGGGGGACATGATGGTTGTGCATGTCCAAACGATGAATAAAGGCAAAATTTCGGAGGAGTAGCGACCGAAATCATATCCTGTCAGTTGCAAAATTGTATATCCACACACAGCCAGCACCGCTGAGTAAACATAGGGTTGCAAGGGAGGATACGAGTCGTAGCTTAAGGAAAGATGGAAATGATTAAAAGCCTTCTGCAAGCTATAGATGTGACCATGAAGACTTTTGTTATACTTCAATATTATCTTGCTAGTGACACTATTTACGGTAGATTATTAACAGCCATTAGGATTCTTGTTATTATATATTTCCATGTACTGCTCCGAAGCACGGGGAAGATTGAGAGATAACACCATGCGTATTTATACTGGATCCTGTGTAATGGGTTCGATTGATCTACTTTAGGATGCCTTGCCAAATCCGGCATGAAATTGCAGCAATATGGAATCATCCGATAAACTGGCATAGCAGCCAAGTGGCAATCAGGCGCAACGAAATAGTTCGGTCTTCTCGGGATCGAACGCCGTCAGGGCTCAGTTCATATAAAAAGTCTCCCCGTAGTGGTTTCTTGATTTCGGTGGCCCCTTTTGATTCTTTAATTGACAAATTTTTGAAGAGGATTTCCCGTCGCAATAAAGGGCGTTGAAACTCAATTTGTTTACCTCATCAGTGACCACCCATTTTGGCAGTTAGAGTTTGTTTCTTTGATAACATGGCGGTTTCATCGGTCGCACGGTGGGCCTTGGCTTCTCTCCTCGCTCTTCCGCTTGTACAGGGTTTAGCGACTGAGATCGTCGTCAATGGAACTTGTTACTGTAAGTAGATTAATATAATTAGGATAAAGCTATGTCTGAAGATTAATCACTAACTTTGTGTCAGCCGTCAACTCTTCCACACTAGCTCCAGCCGGTGCACTTGTCGATGGCAAAGTTCAGCTCACGGATGCGATCGTCACAAACCTGACAGACATTGGACTATCGAATGCTGAATTGTTTGAGTTCGATACCAGCAGCAGTGACCTTAGCAAGAGAGCCTATTCTTGCAAAGTTTATCCCGGTGATTCAGCATGGCCAGCGACCTTGATATGGGATATCTTTGATACACTCGCTGGTGGGGCGCTGATTTCAACAGTCCCTCTTGCAGCGCCATGTTATGCTGACTGGCCTCGCCATGAGAACACCGCCGAGTGTTTGTATATCATGGATGATTGGACAAACAGTTCGATACAGTATGTAGACTAACATCGCCGCAATTGTATATGCTAATTGTACATAGCGCATCGGATCCCACCTCGATTATGTGGCCCCTTTATCAGGGACGGACTTGTATGCCTACTAATGATACTAGCGCGAGCTGTACTTTAGGAGCCTATCCCGTGTATGCACTCAACGTTTCTAGTGTTGCCCAAATCCAACTTGCGGTCAATTTTGCTCGCAATGCCAACTTACGTCTTGTTGTCAAAAACACAGGTCATGATTTCAATGGAAAATCTAGTGGCGCTGGAGCGCTTTCTATCTGGACTCATCACTTGAAGGATCTTGAGTACGTTCCCAATTATTCAACCAGCTATTATACAGGAAAAGCTGTAAAAATGGGAGCAGGTATTCAAGCCTTTGAAATCTATGAATTTGCGCGGGCGAACGGTGTTACAGCTGTTGGAGGTGAAGGTCGAACAGTAGGTGTTGCTGGTGGTTATGTAGCAGGAGGCGGACATTCCCCTTTGTCCTCCATCTATGGCATGGCGGCAGACCAAGTTCTCGAGATGGAAGTTGTTACTCCAGATGGGCGATTTGTTACTGCCTCGGCCACAAAGAATACCGACCTCTATTGGGCTCTCCGTGGAGGTGGTGGTTCGACTTTTGGTGTTGTGACATCCGTCACCAGCAAAGTTTATCCAGTCCTTTCCTCAACTGTCATGAAATTCAGTTTTGAAGTTGGTGGTAATATCACCGCTGATGTGTTCTGGGCTGGTGTGCGCACCTATTTCGATCACTTCGTTGAGCACGCCGAAAAGGGCATCTATTCGTACTTTGCCATTCTCGCCACAGGTACTAATGCGTGGTCGTTCGGCATGCAACCTTTGTTTGCGCCAAACTACACTGCAGCTGAACTTGAAACTTTAGTTGCTCCATGGTTCGCCGAGCTTGGCAAACTTGGTATCAGCATTACTCCTTCCATTACAGAATACACTGAGTTTTATGATGCATGGTGGGACAATTTCCCTCTCGAGACCGTTGGTACTGTCAATATCAAGACTGCTTCCCGTCTCTTCCCAAAAGCCAATTTCCAGAACGAGACCATTACCGACACCACCTTCTACGCCATTAAAGAAAGTGTTTTGGCTGGGGGATCATTCTTAGCTTTCAACATCCAAGCAGCAGATAATGCGGGGAATGATAACTCAGTAAACCCAGCTTGGAGAGACACTTGCTTGCACGCTATTATGGCAAACTTCTGGGCTGCAGATGCTGATAATGCAGCCATTGCACTGGCATCTGAAGTTCTTACTTACAACTGGATCCAACTATGGAGAAATGTTTCTCCTGATGGCGGCGCGTATATGTCCGAGGCGGATATCTTGGAGCCAAATTTCCAGCAAGCTTTCTATGGCACCAATTATGACCGTCTGTACAGTTTGAAACAAAAATATGATCCAAAAGGATTATTCTACGCGCCGACCGCAGTAGGAAGTGAGGACTGGTATATTACTGATCAATTGACTGGTATACCTACCCAGAATGGGAGATTATGCCCAGCGATATGGCGATGAAGATGATCCAAAGAGAAGCGGGTTGATTCTCTGATAGAAGTTGGAATCGAAACTAAACAGTTGATAATGGGAATGAAATTTATGAGATTAGCTTAATGTGTTTTATCAGTGAGTGATTCATATCAATGAATGAATCACTTATTTTATATATAAAATTTGTTTATATATAATTATACACTTTTTTTATTTAAAGATATAATTTTCTGAAAATTTGATACAAAATATTTGAATAAATTCGAATTTCTTAAAACTAATTAGATTTTGAAATTTTTTATATATTCAAATATTATATATCAAATTTTCAGAAAATTATATTTATAAATAAAGAAAATACATAATTATACATAAACGAATTTTGTATATAAAATAAGTGATCCATTTATTAATATAAATTATTCACTAATAAAACATGTTAATATTTAAAGAATATATATAATGTAGTTTAACACCGAATAGCTTATATCATCAAGTGGCTTACTTCAAAATACATACAAAATTCGTTTGTGTATAACCATACACTTTCATTATTTATTAATAGAATTTTTAAAAAAATTGAAATTAGAATATTTAATTATATAAATATTATAAAAATCTAATTTGTCTTGGAAAATCCAAATTAATATATAAATTATTATTAAAATAATATTTTTGTAATGAAAATTGTAACAATTTCGATTTTTTTAAAAATATAATAAAAATATTTATATAAAAACTAATTTATTATTATTATTTAATATCTTTTTTTTAAAAAAATAATATTTGGTTATTAAAATATAAATATTAGGAAAAGCTTAATATTAGTGTATTTTGAAGTGGGCCATTTGATGATATAGGCCACTCGGTGTTAAACTACGTTAACCCAATATTCGAAAGAGGCATCCAATGAAACCTACAAGCTGCAAGGGTGAGAAACAGGTAGATGCTTTGAAGTGACACAGATTTATCAACATATGAGCGTTGAAAACTTTCAAAGTAGAATCATTGCTGAGACAATAGATAATCCGATCCAGTGCCATTTCGGTCAAAACAACAAAAAGTCCCGACCGTGGCATGATTTGATGTGTGGTGTTGTGTTGTGAGTTTACGGAGTAGATACTAGCCATGTGATCTAAGCTCAAGAGATGCCTCGGCATTCCCCGCAACGACGTAACTTCAAAAACCGCATGTCACTCCTTCCTTTTTCAAACTTCAACCATAACATCCAACAAAAACCAGCAACATGCTACTAATTGGTCTCACCGGCTCTATCGCGACCGGTAAATCTACGGTCTCATCAATACTTTCTCAAGCTCCCTATTCTCTTCCCATTATCGATGCCGATTTACTTGCGCGGAAAGTTGTAGAACCTGGGACTCCAGGTTACGACAAGATTGTCGCACATTTCTTACCAACTACTCCCGATCTGCTCCTTCCTCCTTCTCCCGATCATGATAATACAAAAGGCTCACCGTTGAATAGGCCTGCACTAGGTAGAAGAGTGTTCGGGGATAGTGAGGAGAGAAAAAGAGATAGGGCAGTGTTGAATGGAATCGTGCATCCGGCAGTCAGAAAAGAGATGTATAAACAACTGCTCGGCTACTATCTAAAGGGTTGTTGGGCTGTAGTTCTTGATGTTCCTTTGTTGTTTGAAAGTGGAATCGATGTTATATGTGGTACTGTCCTTGTCGTAGCCGTAAGGGATTCAAAGATCCAAATGCAAAGATTAAGGGACAGAGATTCACATCTGACGGAGGAAGATGCCGAGAACAGGGTTAAGAGCCAAGGGGACGTGAGAGAAAAGGCAAAGAGATGTGAAGCCAGAGGGGACGGACATGGACTGGTAGTGTGGAACGATGAAGGAAAAGATGAACTGAAGATAGAGCTACAAAAGGTTATGGAAAGCATACAAGGCAAGAGTCCCAGATGGTGGGCCTGGCTATTACTTTTATGCCCACCCTTAGCTGGACTCGCTGGAATTTGGAACTATTGGAGAAATCTTACGATCAACAAAGAGTGGAAACGAGGAGAACTTCAAGCTAAGGCTAAGTTGTGATATCGCCAGCTTCATTATTGCATGGATATAGTTTCATTGACTAAGTCAATCACGAAGTTTCAGAGGAAGGGAGATCTTAGACAAGCCTATAAAACTCAACATATAGAGTGGCATTTCAGGATGTCATATCTCGTATGTAAAACTGGGAGATCATGGCGACATGTAGCGAGGCCAAGAATAGTCGGCAAGGCTCTATTCTTTCTTTAAAAGAGTCCTCGAGATATCATCTTAAGGCTAGCTGGCCTCGTCTGGTCGACCGAGGGCTCCTGTTCCCATTCGTCCAATCGTAATTACCCATGGGGAGAATGGGAAATCATCTATCGCCTAGGCCACATTCAAACAGCTGGTTCCGATATCCATTTTAATTCAAATTTACCCTCTTCCGTTGATGGCAATTTCTTTTGGCTAGGATCTGGAGCAAACTGACTTCACTTGAGCATTGATGACTTGACGATGAATACTTGACAAACGGAGATGGGTTGATAGATTAAAAACCTCTTGTTGGTTAGAGTCTTGGTTGTATAGTATTATTACAGTCAGCCCCTCCACAGAGCAGAATCGAGATTTATCCATCAGCCACGTTCAAGCTTTATCCCAATGTCTGATGTCTATCTGTTCCAGTGCAAGAAAGTCGGCCGTGGAGCTTCACGTATCACGTGAGTGTGAAATGGTCGATATGTCTATTCGTCTTCGCTAGGTACTTGAAGCATCATCTACACTGGCGGGATATTTTGGAATCATGAAAACATAAGCTCTGAGTTCTGAGTTCTGGGTATAACCTTGGAGGTTGGGGGTTATAAGTAATGAATTGTGAGGGAATGCTAGCAACTCAGATGGGAAGGTACGCTAAGGAACTCAATGCGGAAAAGAAATAAAGATTTTGAACAACCACCCTCAAGCAATTTCATTCCCCCTCGACTATCTACATGCAAAGGAAATCTCTATCTTTTCTCAAGTCAATGTTTATACTCTCTTTAATTCTCCTTAACACCATCTTTATGCTTCATCTTACATGTCTTGTGGTCTCTATTTTTACTACACAGAGTTAATGAACATCACAATCGAGAAAGCTTCACCTTCGAACTTCAACTCACGAAATCATTCAATTTCATCATCAAGCTTATACCTATCGAAGCGACTTCTGCATGTCACTTTGCTGGCGTCACTCCTGACGTATCGATCACACCCTATGCTGGATCATCGGGACTCTTGATGACTGGTTCTCGGTGTCAAGTTCTCTTGATGGGTTTCATTCTTCATTGAATGGGATTTCTCTCTCCTTCATTATCCGTATCATACATTCAATGCTGTGGTCCATTACATTAAGTATTTATTTGTGTTCATTCTACATCAGTTTGTAAGAGCGTGTAGCACATTCAATATACGGCCTTTCAAATACATATCCTCAAGGCATTTCGTGTCCATATTACTGAAGGATTTAGCGTTAAAGCCTGCTTCTGATAACAAAGATATAAGATACCTAGTCAAATACTCAAAGTTCGATATCGTGTTGCTGAAAGCTCTTCGTAATGCCGCAACGCCCGGCAAGTGTATTCGAGTGGATTGCTGGCCCTGCTCCGATAAAAGCTGCATATCGATCTGTTGGCATTGCAAATCCCCAGGTTGACATGGCCGATTCCAAGGTTGCTGTAGCAAGTCAACCCCGTATTCGCCGCCGTGTCCAAATCGAAGTCGGAGTTTCTGATTTTGGTGCCTCTTCCGCCAGTTCTTCCGAAGAAGAAGAACCTCCCCCGAAATCAGTAGCCAAGAAAGCCGAAAAGCCTAAAGCCAAGGAATCAGAATCGAAAAAGCCTCAAGCGACCAAGGAAGTCGAAAAGAAAGTCAAATTTCAAGAACCAACCCCCAAAGAGCCGACTCCCAAACTTAAGTCTGCATTGAAGAAGAACACCTCGGAGATTTCAGCAAAACCTCGCCCATGCGAATGCTTAGAGTGTAAAGCTCGGCAGAAACCGAAGAATAAAAGCAGCGTGGAAGAATCAAGCGACTCCAGCGAGGACAGTGAATATGAAGCTGCACTGACCATTAAACCATTTAAACCATTGAAGAAAATACAACTGAGCAACAACAACCAAAACCCACAACCAAGAATTTTGAAGCTCAAGCAAAATCGAAATTCCCAAACAAACCAACTTCAATGGGATTTTAGTTCGAATGAACGCGACAATCATCAACAACCCAGATTCAATAATCGCCAATACAACAAAGAGAGCTCAGACGAGTCCAATCAATCTGAGATTGAAGTTGTTCAACAAAATCGAAAATCACCGCGCTATATGAATCATATAATGGAGGGAAGGACCCTTCAAGAGATGAGAGCTGAAGTAATACTTCGCGAAGATGTGATTGAAACCCCGTCTGATCCTCGTCCAAACGCATTTCTTGACACGAAAAGCGGTGTTCTTCGAGTTTACCATGGTCGGGTGTATGGTAATCCTTTTGCGACACTTCTCACGCCAGCTCAAGTGCCAATCGGTACCTTTGCTCCAACCTCAGCTCATTTTGGTGGCTCGCCTCCGACGTATAATGTGTCTGGGGGTAACGGGCCTGGCCCTCATGATCAACACCAATTTCAACCAGAATTACCCCGCAATTTTTCGAACAATACTGTCAGACATACCCCCAATCAGAATCCGCAGCGGAATTTTTCAAATAGCCATTCTAATCGGGCTTCTTCCAACAACCGGCGCCAACAGCATGGTAGCAGCGGCAATATTAATAATCAGCATGTGCCAGGTGGTTGGGTCGATGATACGAACAACAAAGAAGACTCTGGTTCGGGAGGCAACAACAATAATTCGGGCTCTAGTTGGAATAACATTGAAGAAGAAGCCAATAACAACCAGGACGCAGGTGATTGGGGAAGTAACGAAGCAAACAATAATCAAGCTTCGAGTGGCTCGGGAAATAATGGTCAGAACCGCAGCCAACGAGCCGCTTCTGTTAGCAGTCACAAAACGCAGACCTCCAACAAGCAGAAGAATAAGAAGAAGAGCGAAAAGAGCCAAGCAAACCAGAGTAATCAGTCTAATAACAACAACTCTGGCGATGCATGGGGCGTAGACAATAATGATCAGTCTGGCAACTCGAACAGCTGGGGTGCGAACAATGGTACAGGCGGGGATTCTGGTTGGGGAAATGATACCAAGCAAGATGCGGACGCTACAGCGAACAATGACCCTTGGGAAAACGATAACAGTAACTCAAATGACAACTCCAATAATCAGAACTCTGGCTGGGGAGCAGATAATCAGGATTCGAACAATCAAAAGTCAAATTGGGATAACGATAACAATCAAGAGTCAAATGATAATTCGAACAACCAGAATTCTAGTTGGGGCAATGATAATAACCAGGAGTCAAACGATAGTTCGAACAACCAGAATTCTAGTTGGGGCAATGATAATAACCAGGAGTCAAACGATAGTTCGAACAACCAAGAGTCCAACTAGGGCAACAATGTTAACCAGGATTCAAATGAGAATTCCAATAATCAGGGCTCGGGCTGGGGTAACAATAATAACCAAGCCTCGAATGATAACTCGAACAATCAAAATTGGGACTGGGACAATGGTAATAACCAAGACTCCAATGATAACTCCAAAAATCAAAGTTCTGGTTGGAGAGCAGATAACCAGGATTCCAACAACTCAAATAACAAACCTTCAAGCTGGGGCAACAATGATAATAACGGCCAGCCGAACTCCAAAGATCAGCCAAAGAACGGCAAGTCCAGCGGTTGGGGAGGAAAGCCAGGCAATCAAAAAAATGATACATCCGGAGGCTGGGGAGGTTCGAACGAGAAACAAGGCAATGCCAATTCAGGAGGATGGGGAAATCCTAACAACCAACAAAATAATGGCAAATCTGGCTTTCGTACAGCTTCACAAAATAACACCAAGTCAAACAACAACAACTCAAGAAATCCACAAAACAGCAAGTCAAAAAATAATCAAAACTCCAAAAGCTACGATGATCCTGAGTGGACCGCCCACGACGATAACCAAGAGGATGATCAAAACCAGCAAGATGATAGTAATGACTGGGGACCAACCAATACAAGCTATAACGTCGTACAAAGCGCCAAGGGCAAAGGCTGGAACAATGAGAAAACTAAAAATCAAAGCAATAGTGGTAAAAAAGGAAAGTCCAATAAAGGAAGTCAATGGGGAGGCGATGGTCATAACTCCGGCGAGGGCGGAGACCATGTTGAAGATGTGGAAGAAGGGAACCCGCAATTTAGGGATCACACACCTACTAGTAGTGAGATATTGAGAAATTGGGATAGTACAAATCAGGGTGGTTACGCGGGATTTGGAAATGTGAATAACGGAAAGTATAATGGTGGTGGGAAGAAAAAGAATCATGCGAGGATGCCTACTGCTTTGAGTCTGGCAGGAAGTTGGGCGTCGTCGGAACTTAGTGATAATGAAAACACTGGTAGAGGTCGCAAGAGTAGTAAGGGTGGCAAAGGGGGAAAGAATAAGGCGAGCAAATCGGGTAATACGGGGTATGATAACAATGTAAGCAGTAGTAGTGGATGGAATGTTACTAGCACTGGTGGTGGATGGTAGAGTGCGCACAGTTTCGGTCGATTTGGTGGAGCTATGATTGTGTGGACTTATGTCGTGTTGTACGATTACGTGGAGAAAGGGGGGCTTGGGCGTCTAGATGAATGAAGGAGGAAAAGAGATTTCTGTTCTGGCATCTTACAAAATTCGAGATTGTGCAGGTTATTTGAATGGCCGAATAAGTCTCTACATCTACGCGGAGCACTTTTACATTTGCACATACCATATTCCGTGTGTTGGCTTCATGGGTTGGAATGATGGGATGGAGAGGCATCCTCGTTTGGAGGTGTTGCAAGGATTTAATAAATGGCGGTGATGATAGTGCAATAATGGCAAAAGAATAGAACAGCTTCATGGAATTTCGTTGTAAACTATACGGGCCTCTGTGAGGTTACTTTCCAGAACGATATACGAGAACTTGAATACTTAGTAATGGCGCACAATCAATCTTTGAGCTACTGGTCACCTTGGCCCCCTGGTGAGCTCTAGTTTTGGGATTGGAGCTTGGGCCACCTACGTAGGCATTTTCAAATGTCAAAGCTCTCCAGCTTGCAGCAAGGCTGACATCTTCCCCTCATTACTCTTTCCCATTCTCCATCCCATCACAACAAAAAAAGTTTAATAACGCCTCCACCGCAAAAATCCTAAATCCGATACATTCCACCTCCATACCCTATTCACGCCCACCATGACCGCGCTCACCACCCCCAAAAACTTTCCCCCCATCTCAGAAATCCTCCCATCCCCCTTCCCCGCCGGTTCCAAAACCGCTTCTGCGAAAGTAAACGGCATAGATACCAACGTAACCTGCATGTATTTTGCCGACAAATTTCTGATTACCATCACCCAAGGCGGGAGATTAGGACAATGGGTTTGTTTTCCTCTACACCACTCTTCCAGCAACTCACGAAGAATATAGCGAAGAGCTGCATTCCACTAACAAATCGCAGATCCAAATCCCGCTTACTTCTGCATCTCCTACGTCGTACGATACGTCGATACCTCTTCCTTCAGCCTCGAATGATACCGGAAATGGAGGGGGAAATATGATACTCCCGCTTGAACATCTCACCCCACGAACATTACTTGGGGCGGGTGGAGAGAAGAGAGAGAGGATTGGCCATTTGTATGCGAGTCAGATCGGGTCGATGATCTTAGGACGGGATCCAGAGGAGAGGAGGACGATATTGGTAGGGTTGGGATTGGAGTTGGCCGAGAAAGAGGCGAGGGAGGGAGAGAGAGACGGCTATTTTGATTTGTTGGAATTGGTTCAGGGGGTTTTATGAGGGGAGAGCGGAGAATCAGGGTTAAGGATTCCGCGGGGGTGAGGTGTGAAGGGGTATTGTTGCATGGGGTGAATGGTATATGGGATCGATATATCGAAACCATGCAGCGCATGAATGCGATCGTAAGGAAGAGCCAGTGTCAACTATTCGCGCGTGGATCCTTGCAAAGCACGTCAATAACCGCATGAATCAACTTCTTCGCAAAGCCTCCTCGAGCAACAAGTCGCGCTTTGCTTTTAGACGAACATTCGACTCCTCAATTATCATGTATATCTCTCGACTCTTACCATCAAGAATCTCTCGATTCACTAAGGGATTATATATATCAAAATTCTGGCGTATATGTGAATTCTGTGGATTGTCAATCTAGGAAGGTCTGCGTGGGAACTCGATATCACGGGTACTTTCTACCTCGAGCGGGAGCTCGTAGATGCCTCGGCGGTTTTGGAATGTTCACTTAAGCTCCGCGTTGTTAATACGGGTCTTTGAGGACCTGATGATGCTCGTGACTTTGTAAATGAATATCTAGCAGGGCACATGTATTCAAATGGTCATATCAGGTGAGATGTGAATTTTTATCCAATAGACTAAATGCAATTTTTAACTATTGTAAAGATATAATCGATATATTATTTATGATGTGATAAATGGTCCTCCATATCCAAACTCATTTTGCAATAGTAGAGGATTGATCACAGAGTGTTACCCATTTCCGAACACTCGACATGAAGTCGTTTTCATACAATCTTAAGCCTTGACAACAACGGCACTGGGTGCTTTTGCCAGTGCAGCTTTCTCTTTGAACTCATCATTCTCCAATTTGAACCTAAGTTGACACCCTGATTTGTTAGCTGTGAGATTCTGAACATGGTTGGCTGATGTGGATCTGAATACTTACAATCACCACAAGATATCGGTTCATATTTTGGCGGATTATTCTCATCAGTACAAGTAGAGATTACACCTTCTACACAGTTGAAATTGAGTCCTATCACCATATTAGCATTCCTTTTCAGACAACTTGATGAGGAAAAGGAATCTTACCGAAGAAAAATGGCATGGAAATTCTCTCCACGGTCGCTCGGTTATAAACTCGATGAACGGTACTCTTATACATATCATTACAAAGTCTCATCATAAAATCGCCAATGTTAACAACTATCGTTCCTTCCACTGGAACCGCCATGATCCATTGTCCTTCTTTGTTTAGTACTTGGAGACCGCCTATCATATCTTGCCAGAGGAGAGTAAAAAGTTGGAGATCAGTATGAGATCCGAGTCCTACACTGTTGCTTGATCTTTCAGCTTCGGTACTGGGCGGATAATAATTGTAAAGGCCATCTGCTCCAGGGTAGGTAACACGGGAATCGAAATAGTCTTCTGGGAGAGAGAGACTGAGCGCGAAGACTCGGACAAGTTTGCGTGCGAGTGAGAGACAGGATTTCCAATAGGCGAGAGTGTCGGTTTTGAAATCGGGAAGATGCGAAGTTCCTTCCCAGACGAAGGGTTCGCCTCGGATCCAGGGTTTTACCTCCGAAGGGATGGAAGAAAGGGGTTGGGGGTGATCTGGATCATTTTCGGGCTCGTAGCGCCAGGCGATCTGGGAATGTTAGTTTGGTGGAGATGGAAAGGGGGATGGAGGAGTTTCGGCTGGGGAGACGAACGGATTCTTTGACATCTACACTTTCTCCGGGACTTATGTTTGAACTTTTTAATCCCATGTAGCCATTAAAGTAACGGGAATGACTTTTGTCTATCTTTGCTTTTTCTTCGTATGGCTGTTTGAAGAAACTGTTCTCCGTGATTTTATATTAGCTTTTGGTCATCTATTCGCTAGTTCTACTCCTTATCTCTCATGGCCAGAAGAGAAGCACTGAGCGTTCAGACAACTATTCTCAACCTCAAAACCTCTCCCAATTCTCTTATCTCTCCTTCCTCATACAATCTATTTCCATTCAATGACTCACCTCAAAGCCTGCTCCTTTGCCTTCTGAATAACTGCCTCTTCGATACCATGATTCTTCACATAAAAGAACCCCGTCCCCACCGCCGCAGCACGTACTTCTGCAGCCAACGCTTGACGATCACTCAGATTAGGAGAATTTATATTTGAAAGATCAATGATGGGGATCTCTGTATCTGTGCAAGGACGAGGTGGTGTATTGAGTACATCGCGATAGACGGGACCATAGGCGGTGCGAAGCTCCAGTTTTGTTGTTGTGGGGGGTGTGGGGGAAGACATGGCGAGATTGTGATGTTGGTAAGTGATAGGTTGAAAAGATTGTAAGAAGAAGAGATGTGAGAGGCGTTTAAAAGCTTGGTTTTGGGTGCAGAGAGACGGTCAAGGGGATAAATGATTAAAAGTATCTGTAAGTGAATGGTGGCTGAATGTACCCCGCCAAACTGTCAGATGTGATAGTGAATTCGGTAGGTTCCGAGAATTGTAGTGAATCAATCTATTGAATGGTTGTTATGTATCGTGTGTATATCCCAATGCAGATTTGTATGAATAAAAGATCCAAGCATTCCAAGACTCAATGTATATCTTCACAATTTATCTCTTTGGCCAGTGATGGGAGGGAGATTGATAACAGTCTTGGAAAAGATAAAAAAACACTTGGGAATCCCACTATCGTTTGATGCTTATCGCTCTCTTCTGTTAAGCTTATCGTAATTCTCCACTCTTCACTCTTCACTCTTCACTCTTCACTCTTCACTCTTCACTCTCCACTTACTGACTTCCGACGATCTTGACCCCTGCATCGATCAAAAGCCATACATACATACATCCATGGATACCTAGGTAGTAATATAACTCATCACGTGTAAAATAATAAATACAAACACAGCATCAACATCAACATATCAACGTTTCATCTGTCATTATCCATTTGTATCACAACATTCCTTCATTTAAAACCCACGGCTGCTCACATAAATTTCGATCTCATATAGTACCAAGATGTCAAACCCTCGTTTTCTCGTGCACATTTCCTGGTGGACAAGGTCTGGATGAGTCTGATGACAAGTTTGACATTGGCGCACATTGGCGCACACAAGCGTGTATGATTTTGCATTACCGAAATCCTCAATTGGAGTCTTGGGGTACATTGGCTTTGGAGAGATAGAATGTCTGGTTGGTTACATCTAATCTCAGAGCGGGGAACGACACCGTTTTATGCCATGCATGGCTGCGAGGAACTCCCATGAGTGATAAAATGATGTTACATTGCAGATTTGTATCTTTTTTTCTCATGAGTTTCTGCAGGTACTTTTCTTTTGGAAGGAGAGTGGACATGTACGGATCATGTTGTGAGTTGAATATTGGACTGATGTAGTATCAATACTCAGCTTGATACTTATCTGGTGGGGGATTGGATGGGTAGTACATCTCTTTACCTACTAGGTAGACCTAGAGAAATGTATATGTTGACCTCATAGAAGAGATGTCGATCATTCTACCGTTAGTACCCGGTAGTCTCTGTTCTTCTTACCTTCTATACGTTTCCATTCTTCATTAAACTTACTACCAATACAAATATCAACATCAACATCAACATCAACATCAACATCAACATCAACATCAACACTTATATCGATATCTTCATTGTGTGGATCAATCGCATACATCGCGAATTCATTCTCAATATGGTTTCGAACCTCTTCGGTGTCCTACGCCGAAAACTGCGAAATCCGCATTTCGAAGCAAAAGGAACCGCGAATGTTCATGGAAAAGACAATTGGCTAGATAATGATGATATTCGACCTCTAAAACTAGCCGATCGTACATGGAATGTTTGGACTTATCTTACCTTTTGGTTTTCTGCAAGTAAGTCTTGTGATGCTATCATTGCGATTGATTATACGGATTTGAGTTTGATACTGATATTTATTGTGATAGCTTCGACAGTTTCAACATGGTACGCAGCTTCGAGTGCCCAAGCTTTGGGATTGAGTATGTGGGAATCAGTCCTGTGTGCATTTGGTGGTCAATGTTTGATTGCTATTGTGATCGTGTTTAACGGCAGATCGGGAGCTGTATATCATATGTAAGTTTGAAGCATTCATATTTCTGTCTCCCTTCACTTGGATAACCATTCAAATTACCCAATTGTTGTATCCAACATGTCCTATATCCATACCTTGATCTTGGATGAATCTCTGCAATTCTCTCAGAGATCCTCAACACCTCACAAGTTTCCACTGTTCCACGTTCGCTGACGATACTTTCATTATAGTGGTTACCCGATACTAAATAGAGCGGCATTTGGTGTCTTCGGTGCTTGGTGGCCTACTTTCAATCGTGCTGTGATGGCTATTGTTTGGAATGGTGTTAATGCGGTCCAAGGAGGCGAATGCATTTATGTTATGCTTCATACCCTCAGTCCACGTGTTGCCAGCTTCAAGAATGTCATGGGTGAGGGATCAGCTCTTGATTCGGGCGGTATGCTTGGACTTGGAATCTTCTGGATCCTCACTTGCTGCTTTCTTATCATTCCTGTCCCAAAGGTTGGTCACATTCAGGTACCAATTGAAATTGTCAATACTAATGCGAGAACAGATGAAAGGCCTTGTCTACGCCAAACTAATCGTCTTTATCATTTCTGCGATTGCCATGTGTGCATGGACTTTGACCATGGCAGGTGGTATCGGACCTGTCGCTCGTCAACCAGGTACTGTCAAAGGTTCAGAACGATCATGGCTTCTCGTACGATTCATACTTCTTGGAGCCGCAAATTGTGCCACATTTGCTTCCAATGCGGCCGACTTTCAGCGTTATGCACGTAAACCAAACGATGTTATTTGGGGAAATTTAGTCGGATTTCCTATCTCCAATGTTCGTATTATTGCTTTGCTTTGCCGACATCACTCATTTGTTGACGTACTCCTACTAATGTGTGCAATAGTTAATCGTATCTATCATCGGTAATCTAGTAAGCTCCTCGAGTCAAGTACTTTTCGGCGAAATTATCTGGTCTCCCCTTACATACCTCGACCAAATTCTTGAACGAACATATGATGGTCCGACCCGAGCTGGGTGCTTCTTCATCGCAGCTTGCTTCGCTTACTCTGCAATCTTCTCTTCGATCTTCGAAAACTCTATTCCAGCTGGAAACGATATCGCTGCTCTCTGTAAGTCAACGATTTTATCTCTGCTTCATCCCAAATCTCCCATATACAATATCCAGATGGTTCTAATAATTGTCTTCCTAGTCCCAAAATATATATCCATCCGTACCGGTTTCTTCATCTGCGCCGTCATCTCCATAGTAATTCAACCCTGGTACCTCCTCAAATCGGCCGTAATTTTCATCTCCTTCCTTGCCTCCTATCAAATTTTCCTCTCAGCCATCACCGGCGTTCTTCTTTGCCACTACTTCGTCATCGCCCGCGGTTTCCTAAGAATCCCAGATCTATACACCTCAGATATAAAAGCCGCATATCATTATAAAGGCGGCTGGAATTGGCGCGCGTATGCAGCATATGTCATTGGTATCATACCCAACTTCTACGGCTTTCTGAATAACATAGGAGTTAAAGCTCCAATAGGTGTCACAAGAGCATATTATTTTGCATATCCGATTGGACTTTTTGTGAGTTTTATGGTCTATTGGGGACTTTGTTGGTATTGGCCGGTGGAGATTCAATATGCGCTTTCGGAGTGGAGAGAGGTCAAGGATTATGTGAGAGAGGAAGAGAGAACAGACGGAATGGCAAGTGGATGGGGAAGTGTGGCGAGTGGAGAGGAAGCGGGAGAGGGAGTTGTAGGGACGGAGGAAAAAGGTAACTCGAATGTGAGAGAGGAAAAAAATTGAGGGGATGTGTAGGAGAAGAGGATGGTGTAGATGATTATTGCTTGAGATGTTGGGGTGGAGAAATAGGGGAATGGTATTTGTGTACGTATGTATCTGTATGTTTGTATAATTCTTATGGGTCTCCTCCTTCGTGGATACTGTGATTATTACATTGTATTATAAAATCTCCTCAATGCAATTTACCTAATCAGACTAATACTTAAGCTTCACACATTAATTTCCTGACAAAGTATCTTCTACAGTAATTAGAGTGTAAAACACACTACCCATTATAGCTTACCCGAAATTTACCCGCCACTTCCAATTCATCAACATGGATTTTTATTAATTTGTTAGAAATGAATTTACAATTCCGACTGTATATTTAGAGATTTTTTTGTTTGTGAGATGTTATTGCTAATGGTATTGGGAATACAGTGTAAACGGACGCAAAACTGATATGTAGTAGATATATAAGAAATCCCTCTTTGAAAAAACTATCAAAGATACTCATATTTGAATTTAAATAACGAGACAAATAGAATAGAGAATTCGAAGTAGATAGGGTAGATAGAAATGTATAAATTACCTATACACATTATCTACCCAGATATATGAGTTTACTCACTCGATAAGTTATTTTCGTTATTGACTTGATGAGGGTGTGGTGTAGTGAGTATAGCATAATTTCCAGATAGGTGGAAGGATGGGGTGGAGACTTTTATTGATAAGGGGTTCGAAGTTCGTTTTGGTGGAAAGAGATGGATTGTTAAGCGGGAGTTGGGGTTGGGATTGGGATTGAGGTGGAATGGGTATGTGTATTTGTGTGAGTGTGAGTGTGAGTGTATGTGTGAGTGTGAGTATGAGTATGAGTGTGAGTGTGAGTATGTTACTAAGGGAATAGATGTGCAACAAAGTGAAGGGTATGAACGGGATGGGGAGGGATGGATAGATAAATAGATGGAATAGATGAGTGGTTTAGCGGTGGGTGGTTTAGCGCGAGAGGGAATGAAATGGTGTAGCTTGGTACTTGTATGTTACTAAGAGAATAGATGTGCAACAAAAGGAGGGAAATGAACGGGGTGGGGAGGGATGAATGAAATGGTTTAGCGTATGAAGGTGGGCGAGAATGATATAGTGTAGGTTAGTTTGGTGCTGGGAGATGGATGGTAGAGGAAAAGTGGATGGATGGATGGATGGATGGATGGAGGAATAAATGGAGGTGTGGTTGTTGGTTCTAGAATAAACAGGGAGCAAGAAATGAAAGAAAAGGAGAAATGCTTGAATTTGTGAATCTGTGGAGTTGTGACGCCACTAGAGATGTAGATGTGCAACAAATGTATTTATTTATATGTCTGTCTACTATTTATCTTCGATCCGCTGTGCATATTTGGTAAGGGGTGAGATGTTGTTGGGGGGTTTCGTTAGTTAGGATGGATGGATGGAGGTTTGATGTGGATATGTGTGGCACGGCTTCAGCGGATGCGGATGCGAGACGCCGGACTGGACTGAGGGTTTGAGGGTGGGACTTGGGATTTGGGATACGATAGAGACGCCACTAGAGATGTAGATGTGCAACATTTTGGATTTTTGCGTGTAGAAGGTGAAGGTTTTATTTGATGGGGTTTGCTGGTGGGTAGGTAGTGTGGTGCTCTGGAGATTGGAGTACCGGGTTTGCGAATGGGTGCTTGTGGACGAATGTGGGTGTGGATGTGGATGAATGTGGATGTTAGTTCGAAAAGCTACAAAGCCTATTTAAATTGAATGATTCAATGAATGGATGAATGAATCAAAAGAGGTTGAGATTTGAGCACTCAAAATTGAAGATTGAAATAGAACGCCACTAGAAAAACAGACGTGCAACAAAACACATCAAATCCAATTTAAATGGTAAATTATAATCTTCTCTCCCTGCGCGCTGTGAGCATTGCGGTTAGATCACTACGGTGCAGAGCCAACGGTCGTGGAGTGGTGTGGTGTGGTGGCTAATCAGTAAGTGAAACGCCGACAACTCGCTAGTTCAACAGGGGCGTTTAGGTATTTGAGATTTGACATAAAAACGAAGCGGATTCATGACGCCACTAGAGATGTAGATGTGCAACAGACGGAGGGATTTATGTGAGTTTGCGTGTAGGTATTTATTCTGTTCCTTGTAGGTGTGATCGTTTCGGTAGATGTAGAACGATTGTGGTAGGTAAGGTGGTGGTAGAGTGTAGGGTTGAACAAAGGTGGCACAGTCTATGCAGGTTGTTGCTGTTGGGTGGCTGATGCGAGACGCCGACCTCCTGTGTTGCGTGCGATTGTGTGTGTAAAGACATCAGCAAGGTGAGAAAATCTCAAGATCAAGACGCCACTAAAAAACAAGACATGCAACAAAAGCATTCTCCTATACCCTTTTCAAATCAAAATAGTTAGTTAGTTCACCCATCCAACTCCTTTTACTAAAAGAGTGGATCCGACATCCGGTGCCACAGAAAATCGGTGGTGGCGGCGACGATGCAAAATCCCGGCTGTCGTGAGATTTGGCAAGGGATTTTGGGAGACTAAGTTGAACTATCTGGAAATGGTTTGCAAACCCTGAACGCCACTAAAAATGCAGATGTGCAACAAATGCGCAATGTGGATGTTGAGAGTAAATCTAGTGTGTTTTCTTCCTTGCAGTACAAATTTAAAAGGGTGTGGTGGCTGTAATGCGAGACGACGCCTGCGCGGTGCTTGGAGCCTTTTGGCGACTAAAGTTGAGAAGCGAACTGAGGATGGGGTTGTGCATTGTTGATTGTTGGACTAGTATTGTGAAAAGGGGACTTCCTCATGTTGGTATATGGATGCTCAGGAGTACCTAGTATTTGGATGGACAGATAGAATTCTAGTAATCATCGAGAACTATCTCCAACAAAACAACCTCTCCATATAAAAATCCATCACTTTTCCTTCTCCCTAAAGATCCTATTCTTCTTCTCATTCACATCCCCCAAAAGCTAAAATCAACACCAATGCACACCCATTACTCGTACAACGACTAACCCGCCTAGCTTTTCTAGCCCGTTTAACCTATGTAGCCTTGTATCCCAGCGTACTAAGTCGACCACCCTACTTTCGGGCCACCCCTGTTTTGGGCCACCCTTTTACACTAAAAATCACTTTTTTGGCTTATCAATTTCTCCATCAATATTGAATATAATTTAATATAAATATATATTAATATAATTCAAGCCATTTCGAATTTATATTAAATTTTTTGGAATTTTAGGATTTTTCTGAATTGGGATCTAAAGCTTCAAATATCGATTTTCGAATTTGTATAGAAATCACATACAAATTTAAAACTTTTATATAATCTTTAATAACTTTTTAACAATAATAATTAAAAGAAAATTATATATTTTTTTTAAAGATTTCAAATCTGAATCTATATAAAAATTCAAAAAAAATTCAAAAAAATGAATAGATATAGAAATATAATATATAGTGAATGTCACGGGTTCACTAGCGTAGTAGATGCTTAGTCATCTTTGCCTATATATGACACACTTACATAGCACTACCTTTAACCTCCTTGTAGAATATCATATATCTAACCTAGTATCTATCTCTTGCACCGTGATAGTGAATTTAGAATAATATAAATAATCCCTGCAATTCTGAAAATACCCCTTTAAATATTTATTTATAAAAAACTTTCTATTTTTTCAGAATTTTTCAAAATAAATATATTATAAATATATTATAAAAACTTATAATTTATTTTTAGCTATTTTTTCTCAAAAGTTATTATAGATTTTATAAAATTTCAAATTTATATATGATTTTTATACAAATTGAAAATCGATATTTTGAAATCTCAGAAATCAATCCATAAAAATCCTAAAAATCTGAAGTTTTTAAAATAAGATTGAAACAATTTGAATTATATATATATAGATTTTTATTAAATTATAATCAATATCAATCGAGATATTAATAAATTAAAAAGGTGATTTTTGGTGTAAAAGGGTGGCCTAAAAGAGGGGTGGCCCGAAAGTGGGGTATCCGACTTACCCTTTAAATGACCAAAAATAGATTCATAAGGATAATGCATGTAGAATCTGGGTCGTGCCGCCGCGGGACGTTTACGCTCATTTGATAAAACGAACCGTTGTTTGCGATTTTGTGAGTTTGGATGAAATGGTTAGATGAAACGCACTAGACGCGCTGTGCCACGGCCACAGGCGAGGTTGCTTGGTTATGGGGATGTGTATCTAGATATGCATAATTTTGTGCAGATACATATGAATGCTTACCTAAATACCTAGGTATGATAGGGATGAAATCAAAGTTCATTAACGATTAGAAGCTGAATAATAAATACATTTGCGATTCACACCCCAAAAATCAAGACAACGGTAACTTAAATATAAAACTGTACTCTCGTAACCCCAACGAAAGGTAACTCAACACGATTCATCCCCCACCCTTTCCCTCCAATCCCTCGAGTCATCCCATATCTCCTTTCCTATGCTTGCTAGCCTTATCAACAACATCGAAGCATCGGTTTCCTCCCACATTAGCTTCAACTTTAGCTTTCAGCATCCTGCCCTTTATATATCCATGCCCCAATCCATGCCTTCCACACAATTTCATGCGCATAAAGCCTCACCAGTAATCCCAACACCACAGCCAACTTAGCTTCCACACAACACCACCCTAAACCAACTAGACAGGGTAAACTGGCTATAGCTGCACACTTGTAAGCATGCTAATTCCTTCTAAACTACACTTGGTCTTCGCTCAGCAGATACTTGCATTAATTAACAGAAAATGAAACGTTTTGTTGCACGTCGTGATTTTTAGTTTGGTTGGGAGGATGCGTGAGAGTTGTAGTTGTGGGTGCTTTGCATTTAGGTTAGGTTGGTGGTTATGAATGGGAGTAGACACGATATGTATGATGTGATTATTTCTTCATTGTATCGTTATTATGTGAATTTGACCGATTCTCTTAACTTTGTACGGTATTGGTATATCCTCCGTAACGCCTTGAAACCCTTATGTGTAGGCGATATACTCTACAACAGGTCCGTATTTGAAACCTTTGTCTATTCTATGTAGGACTCACCCCTCCATTCATCACTTTACTCTTTCTTCTTTTAGGTTTTCCCGATCCTGGAGTTCTAGGGCTCTTCTCTCCCTTATTTCCTTTCTTTGGCATGCCCAAATCTGTTTTCAATGGAGTAGGAGGTGCTGGTTTACCACTCAGACCAAAACCTGCTGGTTTTGATGTTGGTGGTACCATAAGCTTTTCTTTTTCCTTCCGACCGGTTGTACTAAAATGAAAATCACCTGGAGTTCCGGTAATAGGATTCTCATCCATATATTCATCACCATATCTGAGCGATATGTTAAGAGTTTCTTCGAGAAGATGATTTGCGAGTACGTTGTTGGAGATATTCGTGGAGGGATTCTTGGCTTCAGTCGCAAGGGAATCGGGCAATGGTGTATTCTCTTTGGAAGCCTGAGAGAAGGCTGATGCAATGGTTTTTGTTCGTGGTGGAACTGGTGGCATATATGTATGACCGAGCGAGGGAGAAAAATTGGGTAATTCGGATGCTTTCGAAATGGCATTTGTGAGTGAGGTGAAGATTGATAACTGCATTGCTATTAGAGACATTAAATTTGAATTGGAGAATTATCAATACCATTCTACTGCCCAGTACATCTGCGACAGTAGGAGCCATGTAAATGTTTTCTCCCACTACAAAATACGATGCATGCTTTGTAATTTCATCGTCGTCTTGAGCTCGCTTTCTTCTCGTTTGCTTGCTAATTACCCATACTCCAGTGCCAGTACCCGGTGCCATCTCTGCAGGTTCTTGTGCAACTAAAAATTCCAGTCCAGACATAGTTTTGAGTCGGCTCTCAAAAGCACTACGAGTGGCAAGGATGTACATCATATTTGGATTGAGCGAAGCTTGTATCGTGAGGATCGCATTATTTGAGGTCGGATCAAAAAATGGCGACTGCGCAAAGTAATGAAGAACGGTATTTTCATGAAGGCCTGAATTCCCAGCAAGCCACGTTGGATGGCTCCATTGTATCTCATCAAGAGGGGGATCTTGTGGTGCCATGGTTATGATGCGATAGAAGGTAGAGAGATGCTGTTGAGTATGCGAAAGGTCGCAAAACAATTAAAGAATCCGATGATCTGCATGGACTTAAATACGACGTAGGTACCAAGAGTTGTTGTGTATGCGACGTCGCGATGCAAAGGTTAATAAGTACTCAATTCTATTGATGTATTGACAATAGAGGATCTGCCGTATGCGCCGTATCTGAAACTCATTCAAATGGAGGTTATAAGGACCGTATATACGGAAAATCAATAGTAATGGAATTGTATTTACGAGTAGATGGACAAATAGCGACGGAAGATACCGAGAAGCTGGAGGGATGGTAGCGGCCGCTAGTGCAATAACCATGACGTTAATCATCTAGTCCAGATTGATGTCCGATGGGTAGCAGATTGAGTACTCGAGGATCAAATCAAACAGCTACGAGCAATCATAAATCATCAATTTCACAATACATTTGGGTGGGAAGCTATATGTCTCATCAACATAGACGAATTCTATGCTGCGTGGAACTTGGCCTGCATTGATATCTGACTCGCAATTCAGATGATAACAGAAGATGGCTAGAAAACTAGCACACCAAACTCGCTAAACTCAATAATAGTCTTTTGAGATCACTACTATTTGGAAATTGAATAGTTAATAAATCGGAAAATTATTAAAGATTTGATAAGTAAATAGACCAAGATAGTTTGTGAAGTCTCTGATATTTCTATATAATTTATACGCAAAAGATTATTAATTCAATTTAATAAAAAGTTTTGAAGACACAGTATATTTTATTTTTGGTGTACTCGTTTTTTTTGTCTACAGTGAAAGTATGCAGTGGAACGAAGATCCTATTTGCTTTTCAATTTTCAGCCCTTCTTGCTTTTCCAGTTTTTCGCCAATCACCAACATATAAATCTACATCTAACATAGTTAACGCTCTATTTGGGGGAGACAGATGAGACCGAACGAACAACAAATAAAGCCATCAGCTTTCATAGCACCAAAAAACGCCTCAGACGGCCTCTAATTGGTATACGGACAGCTGGACTATTATGAGGCTTCACCGAGGGCTGGTTCTAACTTGCTTTTTCTATGCAATATTGAATATCCCTTGCATTTTGTTTTCAGCTTTCAGCTCCTGAATTGTGTATAATTCTTAGAAATATTGAACAATTCGCCTTTCCCTTTACTCTTCTTTTTCGAATACACTGTTCTTATATCTATCGTCCGGTTAATGAATACAATATATGCTCGCTCAAGTTTTAGTGATAATAATATATATCGAATCCAGATTGCATGTAATCGTCGAGAATTTGGGGATTTCACACACTAATCATTTAGGTCTGAAGAAATGGCAAGCTATTCAGATGGTAAAACCCCCCGGCGAGCCATTTCATTGGTTAAAGATCGAATGGCGGTGGGCGCTGAACGATACGGCAGAAAAAAGTCGCCAAGAATCTCAAAATCAGAGAAAAAAACATAATTTTCACAAGAAACTGTCTACATTCAATCTGTGGATTGAAAAATAACTAAAAATGCCTCCCAAATTTACGCCGCGGCAGCGAAAGCACAAAGTGCTTGCGAGAAATAAAGTCAATGATACCGAGACACCAGTAGACTCGAATGCGACAGAGATCCTCCCCTCCTCAAAAGCCGCACATGAAGAGAAGAAGCAGAAATTGAAGGCAGAGCTGGCAGGAGATAATAAGATTAGTGGGAAAAAAGCGAAAAGATTGGAGAAATATATCGAGACGAAGCTGAGGAAGGATGAAAATAGGATATTGATTGAAAAGCTATCAAAGAAGAAAGACGAGGGAGGATTATATGAGAGCAGTAAGAAGTTGGGCCAGGGCTCATTAACCAGGAGAGAAAGATTGGCGCGAGCGCTGAAAGAAAGGGAGAGAGGCATTGATATCGATGGAGATGGAGAAGAACTACTGTTCGAAAAGAGGACGGTTAGGGAGATGGAAAGTAAAAGTAGTGAAGATGAAGACGACGAAGTCGATCAACAGAAGGTGGGCGGTCTTTTCCAAAGTACTGCGACTGCACCTGCGAAATCTTCCGCTCCGACCCCAGAAGTGCCCGCGCAAACATTACAATTTGGTGCAGGCACAGGTTTAAAGAGGCCACTCGAGGTGGATGATGACGGGAAGCCGGTAATAAAAAAGCGACAAAGGCGAGGAGGTGTCAAGTCGAGGATATCATTGAAGCCACAGGTCCCGGCTGCGGAACCAGCATGGGAGGGATTCTCTTCAAATTCAGAGGCCGATAGTGATGAAGAAATGAAATCAGGTGAGGATTCTGACAACTCGAATACGCCAGATGGAACAGACGACAAAAAACGTGCAGAGTTATTGAAACGTCTTACGGGGATCTTTGCCGAGGGTGGTGAGGGGACCGATTCGGAAGATAGCAGTGAGGAAGGATCTCCGAATGAGGACAGTAATGAAGACAGTGATGATGAAGACGATGAAGAAAGAGAGGAGACAAATGACCCCGAACATGCCCAGCTACTAAAGAATATTATGTCCATTTTCGAAGAAAGTAGAGAGGGGGCCCTTCAATCGGCTCTTGGAAACGATAAAGAAGAGAACAATGAAGAAGGACCGTCAGACAAAGATAGCGATGAAGATGATAGCGAAGAGAGTAGTGAAGAGGAGGATGAAGACGAAGTTGCCTCGAGGAAACAGGAACGCTCATCTGCGTTCAAAGCCTGGGCAACTCAACAAGTAAACGAAGCCTATGGATACGAACCATCATCAAATATTCCAATTGCGACAGAAACGCCAAGAATAGAAGGATTCGAACCTCGGCCTTTAGAACAGGATCCCTTACCAGTGGAATTACAGCCAACTACCAATCTTTCACGGAAAGCATTCAGTGTTTCGATAGAAAGACCTTCAAATATTCAAGATGTCAGACTCAAACTCCCAGTCGTAGCCGAAGAACAGAAAATTATGGAAGCAATTCATAACAACAACTTGGTGGTTGTGTATGGTGCTACAGGTTCTGGAAAAACCACTCAAGTACCACAATTCTTATACGAAGCTGGGTATGGCACTAAAGATTCTCCCAATCCTGGAATGATTGGAGTTACACAACCTCGAAGAGTTGCAGCTGTCAGTATGGCAAAACGTGTAGGTGATGAGCTTGCTGATCATGGTAAGCGAGTCGCCTATCAAATTCGATTCGAGGGAACAGTGAGTTCAGAAACCGCTATTAAATTCATGACGGATGGTGTACTTTTGAGAGAGGTTGCCCAAGATATTGCTCTGAGAAAATACTCCGCCATTGTTATTGATGAAGCGCACGAAAGGAGCGTAAATACCGATATTCTTATTGGTATGCTCAGTCGAGTGGTAAAGTTAAGAGAAGAAATGGCTGAAGAGGATCCGTCCATCAAACCATTGAAACTTATTATCATGTCCGCTACTCTACGAATTACAGATTTCACCGAAAACAAGACATTATTTTCTTCTCCACCACCGGTACTTCAAGCGGAGGGCAGACAATACCCGGTCACTACTCATTTCGCCCGAAAGACACATCACGATTATGTCGAGGAAGCATTCAGAAAGATTAGCAAAGGACATCGCAAACTGCCTCCAGGAGGAATTTTGGTGTTCTTAACTGGTCAGAATGAAATCACACATCTCAGCAAGAAGTTGAAAGAAGCTTTTAAAATAGGCTCTACTACCACCGGACCACAAGTTCGCATATCCGGAAAAGATGCACCTATGGAAGCTGAAGATATCGATTTTGGTGAAACTATGGACACGCCCAATGACGATTATGTCGATGATGATGACGAAGTTACGTTTAACGATGATGAAGATTTTGATATCGGAGAAGAAGCAGATACTGGACCTTCAAAGATGCACATATTACCATTATATTCTTTACTGCCTACGAAAGAACAGCTGAGAGTTTTCGAACCGCCTCCAGATGGTTCACGGTTGATTGTATTGGCCACTAACGTTGCTGAAACTTCTCTTACAATCCCTGGTATTCGTTATGTTTTCGATTGTGGAAGATCCAAAGAACGCAAATACGATAAAACAACTGGAGTACAAAGTTTCGAAGTCGGATGGATTAGCAAGGCCAGTGCAAGCCAACGGGCAGGTCGTGCTGGACGTACCGGTCCTGGACACTGTTATAGATTTTATTCATCAGCTGTTTATGAGAGAGATTTCGAGGAATTCGCGGAGCCGGAAATATTACGAATGCCCATCGAAGGTGTGGTTTTACAACTCAAGTCCATGAATTTGCAACACGTTGTCAATTTCCCATTCCCAACTCCACCAGATAGACAAAGTCTTGCGAGCTCCGAGAAGCTTCTCACTTACCTCTCTGCAATCTCTCCTTCTGGTCAAATAACTCCAACAGGTTCCACCATGTCCATCTTCCCACTTTCACCACGGTTTGCTCGTATCCTTCTGGTAGGACATTTACACGATTGCCTTCCATACACCATCGCTCTTGTAGCAGGTCTCTCTGCTGCCGATATATTTATTCCCGAAAACCAAGTCATTCCGGCCGCTACTCCCCGCGAAGACGAAGACTCATACCTCACTACCGCCGAGAAGATCGAACAAGACGCCCGCGCGAATCTCCGTCGTCAATTCAACAAAGTTCACCAATCGTTCTGTTTCCTCGACGATAGATCAGATGCCATTAAACTACTTCAAGCCGTTGGTGAATTTGCCCACGAACCTACAGAGTCATGGTGTGCATCTCACTACGTACGCTACAAGACTCTCAAGGAAATATCGCAACTACGTCGTCAAATCACAGATCTTTTGAGAACCAACATACCCGCCTTCGCAGCATTGAAATATGAAGAAAAACTAGCGCCACCCACTGCTAAGCAAGTCAAAGCCCTCAAACAAATGGTGGCTGCAGGTTTCATCGATCACGTCGCTATTCGAGCAGATTTATCCCCGACACAACCCGAAGCCTACAGGAAACCTAAGAGAGCAATCGACGTTCCTTATCTCACACTCTTCCCCTCTCATCTCCGTGTTCCCAATAAACACAACGATGATGATCAAGAACAAGACAAAGCAGTCTATATCCATCCTGCGTCTCCTTTATCTCATCTCTCGCCAAACGAATGTCCTGAATATATTATCTACTCGTATCTACAGAAACCGGCGGAGGATGTTAATGCAGATGGATCGAGAAAGAGACAGAAAACTCGAATGCATAGTTTGACGGATGTTACCGGAGGACAACTTGCGGGTTTGGCCAAAGGGACAAGTTTGTTGGAGTATGGAAAACCGATTAAGG